GGCGGACGAAGGACGAGCAGTTGTGAAGTTGTCTTTAGCATTTGTTTATTTGTTCTTGTTCTTTACTTGAGTTGAGGTCCTGCGCAGTGCAGCCTTTCTTCCTTCTTTCCATCCAGCGATGTAGTATATAGTACTGAAACTTATGAATCTAAAGCGAGTGTCTTGGGGGGGTATCATCATCTCCATCAAATCAAACGGCAAACCACCAAAAAACGCAAACCATGAAAAACGCCAATCCTGATGCTGCTGTAACGCAAGATCTTTCACTGTTGATGTGGTGATGCAAGGGATTCTCACATCACACTCCTCTTCCTCCTCATCTTAACCTTCAACTCACTATTCTCCCTCTCCTTCGGACTCTCCATGGGCGCGAACCAATCCCTGAGTCCACACTGCTCCTCCAGACTCCTAAAGAGATCATCCACGCGATCAACCATCCAGCCACTCCGTATCCGCGCACCTGGCTTCACATAACCCAGTTTGAAGCTGTTGGAAATAGCGCAACTCCCCTCATTGAATGAGAATTGCATGCAATCATCCTGCTCCTCACACAGCGTACGGCAGTGTTCAAAAGATTTCCAGGCGTTGCGCTCGAGTTTGTTGGCAACGGCGGAGTGGTCGTGGGCGTTGTATTCTTTGTCGGCGGACATGTTGTCCCAGGCTGTGACTGAAGGACCGATTTTAGGGCGTACGAGCTCCATGAAGATGTCTCTGTGGCGGAGGAGAATAGGATGCCTATTGTACCAATCCTGTTCGAACGACCAGAGTTCTTGGATCTCAGTGGGAGACACGTGGTGGTACGTTATAGCCGGGTAGCACCAGAGGTCGCGATCGATTTTCGACGTCGCGGGATCGAGAGTCGCGGGGGAGTCGCCTTGGAAATGGGGGAAGGCGCGGTGCAGGGGAATGGAGATGTCTTCGAGGACTTTTCCCAAGGCGCAATCGCCGACCCAGTGGGTTTTGGTAAAGTCTTCGTATTCGGAGATGCGGGGGGAGCGTTGGGCGGAGACTTTACGTGCGGCGGGGGCAGAGAGGGCGAAGCCGGCGCCGCCGTAGGCGAATTCGACTTCGTTGATGAAGAGGTGCTTGCCGATGTAGTAGGACTTGCTGTCGTCGAAGTTGCCGAGGAATTCGAGGAGGTTGTTCCAGTTTAGGTACGTGTCGGCTTCCATGAAGAAATACCATTTGGCGTCTGGCTTCTCCTCGAGTGCTTGGTCGATCATGGGGAGAAACTTCCACTTGTCAAGCTGCCAGCCATCGTTGTCGGTGCGCAGGTAGTCACCCTGCGACGATCCGGATAGCGATGTGAGGACTTCTTGTTGTTTCACGCCTCGCCTTCCGTGCTCTTGTAGTTGGTGGTACAGCTTGAAGTCGTCATTCGTCTTCTTCGTCTCTTCACTAACTCCTTTGAGCACATCGTGGACGACGTGTCCATCTATCTCCTCTTCCAAGTCCGAGTGTATAACATAGTGGGGGACGCAACGTAACGTGGTACGGAGGTGCACCGGCACCTTTTCGAGTGATTCGGTGGCCCCGGTTCGCAAGACGACCAAGACGTCATCGGCGAGCTTGGACTGCGGGCAAAAGAGTTCTTCGGAGTGCTCATGCGCCGAGGTCTTTGCGGCGTGGAAGAGGGGCGGAGTGGCCTTGGTGAAGATATTAAGGACGGATACGGCGAATACGGCGCAGAAGATTAGTCGGCATAGGAAGGAGCGATTAGGCATGGCGGTCTAATAGTGATGGTGCAGCTCCGGGCTGAACCGCGAAAAGTCTAAGTAAAGAGTGTAGTAGCTGGAAAGGACAGTATAGTAATAAGAAGAATGAACGTGTGTATGGATCTCGCTAGTGTTCTGATAGAGAGTGGAGATGCGGTGCCGTAGCCATCGGATGCCGGCGGAGGTTGGGTAAAGCGGGGAGCGAGGTAGCAGCGGAGTGTAGTTCGTATGAATAAGGAAAGAAGAGGAAGGTTCAAGGGAGGAGGCATGCTCCTCTTGAGCGACTTGTAGGCTATGGCGATCATAACCTTTTGGCATGACCGTGTGTGCAAGTGGCCGAAGCGACCTGGCGATCAATGCCCCCGGTGTGGATTCGTCAAATGCGCCGGACCTGTCACGGCGTGTCATTCCCGTGCGCGTAGGATCGCCACAAACCGCGGTGAGCAGGGCATGATGATAATGGCGCGTTATGAAGCACGGCGCTGACCTTGCAGCGCATGCTGATGCCGCGCTGGGGCTGCGCCTAACCGGCTTACGGGGGCGTGAAGCTGCACAGTGTCAGAGTTTTGGGTGTGGTAATGGGGTGCCGAGGAGCTGGTAACCTGGGGCATGAGGCGTTGCGCCTACCGCTTCTAGCGCTACGTCATGGCCCGTTTCAAGTGGCTGGTTCGGGCATCGCGGATTCGGATCGGCATTTGCTGCTGCCTCATTGTGGAAGTTTGTATCCTGGTGTTGATCACCATCATCAATCCAAATGAACGCGCGTCGACAAAAGGAGTACTCTCACCTGATGTTTGTGAGGGATATTCCATGCTTCGACGTCCCATGGGCGGTTCACGATGCCTCATTTCCGCGGTTCCTGTCAAGTCCACCACTCACGCTACTCCGCTTGGAGTCGTTCAACACTGAAAAGAAATTATGCGCGACAAAGTTCGGGTCGTGATACGAGAGTCCTGCCGATGCGACGGTGGTTCAAACAACGCGCATGAATGTTTTCCTTCTGTCCGCGAAGGAACAGCAGCAAACCACGAAGGGGTCATGTTTCAATGCCTCTCTTCACACATTTTTCTTTGTCGGCTTCACTGCATCCCATTCCAGCCTTGCTTCTTTGATTCAATAGCCTTGCCTGTATCAACTGTGTCTAAAAGCTAACCTCACAACTACTCCTTGTCCTCCAAAAAGCATACTAACTTCCTCAACGCTCAGCGTCCGAGTACGACCCAAGTAACGGCGAACTAACGGCGAACCAGTCCAAAAGCAACATCACACTACCAAACTTCTACCATGAGTCAACAGTTTTTTCAACGGCAGCAGCCGGGTATCGCTGTCCAATATCCCGAGATTACTCAACGGCAAGTGTGGGCCCTTGCTGCCGGTTATGTACTTTACTTCGTCTTGAGCATCACGGCTCTGATATGGTACAACCGATATGTGGAAGGGAGAGATCGTCGGCGTTGAACGTTGAGCGTTGAGCGCTGACCGCTGAGCGCGCATGGACGGCTGATGCAAGTATGGAGCGCTTTTGATGATCAAGCATACTGCAAGAGTCGTTGGGTTGGTGCTAATGCTCGACTGGATCTTCAGGTCACACGGATTCGACCTCATTGTTTCTGGGTATCCTTGGTGGCATCAGAGGTGGAGGGCGTTGTTTGATGTCATTTCTTCAACGGTGTTCTTTTCGCTTCTCGTGTCTTTTTGCTGAGATCCACCTTCTACTCGCGGGTCTACGGCCTGAATCATGAAGTCAAGCTTCACATAGCGCAGCGAGAGGTTCGCCGCTCACGAAGGGCACACGCTCAATGGCAGTTTACACATACACCCACGGCTCACTACTCACGTATACGACAAGGTCATGGTGAGATATAAGTGACGGCTGGTCGCACCGTCCCAGTATCATCACAGTGCTGAAAGCATCAAAGAGCAAGGTTGGAATTTGTTGCTTCAGCCGCCAGCTGAGAGGTTATACAAGCCAACACGCCCATCATCTGGGCTGAGTTCATAAGTTCGGCAAGGACCCATTGAAATGCACACCAGACCACGAATGAGCGGCACCGGAGCGTTCTCCGACATCTCAGTGTCTCCAACTCACCAAAACAGTGGCTCGGCACTTTACACTTCACCGAACAAAGACCAAAACGGATACCAGGACCGTGGAACACGGTTAGAAGCTATACAAGATGCATGTAGGCCGTTAGCTGAACGGTTGTGAAGTAGCCGCGAAGATTGTGGGGCGCCACGCAATTTTGATCACTAGTCACACCGACAAATGTCAAGATGGACAAAGGCCGTGGTGGTACTCACCCAAATACCTTTGCGCAAGGGTTCCGGTAACGCTCTGCGATGAGCACTTATGAAACCCGAATTTCACGCCTCCTACGTGGTGTGGCTTGCAGAATGTGTTCTAGCACTCGCGGCGACTGCACTCATTCCAAGCACAACTTCATCACCTCTCTCGTCATCAGCCTCATGTACATCCCGAGCAGCCGAAGAATGACGCTGCAATAAATTAAATCCCAGAAATCAACCAATGAGCGCCTCATCCTTCGCAGCATGCGAAGATCCTTGGCCATTTCCGTGTTCCATGCTAGGAAGAGCATCGGTATGATTCTGAAACTGCGCTAAACCGCCCTTTGTTCTCCAACTCCCCAACTCCTGACCTCACAAGATGCTTGTACGATCATCAGCAGCTACACATTCAGCCGCAAAGTTCACAGCAGAATCAAGCTTTTCGCGGAACGTTTATCAAACACCTCGTATATGCACCCCGCTGTGTTCTGCTTCCAGCCAGCAAAACTCCCTGACGTCTCATTAAACTTGGTGGGCCGGGAATTACGTCCCGGCACTTTACCAGCGAGTAAGAAGGAGCCGACAATACCGCCGCAATATATGAACGTCACGTCCTAGTGTACGCATGCGTCGCACACCTCTTTGTCCACTGCCACCGCAAGCCAAGTTGACCGCTTACTCCAATAGATGAAAATGATGACTTTGAGCAAGCATGTTTGCTCTTGTTTCCACACGTGTGCAGCGCTAACAGTGGGTGCTGACGTGCTGGGCGTTCTTGAGATCCAGAAATCATTTCGGCTGCGGCCTTGTGCCACCGGCTGCAAGGGCTCTCAGGGTTCTTAGGGCTGTTTAGTACCGTGTGGGAGGACGGGAAGGCATCTAGGACAGGCGTCGAAGGCGTTTTGTGGGGTAGATGGTAGTCTAGAAGAGTGCCGTCATGGGTGATAGAATGGAGAAGTGACTTGGCGCATATTGATATATAAACCTCGCTGCTCTCTTCGAGTGAATCTGCTCCAACTGACAAGCTCACCAAACTCAACTCCCACCTCCCAAAACTAATCTACAGAACCAGCCGCCCACCATGGTATCCATCAAGCAAATCACCCTCCTAGCCCTCACAACCGGCCTCGCCACCGTCACCGCCCAATCCACAGGCAAAACAACACGCTACTGGGACTGCTGCAAAGGCTCCTGTGCCTGGTCTGGAAAAGCGCCCGTCAACAAACCCATCGCCACCTGCGACAAGAACGATAACCCCCTCACGAACCTAAACGCAAAGAGCGGATGCGAGAGCGGAGGAGGCGAGGCATACATGTGCACTAACCAGTCGCCATGGGCCGTCAACGACGACCTCGCGTATGGATTCGCAGCTGTGAAGCTCGCGGGGAAGACGGAGAGGGACTGGTGCTGTGCTTGCTATGAGTATGTCTACCTTAACCACTCTGCTGAACATCAGAATTTAGATGAGATGTGACTGACGACCGATACAACAGAATGACATTCACATCCGGCCCCGTTTCCGGCAAGAAAATGATCGTGCAAACCACAAACACCGGCGGCGACCTCGGCGACAACCACTTCGACATCGCCATGCCGGGCGGTGGCGTCGGAATCTTCAACGCGTGTACCGCGCAGTTCGGTGCTCCGCCGAATGGCTGGGGCCAGCAGTATGGCGGTATCTCGTCGAGGTCGGAGTGTGATGGTTTCCCTGAGAAGCTTAAGCCGGGCTGCCAGTGGCGGTTCGATTGGTTTAAGAATGCGGATAATCCCAGTGTGAGCTTCAAGGAGGTTACGTGCCCGAAGGAGTTGACGGATAAGACGGGGTGTGTTAGGCAGTAGGTGGTATGGGTGAGGGGATTCGCTGTATATGATTATGATGAGGGTGACCTCTTGTATATATGAACTTATGAAACAAAGAATGATATGAATGGCTGCGCTAGTCACGCTAGAGAAGTATTCGATGTATGGATGAGTGTGCCGAAAATCTGGCAAAGCGAAAGATGTATACAACGGTCTATCTAATCCTGTTTGGTCGTAAACTCCGCCTGCCCAACTTCATGTTCATGTGAGCTCCCCGAGCTAGTCTGCGCCAACTTCCCATTAACACCCGCAATAGCACTCTCAACAGCCGCGGCCACATCAATATGGAAGAACGGTCTGTTCTGCCCATGCACGGTAGTCACCTTACCACTCGGCAGACCCTTACTCCTATTAACAACGCTAATCTCATCCTGCGCCTCTTCGTCCTGCAACTTCGAGCCCGAGTTATCGAGAGGTGCGTAGCTGTACACTGGGTTCCAGTGCTGGCGTGCGGCAAAACGTTCGCGGTCGATGTAACCGAAGCCAGCGGTTGTCAGGGCGCGTTTGGTCCAGCGGCTGTTGATTGAGGCGAAGTGCCATTCTACTGTTTCGGGTGCGGCGTGGCGGTCGAGTTGCGCGCGTACGTCGATGAGTCCTTGGATTGATGTTACGTCGACGTTGTTGACGGCGCTGAAGTCTAGGATTATGGCGCGGAGGATGGGTCGGTTGTCGTCGACGTTGATTTGTTGTCCGCGACGTGGGCCTTGTGAAAGTCAGTATATTGAATGGCAGTCTGGTCATGTGTCAATCTCACCTGGGTCGTTCCATGGTCGATCACCGATCTTTTGGTACTTGTCCAGTGTCGTTGGGCGGGAAATAGTCTGCGCATGATGCACGAGTTCATCCATGTAGCCTTGCTGGTTGAGATATGTGAAGCCCTCGGTGAAACGGTAGATGAGTATTCCGGGGTACGGAGATTCGATGTCGACCAGCGGGTTTGAGCCATCCTTGCGGCTGATTGGGATGAAAGCCTCACGAACAGAAGCGGTAGTTCCAGGAGTGAAGTGACCATCGTCCTTGTTGGCCATAGTTTCGGGACTGGCAATGTAGATCCTGACTCTGCCTAGAACGGCTCCGTGAGTGAACAGCTGGCGCCAAAGCAGGAGTGCGAATGAGGCCGCGATGGTGACGTAGATGCCGTTTTCGATGTTCGTGAAGATTGTTACGAAGACACCTGCGAAGAAAATCACTACTTCCAGAGGTGACGTTTCCCAAAACTGGAAGACCACGTTGGGTGGCGTGATTAGATCGCCGACAGCGTGAATGATGACGGCGGCAAGCGCGGCCGAAGGGATGTAGAAGAAGACTGCCGTCAAAGCATACAAGGCGAGGAGGACGATGACTGCAGTGAAGATACCAGCGAGCGGGGTACGGACACCTGCTTTGGACTTGATAGCGGTTCGCGAGAACGAGCCGGTGGCCGGGTAGGCACCAAGGAATGGACCAATAACATTCGTAAATCCGACGGCGACGAGTTCTTGCGAGGCTAAACAGCAGGGTCAGTATTTCCTCATCCGAGACATGAGAACGACTTACGGTTGATGACGTAGTTGTTGATGCGCCCGAAAGACTTTGAGATCGCGATATGTTCGAGAATTAATACGATGATCGTAACTGGAATGTCAGGTGCGATTGCTGAGAGAAGTTTGGTGTCCATGTTCGGGGCACCGGCATGCTGAAATCCTCGCGGCACACGACCCAGAATCTTGAACTTGGCCATCTTGACATCGTTTTTCGCATTGTGGAGACCTGGGATGTCCTTGTTGGCGAGCCAGCTGATCATGATGTAGAGGAGAATGACGAAGGCCATCCGCAGTGTGCTGACGAAGAACCAGACCTTTTGCTTCGACGGCTGCTTCTTCGACATGAAGTTGCAAAAGATGCGGATGGCGTAGAGCATGAAGAGGGCAGTCAATCCCATAGCGGCATCCAGCTTTGTGCGTCCAAGGCCTTTGAGGGTGTCGATGACGACTAGGTACGTGGGACCACGTGTGTTGACGCCAGAGATACCCATGAGGGCTGGGACCTGTCCGGCTCCAATGGAGATGGCTGCGCCTGTCATGAACGAGGTGATCGCAACAAGAGGGATGAGCTCGACGATCCTTCCAAGACGTGTGAGACCGATGAACAGGAGAACGGAACCAGCGATAACGGAAAGAGCCCGGGCAATGTCCACGGCTTCGATCTCTGGCTGTTTTTCCTGGATCTTTGTGACAATGTTGCCGACAATGGTACTCATAACAGCAACGGTACCAATGGTGATGTCCTTGGATGTAGCAAAAGCCCAGTAGAGGATGAAGCCGACGAAACTGGTGTAGAGTCCATACTCAGGAGGAAGCTTCGCCAGTAAAGCGTATGCCATACCCTGGGGGATGACAACAAATCCAACGGTGCAGCCGGCGATGAAGTCTCCGAAGAGCCATGTCAAGTTGTAGTGAAATATCCAATCCCAGAAGGGAAACAAGCTTCGTAGGTAGCGTTTCGTGGCGGTCGCTGACGGCTTGAACCGAGAAAGCCATTCCTTTGCGGTCGGTTCGCGCTCGACGTCTACATCCTATTAGCTCTTGTCGGATGACAGACTATACAGTATTTACATGTTTCCACGGATGATATTGATGCAGCGCCAGAAACCTCGGGCTCTTTTCGGTAGTCAAGATTGATTCCAAGCACCTTGGCTGCTTTCTGACCAGCGGATGCCATATTGGCGGACGTCGTCAGCGAAGGCTGTATCCTGGACTCCTAGGATTTTGTGAACAACAGATTGAATCAAGTCAAGTAGGGTTCCGGCCGGGTTAAATGTACCCAAAGACGCGCGTGGTGATACAAGGTAACGAGTATCTGGAAGACCCGACGTTTTGCCAGACCGAGGGAAGATGGGTGCAACCTTATAGTACGTTGCGTGAACGAGCCCCCCGTGGAGAAGTAGTGGGAGAATGTCAAGTTCGGTCAAATAGAAATGCCACATAGTTCCAGATCCAAGGCGGAGGCACAGCCGCATGTGCTATGGGCCGACGCCATCCCAGGGATTTGACGTCTAACAAGACGGCACATTGCGCTTGGCGTGGGCAGAGTGTGCGAGAGAAGCTTTCCGTGCAAATCACAGTGCAGCAATGCTATCACTGCACAGCGCCCGATCATGACGTGCTTTGCATTGAGCAGAATCCTACTTATTGGCAGATGGAAGACGAGGAATTTGGCAGGCTGGGCTCAGCGAAGCGTTGAGCTTGTGAGGTCTGGGCTTCCGAAGGCGGAGATATGGCGTTGGAGGCGTTGGAGGATCGCGTGGGAGATCTGGGGTCGCTGGTTGGCCATGGCTAGTGTACACCGTATCTTACAAGCTCCTAGACATTGTCCATGCTACCAATTTGTGCAATTTCCTCTTTGTTTGGAAATTTTCATGTCAACGAGCATGGCAAGACCAACGCCAGGAAGGAAGAGTGGACATGCCCAGTCTTGCAGTATCTCAACGAACTAGCATCTGGCGTACACTGTTCGCGTAACGTTCGCAATTGATGCCAAGGATTGCGACATCTCGGTTGGCGGCATTGGCACCAAACACGATGCTTACCTGGACAGGCCTACTGCAGCCACACTAGCGCCCGAAAGACGGTGCTGTAAGAAGGTTGTCACATTCGGGATGGCAGATGTGAAGAGCTAATGCACTGAAACAGATGGCGAATATCCAAGCGCACCCTCCCCAATGTCTTCACATTGGGTGTGTTTCGTCCGAGTGCGGAGATAGTTCCGATACTTCGACCAAATGTACGCCAGGAAGGCGGTGGTTGTGCGCAAAGCCGAACAAGGTACAATCTCATTGCTGAGCTCTTGGACGCGGTTCAGAACTCAAGACTCTCCGCAAAGCCACATTTGGGGTTGTTAATCTGGGTAAGGTTTCCAGCCTCATTTGCTGCACGATAAGCGCCAGATTCATCTCCAGATGCCGTGCAACCAGGGTCTCGGTTTGATGCCATCCATGCACAAGCCCTCCAGCTGAACTCTTACCTGGATTCTAGGCCATATAATTAGACTTCGCGGTAGCACGCCATCTGAGGCATTGATCACACTCACACGGGCCAGCGAATCGACACGCTCTTCGAGAAGAAGCAACTGCTCAGTTACACACACCCTCACGAGCTAGCGGAATGCCACTACAACCAGCCTGGGTCGCCTCTTCAGCCCGCGTGCTACGATGTGTAACTATCCTAGATGCTTGGACGCCATTGGTTTACCACACTTTATCGCATGCAAGCAGAACCACCGACGTGGGTTCCAACACGAACCGAGAGTCTGGAACAGTATGAAGTCTGCATGATCTGCGGGAGTTCCTACGCTGTACAAGGCCACATCCTCGTGAGGATTGAAGAAGCGAGTGGCGGTTTGTCCCGGACGTCTGGCCAGCCCAAACCTATGCACCTTCGCGTGTATATCGCCGAGGAGGGTCTGGGGTTCGTATAGAACGTGGGATGGTCGACTAAGATAGCGTTTACTGTTGTCCTTCATGGGGGGTTCATCTCGGCCACCACCTAGTCGGGCAATAATTGTCCGCAAGGAGGGAGAATCGGAGTGATCGTGGTATTCGTTCAAAAGAGATCATTGTGGTAAGGAAAGAAGTGACGCGTGACGTGCTTGGTCTTGATAGCGCATTTGACCATCGATCATGCGTGATCTGGCGAATGTCAGTAAATCTGCGAATTGAGGCGTCCACTGCTGTCTATGGCGCGCAGGATATGCTGCGCAAATACAGCGCCGCAGAAATTAATAAGAATGTAGAAGATCTGATTTCGTCGTGGATAGACGTACCGCTTGTGTTCTGGAGTGAATGAAAGAGAAGGAGTCTCGCATGAAGCCCCCGATGCAGCGCTGAACCAATCGCGAGATTACGTCATCGACCCTGCGCGAAAACCAACACATTAGCACCGCAGAGCTGACCTCAGCGACACCCACACGCGACGATGCGTGTGTCCTGTTGATAGGCCGAAATGCAGGTAAACCTCGGCGCACAACTGACTATTGTTCTAAACTCCGTTTCTCGTCGTTCGATGAAGCCTTAACGCCATGAAAACTCGCGCCTCGCTCTTGATGCGTCCACGAGTGCCAATAAAAGCGGAGTGAGGGGTCAAAGGCAACAGAGATGACCTCAGCCCTGACCGGGGCGTAATGCAACATACAAGGTAACGAGCGAGGTATATAACCTCTTGGTTGAGCCATGGTGGAAGCGCGACAATTATACACAGGTCTGGCGACTCGTGCGATGGCTTCCAAAAGTCTTCTTCTGCGGGGCGGTGTTGCTCTGATACATGATGCGAATAACCACGTCGTTCCTACCAAGACTGACATTCTTGTCGAAGAGGGCAGGATCACAAAAGTCGCGCATCAGATTGAATCGCGTCAGGACATCGAGACTATTGACTGCACTGACAAAATCATCAGCCCAGGCTTTATCGATACACATCGTCATGCTTGGCAAACACAGCTCAAAGGCAGGCACGCCAATGAGCAGCTGCTGGAGTACATGGTGACTGGTATGGTTTCATGTCGAACTATAGGACCTCATTTTGACAAAGAGCAGGCAATTCGCAGTCTTTCCAGTACTCGCCCGAAGATGTCTTCTACGGTCAGCTCGCCGGTTTACTGGAGAGTATCGCAGCTGGCACGACCACGGTGGTTGAGCACGCACACATCACCCGCTCACCAGAACACGCCAAAGCCGCCATCGCAGGTACTGCATCTTCCGGCATGCGATCCGTGTTCTGCTACACTCCCATTTCGCTCGTCAAGCAGTTCAACCCCCTCACCTGGCATCAAAACCTCCTCGAGGACTGGGTCATGAACACCTTCGAGGAACTCGCCGATAATGGACCTTTCGGGGACGGAAGAGTAACGCTGGGTTTCGCGTTCGACTTTTGGTTTCTGCCTGCAGATATGATCAAAGGCATATTTGCTAAGGTGAATGCCAAAGGCGTCAAGACGATTACCACCCACGGCTCTGTATCGCTAGGAGGTAGTGTGATACAAGCAGCGTCGAAGCATGGTTTACTCGACGAGAAGATTATCGTTTCGCACGGTGGTACCATCGTCAAGGCTGATGCTGAACTCTTGAAGGCCGCTGGTGCATTCGTGAGCTCTACCCCGAGTTCAGAGCTCCAGATGGCCATGGGGAGGTCCTACTGCTTCGATGCCTCATTCCCAGATGGAGGCGTGAGCGGAGATTCGATTGGACTACAGGACAACAGCGCGCTTGGCGTTGATTGCCATTCCGCCACTGCCGGCTCTATTATCGCTGAAGCAAAACTTGGTCTCGGCAATGCGCGAAATCACCACAACGAACACATCATGAAGCAAGACAAGATTCCACGAGATCTTCCTGATAGCCTCAGTGTCGAGGCCGCCTTCAATCTCGCAACGATCAAAGGCGCAGAGGCTGCGAACTTGAGCAGCAAGATTGGCCGTATTGCGGAAGGGTACAAAGCGGATCTGGTCATCTTCGACGCTCTGAGTCCCAGCATGGTCGGCGCTGCGCAACACAATCCCGTCGCCGCGATCATCCTGCACTCGAGCCCGGCCGATATCGAGACTGTCATTGTCGATGGCATCGTGAGGAAGAAGGATGGCAAGCTACTGCCGGTACAGGTAGACAGCAGCGCCAAAGATATGATAGGAAGCGACACCCTCGACTGGCTCAGCATTGCCAAAGAGATTGTCTTAGGCAGAGAGAAGATGCAGAAGGAAATTGACAAGATCGATTTTGAGGAAGCATACGAGGCAATACTCAAGATGTTCCACGTTGACAAGACGAAATTGGTAGACTGAGATCTGTAGAGTATCTCCAATATCGGATAACGCTGTCTCGATACTCAAAACCTAGCTGAGGGGGTTGATCGTTATCATTTGGCTGTTGTAAATCGTGGTTTGTATGGTAATCGGCCCTGTAACACGAGCGCGACGCGCTGCATTATACTCAGTATGGTTAGTCAGTTAGCGCCTCCTTCACCCCAACCTCAAGGGGATCGAACTATTAAATGCTCCCCTTACTGCGCGGATATTTAGGTCGTCTCATTCGATCTCTGTTGCAATAACTATACATTTTCATTCGGCAGTCAATTCTCAGTGTGCGCTTTGTATCATGGGCCAACACTCTACGTCGAAGGAGCGTAAGTATCTGGAGCTACGCAAGCAACCACTCAAGTATACGCACTGCAGAGCGGCAACACGACCCATCTGCCATAATACCATCAGATTCAAAGAAGGATAGACCGCCTTCTCACGAACATGATTGCAAATATAAAGTCTACCCAGATGCACTGATTAGGCACCTGAGATATGAAGACAAGGTCGAGCAGATCTAAGCACAGCTATCTGAGCGACTGCGGCAGGTCGACGAAATCTTAACCCTCCTGAAATGCGCGACCTACATTATGTACTCGGAACGCAAGATCTTGGGTTAGACGGATTCTGGAAAGCGCATAAAGCATACTTCCGTCACGAGTCTGAGCAAGATTGATTGATATTCGAGAAAATCTCAAGACGTGCCGAGGTTATTAGGGTAAAGGCGAGCTTAAGGTTATACTGGGATGGAACTTGCGACAAATGGCAAGGCACTTTCGAAGTATTATGGCTAAATTACTAGATATCTGCGCTTGATGAGGCTAAGCATTACTCCTTGCGAATACACTTGATCTTTCTCCGCGACGGGTACTTGAGGTTGAAGATTTTTCTACCTGATCCTGTTAGGAGGGAGAGTACTGGTTATACTGAATTTTTTGCCATTGAAGAGGACAGGACAGATGATGGAGAAGGCGGATCAATTTCGGATTTCGAACAGGACGAGCTTGAGACCACTGAGTCTAGCGGCGAAGATACCACAGATCGCGAGAGCGATATTCCGGCCGGCGATCACGACAGGGCTCGACAAAAACACGCGAAGCGCGAAGCGCGTGGCAGAGCCATCGAAAGATCGCTTGAGGAAAGAATTGCTTCGGGAGAGGAAGAAGACGACGAAAGCAGCGAAGCACGCAGGACAGACCTGGAAAATTATGTTACCGTGACTTGGGACGTTCACTCGATTGCATACCTCGACATGCTCATCGTCAAAGGCATGGAAGTTGACGATAAAGTCTTCGACGGCTACACCTGCAGCGAGTTCAGCTTTGATTGGGACATCTACGAGTCACGCTATACGGCCACCCTGGAACTTTGGCCGTCGAATCATCCATGGACAGGCGATTTTGAGGGGGAACGAAAGTGCAAGAGACGGTGCATCTAGCACATCCGACGCTGACGAAGACAACAGCGTTCGATCTGCTGTCAACGCTGCGCACAAACTACATCATCAGTACAGATACGAAGCTTCTCGTGCTTTCAATCATGTTGTATCAGGGATAAGACATGGAACTTTAGACCGTAAAAGCTATGGCGACATTCCAATGTTACCCATCCGGGGTGAATATACATTGTACTCTCCACAGTACGCGGAATTGCACTAAAAGGATAATCCGACTCTCTGAACCGAGCAGCTTGCCAGTACATGGACGGCAGGTAGCCTTCGTTCGGGACGACGCTGGAAAAGTGGTGGAGAAACTACTGAGGCTGCAAGCACAATTCCTGGATTCAAGCATTTTTTAACTTTCGAGTATTTTGAGGCAAAAATCTTTTGCTTGTAGGATCCATAATATCCAGGTGGATGATGGTGATATATTTCGGAATAAGCTCAAGCATTCGAAACGCATGACAATGTCGTGCCTTGATGGTCCATACACTACTTTAACCATTCCAGCGGAAGAACTAGGCGGCAATATTAAGGAAGACGACTACACGTTCGTTGGGATCCTGGATAGGACGGAGAAAGAAATAGCAACCACCAGGTTCATAAAGAACTATTGGTGCAGACCAGTACCACACTACGAAGCGCCATACATCTCCACTTTACCTCAAGGTTGCACACGGTATCTTGCGCCGACATCTTTTTCTGGGCCAAAACTACGTGATCAAGGCTCATGTCAGCTATGCAGGCGTGCTGATCTCTTTGCTGGTGAGTATGCATTCTTAGCTCGTAGTCATTACCATCAGCTCATGCAACAAAGTCCACAAACCAGGACGAATACAACGTAGGATATCGGAAGCTGCGAGCGCAGGCCAAGCAGGTACTGTACCACCAAACGAAAGTTCTGACGATGTCTACGAGAAGGCCCTTGCCAAAACTGGATCTACTTTTACAACTGGAAAAGTTTCGCATTGTTTTTGTGCGAGTCACGCTCGACTGCTAGAATCTTTGCAGCTCGTGGAACGCTCCCTATAGCGTCCTTGCAGGGCACATGGGCCTTGTATTCAAACGAGTATCTCACCTTGATACGTCAGTCAAGGTGCAGACATCAAACCAACTCGGACTACAGCGCTGGAACAGTACACGTAAGAACGTGTGGCTACGGTGGCAACGGACTTGAAAGCTATCACTACCCAGAAGGAGCCCAGTTCCGTTTGGCCGGACAAGATGCGTACCGGTGGATGCCATTATATGTCCCATACAAAGCGACAGGGGATGAGGAGAAGGAAAAGAAACATCGGATGAATGCACGTACGGGAAAAAAACGCTCGTTCTATGTATCTTACTATAGCCATGGCATATTGCAGTTTTGGATACCTGCGCAGTCGATGGGAGGAGACGAGCGTGATGATGCTGATGTCAACTTCTACGCTGTACATGATTGTGCGCAAGAAAAGGAAAGGAATCGGGAAATATGCGGCGTAGAAATGGGTATAGATCGGAGAGTCAAACATGGCTTGCGGTCTTGATGTTCGCGTGCCTGCCATATGCTGTTTATGATTACTGAATTAGAGTATCCTTCTCAATACGTTGCGATTTCTTCGTGGCAGTGATTAGGTGTAGTAGTTCAAGGAAAACAGAAGTAGAGATCTGCGTTGCGGCTCCCCAGTCGAACGTCATGCAGTCGGGTGGCGCAGGAGCTTGGACCCTTCAGCATCCCCGAAATCCATAGCTTCATCAAGAGATATCCCCAACATTACTACAACACCAGCGCATACCCAATTTCTTAACCTTTTGTTGTCGAAGTGCAGTTTCTGCATATCACCTGATCGCTACACATACTTCATCCGCCGCAATGGACGTCAAAGAGCCCCTACTACCGTCCGACCCCCCACCCTCATACGAAGATGCACGAAAGTCACCAATTCCACAAAACAAATCGGGATCAGGCGCACCATTAACGAAGAGACCGCCCCCAGGACCACCTCCGCCACTCAGCCTGCCAGCGCTGAATGAATTGAGAGGATCGAGAGTTGTGCTCGCGAGTGCGTCACCGCGGAGAAGACAGCTTCTCGCACAGGTGAGAAGCTCACCACCAGACGACAAGCATCATATGCTAATTTGGATTAGATCGGCCTCACAAAAATCGACGTAGTCCCATCTAAATTTGCCGAAAACCTGGACCATTCACTCGGCGCGCTGAACTACGTCCTCGAAACCGCGTCGGCCAAAGCGCATGACGTATACAAGACCGAGATCAACAATCGCGAGCGCGGCGAACCCGCCATAGTCATCGCTGCCGACACGATCGTAGTATCGTACGCTGGGCGAATACTGGAGAAGCCAAAGAGCGAGGCGGACCATATAGCAACGCTGAAGATGCTGAGAGATGAGGGCGAGCACAAGGTCATGACGGCTGTTGCCGTGATGAAGCCATTGGAGTCTGCGGTAGACCCGGGCTATGCTATGGAGACACATGTAGAGGAGACGACGGTGAAGTTTGATCCTACTGGTACTTAATCCCTCCCAAACGCGTCTGAGTAGAACACTAACATGCACAGTTACCGACGAACTCATTCTCGCATACGTCAGAACGCGCGACGGCAACGATAAAGCAGGCGGCTACGGTATACAGACAGCTGGCGCATGCCTCATCGAGCGTATAGAAGGATCATATGATAATGTGGTTGGTTTGCCGTTACGGCAGACGCTGAAGCTGATAGAGAAGGTCATGGAGCCTGAGGAAGAAGAGGGGGACTTCTTTGTGGATAGCAGAGAGGAAGAAGAGGAGGAGGAGTAGAGCCCCCCGGTATTCCAGGACAGCGATAGTGCCTGGCATGCGTATTCATCTCCACCTGGGCATAGACGACGGAAGAAAGCATGGGATCGCATAAGAAGGGTAACTTTCTTGGTTTGCACGGAATAGAGGCCATGATAAATGTTTGAGGTTGATACATGTCAGATAGCTCTATGGAGCAATTGACTGTTTTCAAGGAAAGATGATGGTTGACAAATACACAAGTAATTCATCCCGTACCGCATTCAACGGAGACATAGGAATCGATGTACCGACTTACGCCCGTATCCCCCCGGCAGACTATGCATTAATACTGTAGAGCTTTTCGTACGACACGCTTTGAGACGCACTTAGCTTGCTCGTGATCATTTTCTGACATGCTGCTCCAATTGCCAATGCACAAGACGAATCAGAAACATGCTTGGACGTTTCATGAAGCCTTCCAAGTCAGCACACTATCTCGCATTCTCACCGCTGAGTGCATTGAATCCATAGCGACTTCTAGCTACACCCCTCCATTACCAATCCACGCCCCACTTGCCTCGGCTCAGCCTTAAATCTCGCAGCGGGCACCTTTCCCAAAACGGGTGACTCCCGGCGCGAGCGCTCGTCATGGCTTCGTGTCGTTCAACGTTGTCTCGAAGATTCTGCATTTGCGACAAGTTTCGGGCCCCGCGTCGAGGCCTTCAACCAAAGAAGTGGCTTTGGTGGTCGGACGAAATTCGTTTTTGCGTCTTTTTGCCGGTCACTGGCCGATATGCAACGTTACGACTGGGCTTGCCGTGCTAGGACGGCGCCTCCGGTCCCTCCCTCCACCCATGATGCAATCAGGGTCTTTCTCTCGGCGGTGAAATCACAGTTTGTCAGCTAGAGGTGTTGGTATATAGATAGGTGCTCATGTCTCAATCTCCAGTATCAAATTATTAACATTACTCTACAACATCAGCATACAATACCCTACACATACCTTCCTAATACCCAATTCTACACACTACACACATCATCATGGTTCAGAACAAGGGCGTCATCTTCAAGAAGGTCCCAGAGGGATGGCCAAAGCCAGGCCAGGACCTCGCTGTTGAGGCCCGCGACATTGACCTCGACCAGAAGCTCCCCGAGGGAGCTCTTCTCGTCAAGAACTTCTATGCCTCCTTCGACCCCTACCAGCGCGGCCGCATGCGTGCACCCGACGTCAAGTCGTACTCCCCTCCCTTCGAGCTAGGCAAGCCCATCACCAACCGCTCCATCTTCAAGGTCGTCAAGTCTGCCAGCGACAAGTTCAAGGAGGGCCAGACCCTCATCACCATGGGCATCAGCCCCATTGAGGAGTACTCCGTCCTAGACAAGGACGCCGTCGCCAACTGCATGGAGCTCAAGAACCCCTACAACCTCGACCCCAAGTACTTCCTCGGCCCCCTAGGCATGCCCGGTCTAACCGCCTGGTCCTCCTTTTACGAGATTGGCCAACCCAAGAAGGGCGAAACAATCTTCATCTCAGCAGCCTCAGGCGCCGTGGGCCAACTCGTCGGCCAACTCGCCAAGCACGAGGGCCTCACCGTCATCGGCTCCGTCGGCGACGACAAGAAGCTTGACTTCATCACCAAGGAGCTCAACTTCGACTCCGGCTTCAACTACAAGACCGAGAAGCCCGCCGATGCCCTCGCCCGCCTCGCCCCCAACGGCATCGACATCTACTACGAAAACGTCGGCGGCGAGCAACTCGAAGCCGCCATCAACGCCATGAACAACTTCGGTCGCATCATCGCCTGCGGCATGATCTCCCAATACAACTCCAAGCCCGGCGAGCAGTACCCCATCCGCAACCTCATGAACATTGTTGCCAAGCGCCTTACCATCCGTGGTTTCATCGTTGGAGATGAGAACATGGGTCCCAAGCACGCAAAGGAGCACCAGGAGAAGCTGCAAAAGTGGTTGTCTGAGGGTAGCTTCAAGGCGAAGATTAGTGTTACTGAGGGTATTGATAATGCCGTCGACGGCTTTATTGGTATGCTTGAGGGAAAGAATTTTGGTAAGGCGGTGTTGCAGATTGCGGATCTGAGCAAGGAGTAGAAAGTTGTATATACCCCAATGAGGCCGGTTTGCACCGGTTGTATGAATGAAAGATGAATGAACAACAATAATGGTGTGTCAATTGTAACAGTGATGTTGTATACTTTCTGATTTCATCAATCTGTTATTCCAACGCAACGACATGTTATGTAATTCGAGAGAGTTGTAGGCCCTTGCTAATTGTAATACTAGTGCAGTAGAGTTTCTGGAAAGCGACTGAACGAGTCTCAAGGCTTTCGTAGCTGTCAATGACTCGCGCATCATAGCGCAGTCGGGGGGTTAGCTTGTAGCATGACTCGGCCCGGAGGGAGGTGCCGTCGGGTGCTGGGCGTGCTGGCAGTTTCCCCGCTCTGTCACTATCACTTCCTTTCAACTACAACGTTAAAAAGGTATGTATATTCTATGGTACGTCACACATTCTGAAGAGTGTTTCTAACCTCCTCGATAGATCGCCAGATACTCGTAGCCGGTCTTGGCCTTCCTGCAGTGTATATTCGCCAAGGCTACGATGAATCACAGCGACCCCCGGGCTGCAGTGGTCAGCAGCGTGTAGCGCAGCACCTTCCCCATTTGATGGCTGCTTCCTACTTCTCTTCTTCACAATCATGAATTTGCTGTGCCGTACAAGCATGCGCTAATCATTTGCGATAGATTCCAGACGCGCATTCGTTAATTACCCAGTTGAGGCGGTGTTGGGAATGTGATCCTGAGAGGGACGTGGATCTGCAACTACCGTTCATATTTAAACCTGCCTTGCCTTTTGTTCAATGCAGTCATGTTGTGGTATATTTGGGGGCCCAGACTCATCCAATCAAGGCGTCGTGGCGTTGAGGGTGACGTTGATGGCACACCTGCTCGACCAGGCTGCTTACATGCTGCTGTCAAGGCGACAACCGGGTATCTTCACCAACGTTTTCTTCAACACAACTCAGGGGACAATTACACTATATTCACCACTTCACCATTTTATCTGCGTTTAATTCCGGTTTATTCCAGTTCGCAGCGGCTTCAAAGACCCTTCTTTGCCACGTGCTGGCCATTCCTCGACCTCGCGAATCATCACCAGCACATACGAGCGACGTCTGTTACGTCTCTGCAAAGCCTTCCTAGTAGCCAGATACTTCACCGATTTGTTTGGTCGAGTAACTACAATCATGGGCAATTGTGGTAGTTCCATCGACTGTACTGCGTGCATTAGAGACCGGTGGGGGACCAAAGGATGGGAACCAAAGTGCCCATCACAAAGAAAGGTCAATGCAGACATCGCAGGTATTGGGGTAAGTAGTGAATCTTCATTTGATTCATTGTGCTAATGTAAGGCCAGATCCTCGTATCATTCTACTTCAGCGCCTTGGCTGTCTTCGTGGTGGTGATCCGGGGGTACCTAACCTCGACCTTGCCTTCGGGTCTGCTACAGTCAACTGATCAGCATGCAATTACAATACTGAAGGGCCCATTCAGGCGAAAAGGGCGCCACGATAGCGCGGAAATTGCCATATTCATACAGACGCCAAAACAACAAAGCCGCAGCCATGTTCTTGTCAAATTCATCAAGATGCTTAGCGACCAACAGCTTATAACGGGAATCTCAATACTGATTGCTGCGCTTTCAGGTAGATGTGCTATATCTCAGAATGAATGGCATATCGTTACGTCGCTGGCTTATTTTTCAGCTACGACGCACAGCTTGTCACTTGATGTACTGCGAAATCACCTAGCCCATCACAGATGGGTCAGGTATTGTCGCGTAGCTTTCACGCTTGTGTTTCTGATTCTGTTCACGTTCACCTTTCTCGTGGATAATCTCCGAGAGGGCTACAGCAGCAAAATAGTCCAATGCACGTTGGAGGAGTGGACATCGGATCCCGGGCTTATGAGTGTCATCCGGCTCGTAACCCAGATTATTCCTATACTGACAATCTTATGGGGAAAACATATCTCGGCCATAGCTCGACTAGCTGCTCCGGAAGTCGCTTACCAACGTCATGTCACCGCTACCCTAATGGATCGCATATTCATGTATCTCTGGAGCCGATCGAAACCCCCCTCCGAAATGGAGTTGGCAAGCATCATCGCAGATGCCCGTCTTGACTATGATACTAGAATGAAACCACCGTGTGATACGGCAAAGATATCTGTTTGGTATTTTCTTGAGCAATATCATGAAGCGTATCTCTCTGAGATCCCCGTGTGGGCTTTCCAATTCGTTTTCGGGACGGCAAATACGATTTCTGCGGTATTAGTAGCCGACGTCTACCCATCGAGCGATGCAGGGATGCTTGGCTTTGGTCAAGTCGTTGCGATCGGTTTGCTCGTTCTTCCATTGCTTGCTCTAGTTGAAATCATAAACGGTAAGCCACGTCTTCACTCTCATGATGACTCTGCTGAATCAATGAAGAACAAACCGCGTTGGACAGCTCCCTTTCCTTATCAACACAGGGTAGTTTGCACCAGATCGATATCGCAAACACTTCATCTCCGAACCTTACCGCATCCGAGCCGCTGATCGAGCCATCCGTCCGCGTGCAGGGTGATGGCGTGAGCGGGTCTGGTCACATTGCGAATTCGCTCCCATCTAAGGCGGACAGGAAAGTCGCGACTCGATCTTTGGTTCTTTGTGCATCATCTACAGCACTAATGATTTTCGTGGGGGGTGCGGATTTCGTCCAGCTATACATGCTGCTGGGCATCGTTCCAGCATGGGCGCTATCAAAACTGACCATCGCTTTGAGACGTCAAATTCACCAGGCTCGATTCGTATGGAAAGAGATGAAATCACGCAAGACTAAGAAAACTTCCTTACAGGCGTCTCCGATGGCGCATAGCACGTCTGGAGATAGCACATCGCACAACCCACCACGACTGCCTTCCCTGGATATGTCCGACAACCAGCGCGAAAATGCACACATCACTGCGACAGAAACGAGCCCGACATTCGAACGACCTCGCAGGCAGGATACTGAAGCTAGCCTTGGTTTGAACGCACTGTTCAACAGGCAAGACGGGAGTTCTTGATCGCCAGGCGGCCCAAAATATGGGGTTTCTTTTATCGCACGCATGTTAGGCGGCCCTTGAACTATAGTGATGCGACGATGGGTCTGGGGTACATGCTGAACGTAGCGACCTGCAGTACCACCATCACCCTCCGGTACATCTCAGCCCAACCTGCACGGCTGATCTCTAATACCGCTCCCCGCCTTCACGATCTTTTCAGTCGACTATGTAGGCGCTTGCGGCCGACTTCTCAGCATATGCTTAGGGACTACAATCAGACAAGGCTGAGTCATAATACAATTCATCAATACACACCACCAAGCATTAAAAGCTCTCAAGCATTCACCTTTCCATTGTTACGTCTGGTCTGATTCGGTCATGGTTTCCATCCAATATAGTGTGTCATACGCTGTGACACACGTAGCTAACCGTCTCGACAGGCCACGAGACATCCGAACTTAATCTCGGCCTTTCTAGACTACACCTCGTCACGAACACGACACGGCCCCCGAGAACTATACTACTGTCCTATACCCAGCTTATCGCATTGTGGTCTTCTTAAAAGATGAACATGTAGAGTAGACACTGAAGCAGATATCGGGCTTGTTCCATTGGCAAGATGGAAAACATTTCCCCCGACGCGGAAAGAGTAAAACTAAGTTAGGACATGGAAATAAGCACATCAATGGCAAAACCTCCATCATTGAATGAAGTATCCATATTCCTTCTTGAACCTGAACCAAACATGTCCGCCATCCGCCTCCAAAACCGCCTCCCCATGTCGAAACCTCCCACCGTCGAGCAGCCGACCTTATTACGAAGCCAGCCATGACACATGAAAAAGAGATACCAGTAGACCCCATAATGACCAAGCCCCAGATGTCGATCCTAACCCACATGCACGCCTGGATATTCGCCCATCGCCAATCATGCATCCCAGATAAAAACCTTCTCCAACGCGTGAGAATTTGAAGAGCCCAATGACTTTCTTCAAAGTTGAACAAACGCCCAGATCATGCAAAAGCAACGCAAAATAGTACAGAACAAAAAAAAGGGTCCTACAAAGAAGAGAATGGACGCCGCAATCAAAACGTTGCTGGCCAACTGTTCCTTAGAACTTGCGATGAAGATCGCTTGCAAACTTTTCGTATGTTGTACCGCGTGGCAAGGCGTGCGGTTCGAGATGTCGTTGATAGCACTTTTGAGTATGTACGAAACTGCTAGCCCTGCTCTTCATGAAGGTTAGCTCACATAATAACATGACCGTAGCACTGCGTACCTGTTTTTCTTCAACCCCACCAATGACTCACATCACGCAGCTTTCAGCGCCTGGGCGACCAAGACCGGAACCAAGATTGCAGTGACAAGGCCAACATTAACGACGATACCAGCAATGAGCGCCGTTCGCTTAGACTGTGGCGTGACGTGACCCAGGTGGCCTTTAGTAAGCTCGGCGATGACTTTGTCTCCTAAGAAACGGAAGAGAATGATACAGGGTGGCAGGAGGCAGAAAGCCGCGAAGATGAGCCACGATAGCTTGTTGCGCCGTATCTCATCTTCCGAATTGGGCTCGCGCTCTACACAGAGCAGGTGTGGAGAGTGCTGGTGGGCAATGTTGGTCCGGACCGGCGCAGGGTAGATGTCTAGGCTAGGGTGTGAGGCACGGAGAGGTGTGGTAGTGTCGCTGGTTGACGGACGATCACTACCGGCAATGAAGCGCGTGATGTGCGTCTCTTGAGTCGAGATGGTCAATCGAGCAGCCTCAGGCGCGAGGAACATTTGTCGCAGTTTCGTCTGCCCAGGTACGGCCGAGCGGCTGGTGCGACGCTGTTGACGCAGGAACGTGGTCGAGTTACGGAGGTGCTTGCGAGCACCAGGGTTTGGAGACGTCTCTTGAACAGTTTCCAATTCTGGCGTCTGGGAGAATGGACTGGCTTCTGATGGTGTTCGATGCTCAGGACTAGGCTTATAGACTGGTCGCGATTGGCTGATGCGCGTTACACTGCCTGTAGCTGGAAAGGGCGAAGCGTAGAAACCGGTGTAGTCTGAACGAAAGCTCTGGCGACCGACGCTAGAGCTGAGCTTGACACCAGGACTGCTGGTATCTGCGACACTGCTACCCGTCTCATGCATGCCAGTTCCGCGAAGAGTACCAGTGAGGTTGCCTTTGGGCCCAACTAGGGAAAGCTTCTCAAAGGTATTCTGACGTTCAAGACCAATGAGGCTGTTGTCGAAAACGCTCTCATCAGCGGTACTCGAAGTCGAAAGAATACTATCATCGCTTCGGTACCGATAATGTCCTTGCGGCTGACCCACGGACGAAGCGCGATGCTCATCGATAATGATGTTATCATTAGGGCCTGAAGCTAGCAGTTCTTGCGTCTCTTTGTCGCTGAAGGCGTATGGGTCCGCCCAAGGAGCGTAGTCATATGGCTGGTTCACAACACCGCGTCCCCTAACGTCCTCAGCTCGAGTAGCAAATTGGAACAATGGTGCTGTTCGCGATGCTGGAGGGCTAGTGGCCAACGGAGGAGATGAGGTATCGGGTGCCGTACGGACACTTACTTGGGCTCTCAACTGCGGTGGCGATGAGCCGAAATGGTGAGGGTGTTGAGTGCGTGTAGGACTAGGATGGTTGTAGTATGTCGATCGAGCCGGTGATTGAGCTAGCTTCGCCCAGGATGGAAGGGAGCCATCCGAGTTCAGACCGAGACTGTTCCGGGTACCCTCGCTGCTGCTATAGTCTGCAATACTGCTTAGAAGAGACTCGTGGCCTTTCGAATCGCGACTATTGCCGCCAACCGTCTCCCAGTCCGCTTTGTCTCCGGGAATAGCTGCGTCGCCGCCACCAAGAGGTGTGTCGGACTCCTCGGGAACGCAATATGATCTATTTGTGGCTGATTTACTTAGCATTAGGCTCGCTGAATTGCGCCTAGCCCACATCGCGGGTATCTTACTATCGTCCTGAAGCTTGTTGGTCGTGTCTTGGAAGATCTGTTCGGCCTGTTCGAGCGCTTCTCTAGGCGTATGCGGGCTTTGTGGGTTGTCCGCCTGGGAGTAGGATGATGAAGGCTCAAGGTCCCTGGCTTCTTGCTGAGAGTAAGACGAAGATGGCTCTAGAGTGCATGCTATAGGGGGCTGAATCGACGCATCCAACTGCGAGATGCGGAGCAAATCCCGAGTATCTCCGTACGAGTAGCGTGACTCGTCAGAGAACATACCCGACATTGCCAGGTGCGGAGGAAGGAAAGGTGCTTCATCGTACTCAAAGGCCGGTGCAAGAGGAGCCGCTTCACGAGGGGGCGAACCTGGGTGCTGGGTAATTGGAGGCCGTCTTGAAACTGCACCAGTTTGCTGGATCCCCTTTCCTTTGCCTTCGTAGTGTGTGGCCAGGGGCGCACTTGTAGTATCATGCGGGCTATATTCATCGATGAGCTTGCTGATGGTGTCCGTCCTAGGATCGCCTTCTTCGATGGAAGGGTGGTACATGTCCTGGGCGAATGGGCGTGACATTTGCCGACTGATGCGGTTAGAGTCGCCGTAATTGTACGAGCTCTTGGGATTGTACTCGTTTGCGAAGTCGCTTGCGTTTATTCCACTAAGCCGTGCGAACGGGTTACCACTGCTGTTCCGGTTGCTCTGAAGTCCCTGCTGATACATGGACTTCCGATGACCATCTGCGGTGTAGATTGACGAACTGGGGTAGATCGAGTCAAGATCATCGTAGTAAGGTTTCGCAAAACCGCTCTCAGTAGAACATGGCAGATGAGAATCATCTAGTCGTCCGATTTGCGTAGAGTGCTCATCCGGCAGCATAGATGCCAACGACTCCGTCTGGTAATGTCCTGCAGGATGCATGCGCGATGTCTCCGCCTCATTTTGTCCAGTCGAGAATGCTTGGGGAAAGGCTGGTGTGAAGGCATGGAACCCTTCGGGTGACAGGGGACTACTTGGAGTAGCTGGCGACATGTGGCCGACCGGGAAGTATGATGTTTCGGGGGTGGTAACATAGGTCTGATGTAGCGGACGCGGGAATTCTCCGTCCATGCTGATTGATGCCTTGCTCACGTTTTCGTTACGCATATCCTGCAACTCCTCGCCCTGTGGCACCGCCGGGGTCTTGCTGAGCTTCTTCGTCAAGGTGCGAGTTAATCCTTTGAGGGAGAATCGTGACTCGCGCGCGGGCGGCTTGATGGCCAACGGGGAGGGCGCATTGACTGATTCTGGGCTGTATGGAGGCGATGTGTAAGACGAGGAATTGGGACTAACGGCAGCAGGCAATGGCTCAAGTGGAAGCTCCATATGCGAATGCTCTGACGAGTCTTCGGGACGTCTCAGAATACCTGCATGCGCTGCACGAAAATCGCCGTACACGGCTCGTTTGGGCGCCATCTGTTGCGATCAGCTGTGCTGAGAACAGAGTTGGGTTGTAATACATACCTCTGAAAACGCGTCGCCAGATGAACGTAGAAGAAGATATTCACTAGAATCGAAGTCGCGCGAGGGCGTAACAATGTCGTGAAGCACTAGCGAGTCGTGCGGGTTAACCAAGTCAAAGGAAGCACCGCGATAATGGATAATTGCGGGCGTCGTGGGCGGTGTCGCGGGCGCAGTTGTCGCGAAACTAGGTGCGCCTATTCGCGTCGGCTCTCTTTCATCGTGGGGTGGTGAGAGCGACGGGTCGATCTGGTGGGGCGGCTGCGGGAAGCGGGATAGCGAGAAGGTCGAGAGTGTGGGCGTGGTCTGCGCGCCGCTGGAGTGTGAAAGATCGGTGGAGAAGCTCAACACAGCAGGACGCGGTGATTGGCGTTGTTGCGTAGATTTCACGTTTGGAAGCGAAAGAGAAAACACAGGACCTGTAGTGGCAGGCGGTTTCGGTAACCTCTTTCTTGATTTGAACTGACGTACCTTGCTAGACGAGTTGCCAGTAGATATACTGGTAATACTGCCCGTCTGCACGCGAGGCTCAGCCGACTGCGACCGAAGCGATAGCTCGAGCAGTGTTGGTTGCTGGGGCGGCGGGCAATCCCCGTGGAGTTGATATGCCGACTGCGAAAAGTGAAGAGGGCGCAGTGGCGGACCAGAGTCTGACTGCGTTGAATAGGATACCGATGGTGCGCGTTCGATATCGTTCAAGGCAAGCGCCGCAGGTTTCCTCCGAAGAGTCTTGCCTGACGGTGTACCTGTTCGCGATAGCGTGGGCGTGTGTTGCTGCTTGCGATACTCGTGGATGGTGAGGATGTGGACGGGAGTCCGGGAGGAGGCAGACGAGGTAACTGAGTGGTGGGGGGAGTGGACGGGCGTCATAGGATTTCCAGCTTGCATCCGCAGTGAAGCCGCCTCAGAAAGTCGCGGTGACTGCGAGTGGGGGTAAAATGCCGCCATCTTCGACTTGGCCGTCAAGACCGTTTGTGGTTTACTTCGGTGGTGACTAGGAGTTTGCAGTCTGATTGCTGACTACAAATCTGTCATTGGTTTCATGTGTAGGGTAGCTTTCCAGGCTCTTGGTTCGTTGTTTCGCTTCGGGTCGGACTTGAGGTGAAGTTTAACGAATGCATTGCGGGACCCACGCCATGGGCTTCGAGGGCATGGATACGGTCCAATTGCTTTCGTGCCAGTCAGCGAGCTGTACTCGCGGCGATTCCAGAGTACTTGATGAACCTCAAAGTCGCCGTATACGGATGTCGTAACCGTCCCGGAGTGGGCTGATGTTCGAAAGAGCGGTTTCCTTCGGAGGAAAAGGCTGAGTACAGTCACAACCGAGTGTTCGTGAACGCAGATGTCGTTTTGTGCTGATAAGCGTAGTAAAGGCAGAGCGGTGCGACGTCAGAGAAACCGAGAAGGCGGAACAAAGAACCAGCAGCGAGCGACGATGGGAAGGGGAGATATTAAGATTAGAAGTCGATACAGAGAAGACGGGCGGCACGAGATTCTATCCCGCAGAGAAGAAGAGGAAGGAACGCTGCGAGATATCCCGAGCGGCGATAGACGAAGAAGGCACGATGTTCTCTCACCGGGTACCTACACACAGTAGGAAGGAACGATGACGGACCAGCAAAAATAAACAGAACGGAAAGAACATCCCTAGAAGCCAGCCCAACTTCAGCCCCGGCCTCAGCTCCGAGGGGCACCAGGCATTCGTCACGCTCAGCAGACCACACAATTCCCACGCATCCTTTCTGCTGCCCTACCTCATTACACCTACCGGGACCGTTGCGTGCGAAGAAAGAGCAATGCAGCTACATGTGTGGACGTCGGCATCTTGACCCCTTGTCTAGCGCATCTACGGTCTGACCAGTCAAACCTCGCAGACACCTGCAGCGACGAAACACACGACATGGGCCGCGCGATGGCGAGAGAGCGTCCAACACCACTTGATCTGCCCCGAGGGATGCGGCCTAATACCCGTCATCTCGTTTCAGAGCCTAGCGGGCGAGAATTCGGAGGCCGGACGGATGTTGGAAGGATCCAATCAGGCGGCGTGGTGCGTTTGCCTGCGAGCTTCACGACTGGCATTGCGCGGTAGGGGAGATGAGGCTTACCTCAGCTGGTGGAGAGAGGTGGAGATGAAATTTGGGGGGAGAGGTACGGAGGCTTGCCTGGTGCAGGAGGTGGTGTGCGTGATTGATGGATGGGGGTGTGCTGTCATTTCACGAACCTGTCACAAATTGCGCTAATGGTGACGATCTTAAGTAGCCGAGTCTTGGGAACTGCATGTTCTCACGCGAGTAATGATAAGGTGGTCGTCTGCCTGTTTTATATTGCAGCGCCACAGTTCGGGTCTTATTAGGCTCTCACGCGGGTACTTTGCTTGTAGTTGGTAGGAATAAACTACTCTACGCCGTTAGATGCTGACGATCACCTCACTGTATACCCGCTAAGTCTATCACCGCCACTTGATCTATCGCCCTTGTCTTCTGATTCATCTTGGGCAAGCTCATGCAAGGCTTGCTTCGCACCGTATTCCTTCAATCCCGTCCGTGACTTTCTGCGCCGTATTGACGGATACCGCACGGGCTCCAAATTGTTCAAGGGCGAGTACGAAAAGCGTCGCGGATCAAGACCTTGCGGATACTGATGTTCCAGCACGACGCGAATGTTCACGTTCTCGGGCACCGAGCTACGCCGATGGTGTGAAGAAGAATCTCCTCTGGACGACTTACTCTTATCCGGAGGCGTAGCTGGCTGCTTAGGTTGGGGTGGGGACGGAGCAGCTTCAATGGCTCTGCTCTCGTCGGCCTCTTGATACTCTATCAGATTCGGGTTGTTGACCTCCCCTTGCCGTGTACCCTGCAATGATAAGCTTGGATCGGGAGACCGTTCAGTAAGTAAACTTACGCGTGTTGGATACACAGTTCCCGGCATCATGACATATTCATCCAGGGTATGCATCAGTTTGGCGAAGTTGAACCCATGCCCTGGCCGACTTGGAAGGAACCTTTGCCCAATGTCATGTTCAAAACTGAGCATACAATCTTGATTCGGCATATACTTGGAAAGGTTGGTGTACCACTGAGGATATGTGCCGTACCAGGCTCCGACATCCGCGTTCAGATCGACCGACATGTATATGTTCTCGACATCTTCCGGCTTCTGTACAAGCAGGACAAAGTCAAATTCGCGCGGTAGACCTGATTTCTGAAGCATGTTCTCCGTGAGCGTCCAAACGGCCTTGGCGTCTTCAACATCGTACTCTGATCCATGTGGGCTTCGCTTTGATCGTACTGAACCTTGGATGCTCATCATGTGGAAGACCTTGTAGCTGCTCTTCATAGCTGCTTTCGGGTTCAGCGAAGCAGAAACAGGGGCCTGAGATACGCCCAGCGAGCTCGATAAGCTGAAATTCCACTGCAGGTTCTCTGGCGACACGGATCCGAACATCAGCTCTGGTGCATGCTTCAGGATGCGCGGATGCGATGCGCCTGGCTTCCGGGGTGTGTTGGGGTCACCGTCGTCGCCATGAACGGTAACTTCAATTTCGGCGCTCTTGAAACGGTGCGACTCTGGGTCATGGGGATGGAAGACAAAGTGTACCGACACGAAGAAGAGGTTGTTGATGACGGGTTGATGGAGTTCGTTGGACTTGTAGTAGCCATGTTGCAGTCGATTCACATGGGCGGAGATGTACGCGTTCCCAGGTAACCGGCGCTCATAGAGGCATTTCTTGTTGATTTGCAGGCGCTTCCTTGGTATGTTTGGATCTTTCGGCGGAGGCTTGACCGTTGCTCGACTTCTCTTGACAGGCGGGTCAGGTGCTTGCTGTTCTTGTTCTGGTTCGTCGTTGCCTCCCTTGAGATGTCGCATCAAGGAGTGCATCGTAACGTGGAAATATGTCGGAGATGGCGTTCACTATACGCGCGGGTTGCCAGTCATGGAGTATCGAGTGGTGCGTGCCCAGGATGTCATCAACGCTACCGGCTATGGCGGTATCTCTGGTGAGTCCGGATCTGAGCTTATCATGGCTGCGACGCGATACGAGAATGTTGAAAAGGGGAGAAGGGATGAAGGCCTGAGACGCGTCAGGTTGGATAGGAGCGAGATAGGTAAGAAGTTGGTGGCATAGGCCGAATTGGGCGTGGATCTACATGTCTCAGTGGTGCTGGTGTTGAAACCAATAACCCCTACGTCATGCTAAGGTTAGCTCGAACCAACACAGGCACGCGCAGGTTCGCGACACCTGAATGGTCTGCCGGAAGCACATGTGCCTAGAATTGCATCCATGGATGTCGCTGGATGAAGGTTAAGAGCGCGTTGCCGCGGACGTAAGCTCCTTATCAGCGCGCGTCTTTATCGCAAGCGAACCCCGCAGCATGGCCCAAAGAGGTGAGGCTTGTAGAGCGGGAGAGCGGTAGAGTCAGACTGAGTTATGATGGATACAATACAACGTAGAATCGCGTTGTCTTATCCTTATCCTTGGCTGCTTTTGTGTTCACAAGATGCAGTTGTGTCCAAAGGAGGTGTGTGACATGGTGCCATTGACGCGTACGACCCCTGCTGACCATCTCGCGACAGCTTGACAAGCTCGTCATATCGCAGCTCGGCCTCCTTGCGCAACGTCGACTGGCAAGGGGAGTGAAGCTAAACCATGCTGAAGCCACCGTGAGTCTCGCATTATATCGCGTGGACGCTGCTAATACTGCCAGGCTTTGATCGCGAACAATCTCCAGGAAGTACGACCTCAGACTTCGCGAGCATCCCCAGTCGCATGCTGAACGCGTACAGCTTATCCGCGATGGAAACCACTCGGTCGCCGATCTCATGTCAATTGGCACGACGATGCTTGGCCGCCGCCATGTACAGCCCTCTGTTGTCGCTTCGCTCGGCGAGTTGATGGTCGAAGGCACCTTTCCAACCGGCACATACCTCGTTACCGTCCACCACCCCGTCTGCACCGACGATGGAGACCTTGAGAAGGCGCTGTATGGCTCGTTCCTGCCAATCCCATCGAATGACATGTTTCCGCTACCCGACTCGAGCGTATACGAAGACACAAAGCAGCCAGGCGCAATCGTGGCTGTCAAGGGAGAGGCTGGTATAATCAAGCTGAACGAGGGGCGCAAGAGGATCAAGCTCAAGGTGAAGAGCATGGGGGATCGGCCAATTCAGGTATAGAACTATCACGCGACCACAGGCATGCAACTCACCAATTTTAGGTCGGATCGCATTACCACTTCATCGAGACGAACCCGCAACTTCAATTCGACCGTATACGAGCTCATGGGTACCGCCTCGATATTCCCGCTGGCACATCAGTACGCTTCGAGCCCGGCGACACCAAAACAGTCACCCTGGTACAGATTGGTGGTAATAAGATCATAAAGGGCGGAAACCAGATCGCTTCAGGCTTCATCGAGGACATGTCGGTTGCAAATGGCATCGTGGAAAGGTTGAAGTCCGGTGGCTTCCTTCACGAACCAGAACCGCATGGCGACGCCGCACACATCGACATCTGCACTATGGAGCGCCTGGCCTATATCAGCATGTTCGGTCCGACGACTGGTGACCTGGTCAGATTAGGTGCAACAGATCTCTGGATCAAGGTCGAGAAAGATATGACTACATATGGCGACGAGTGCGCTTTCGGCGGAGGCAAAACACTAAGAGAAGGCATGGGACAAGCTGGAGGTGTATCAGACAAAGACTCGCTGGATACCGTCATTACGAATGCTTTGATTATCGACTGGTCTGGCATCTACAAAGCGGACATTGGAATCAAAGATGGTATGATCGTTGGAATTGGCAAGGCAGGCAACCCAGATGTCATGGATGGTGTGGACTCCAACTTGGTAGTCGGTTCATGTACCGATGTCATCTCTGCTGAACATAAGATTGTCACAGCAGGTGGCTTCGATTCTCACATCCACTTCATCTGCCCTCAACAAGCACACGAAGCTATAGCATCAGGCATCACGACCATGCTCGGCGGCGGCACAGGACCCAGCACAGGCACAAACGCAACGACCTGCACTCCAGGCAAGACGCACATCAGGCAAATGCTCCAAGCCATCGACACACTCCCCGTGAACTACGGCATCACCGGCAAAGGCAACGACGCCGACATCCGGCCCCTCCAACAACAAGCCGAAGCAGGAGTCTGCGGCCTCAAACTGCACGAAGACTGGGGCAGCACCCCCGCCGCCATCGACGCCTGCCTAACCGTCTGCGACGAATACGACATCCAAACGCTCATCCACACCGACACACTCAACGAATCCGGCTTCGTCGAGTCCACCATCGCCGCCATCAAAGGCCGCACAATCCACACGTACCACACCGAAGGTGCGGGCGGCGGCCACGCTCCAGACATCATCAGCGTCGTCGAACTCGACAACGTGCTGCCTTCGTCTACAAACCCCACTCGACCCTATACACGCAACACGCTCGACGAGCACCTCGACATGCTAATGGTATGCCACCACCTCTCCCGCAACATCCCCGAAGACGTCGCTTTCGCCGAATCCCGTATCCGTGCCGAGACCATCGCCGCTGAAGATGTACTGCACGATCTCGGCGCTATCTCCATGATGTCCTCCGACTCGCAGGCCATGGGCCGCTGCGGCGAAGTCATTCTGCGTACGTGGAACACTGCGCATAAGAACAAAGTGCAAAGAGGTACGCTGAAAGAAGATGAAGGAACGGATGCGGATAACTTTAGGGTTAAAAGGTATATCAGTAAGTATACTGTTAATCCGGCGATAGCGCAGGGTATGGGGCATCTGGTGGGGAGTGTGGAGGTAGGTAAAATGGCGGATCTTGTGCTTTGGACGCCCAGGAACTTTGGGGTTAAGCCCAGTTTGGTGGTTAAGAGTGGATTTTGCTCGTATGCTCAGATGGTATGTCTTCCTCATCCTTCCTCCCCTCAATAATCTTCCCTCCATCATCAAGCAGGAATCTAATACAACCCAGGGCGATCCCAACGCCTCAATCCCCACCGTCGAACCCATCATCATGCGCCCTATGTTCGCGCCCATGGTGCCTTCATCCAGCGTAACGTTCGTCTCGCAAGCTTCCATTGCCTCTGGCGTCGTTAAGTCCTACGGCTTGCGCAAGCGCGTCGAGGCGGTGAAGAATTGTAGGAATATCGGTAAGAGGGATATGAAGTTCAATGATACGAAGCCGAAGATGAAGGTCGATCCCGAGAGGTATACGGTCGAGGCGGATGGAATGGTTTGTGAGGCGGAGCCTGCGGAGACGCTACCGTTGACGCAGGGGTATTTTGTTTATTAGGAAGAGAATTTGTAGAGTTAGTTCTGATATCTTGAAAAGCTGTTGTGCTTTCTAAGTGTGTGCTTTATATTCGTGTATGTGATGATGTTTCGTTGTTAGAAGAAACAGCTCTTGCTCCAATTTTCCTATAAGCTACTGGTTATTTGACAATACGTAAGACACGTTCTTACCCCAAAGGGTTAACAGGTACAGCGACACGCTTAAACCGCTCTGAAAACAAATCCTACAAGACTAACGCATAGTACTCCGGACAGCATCTTCAAACTAACAATACGATCAGTTCCCTCTCATACACACCACCACCTCTTCCTGATCGTCGCCAGCTCGCGAGTCAGCCTTCTCTTTCTTCGTCATCGGACTTCTCTCCCGATCGCCACCCAAGGTACTCTGCCTCTTCCGCTTAATCGTTGGCTCAAAGTCGTGAGCGTTTGGGTTCAGCATGCCGGAGCTGCTGAGATCGGAGTGTGCTGTGGCACCACCGAGTGCTTGTGCGAGTTCAGGTCCCATACCTGTAGTGTCAACGTGGTGCTCGAAGCTGCCTAGTTCCTCGCCAAGGGCACTGTATAGCTGTCTCTCTAGACGGCCAGTACTGTCGATGCTTGAAAGTGACACTCCAGTCTTGTGGCAGGACTTGAACGGAGACAGCTTGTTGCTCTCGAAGGAAGCATTGGTGCTTAGGTGGGGGTCGATGACATCCACGTCGATGATTTCGACTACATCGGGGATATTCTTCTGAGTACTGTGCAAGGATCCGTCTTTGTCCTCAAAGATGGATATATGTGCATTCTGAGACCCTGACTTCAATGATGGTAGTAGGCTCTGATCATGGCGCATGGCTTGCTCCGACAGCCTCGGTGAGTCAGATGCCATACCTTCCTTCCGGCTCCTAATATTCACAGCTGAAGGGCCGTAAGCTGACCCAAACTTAGCAGGCTCAATGGTCGGAGGCGGCGCTTCACTCCGAGTGAACCTATACATACTTGAACGTGCCGGAGATGGGTCTCTCATGGAGATATCTGAGTTTTGGGTTGGCAGCCGTTGCGCAAAGGGATTGGGAGTAGGGACACGATTGGTGTTTGGAAAAGCAGTAGGTAATCGCGACTGCGAAGGAGGACAGTTCTCTTTGTTGCTTGAGAAAGATGGGAGGTTCATCGTGGGCGGTTTGTCATTTATCGCATCGTGGAAACGCTGTCTACTTGGCGACTGCTTGTTGGATGCGTTCCGTAGGGCATTGTTAAAGTCTGAGTATGATGACTTGCGAGCCATGGCCGCCGACGACGGGCGGTTGATGGGTGGATCGATATCTGACTTTGGGGGACAGTAGTTGTGAGTAGTCGGTAGGCGACCAGTATTCTCATGGGGTTGATTGCCTGATCCATGCGATAATCCACGATTCTGCTTTGGTGGACTCATGGCTTGGATGATCTGACCTAGCTGGTCATCTCGAAGGGTGACGACGAGCTGCCTCTCCTTGTCCTTCCTCGGCGGATGATCTTCCCATTGGGTACTCATGCCTTGATCGTATTGGGACCTGTTGGGCATCCATGGTTGACTTTTCCGTGACAGATGTGAAGAGGCGTACATATAGTCAGGCATGGCCATGTCGCTAGTTGAGCCCGACGTCCTTCTTGTTGACAAAGTATCCATGCTAATGTCGTCGGCAGAATCTACAAGCGAGTTGAGATTGTCGTCCCATATGCCTAGACGACCGTTATGTTTGAAACCTGAAAGTGGCTTCGCAAACTGTGAGATAGAGGGCAGATGCGCATTAGAGCGTCGATTGGGTAATGAGTTCTGTGATCTAGCAAAATCGGATGCTGATGCTTGCGAGATCGGTAATTGCATGTTGATATCGCCTGGAAAAGTGCGAGCCTTCGGTGTCCAGGACTTCGTCGGAGATGTTTGCGACATATGCGTGGTCCGCTCCAGCGCATTGGGGAGATATAGAGGGTTTCGGATGGGCCATGAGATGCCCGCCTGCTCTAGGACGTCTGTTCCTAATTAGCGATGCATATGTGAGGGGTATAAAGTCCTCTGGCGTACCTTTTGGGGCATGCTGGAATGAGAAGCAAACAATGTCGTTGGTCGTGCCGAGGTCTACCTCTCCAGGACTGGCCGTCTTCGTGATTAACTGTTCCGACAACATGATCTTTATTCGTCCTTGTGGGTCGTGAGCATTCCATGAGTTCTGCATGAGGGTTCGTTGATGGAAGGGTGGGAACTCAAGGCATTGTTTCCGTTGGCTTGAAGGGTATTCGTTGACGGTGAGTGATCTCTTCTCTTGCGCTACCCATTGTCAGTCCAACGGTGATGTAGCATTGACTTTCATATGACATACCAATCTCTCGGGGCCATTTCGACGTTATGTCAAAGAAGCCACGGCTATGCTAATCAGCATTGTGGTCCCATATCGACAGGCCATGGCGTGGAGCTCACAAGACTCTAGCCCCGTCAACGATGACCTGAACTGTGTATACAACCTTCTGGTTCGCCTTTCGTTGAGACTCTATTAGTGCCGAGGCTTTCGATGCAGTGGCCCATGAATGTACGGAGATACGGAACGATGTGGACGGCGGCAGAGTGCTGATGTAGGAGGTCAGAGTGGGCAACTGGCGGCCATCTACATACTGTCAGTACTGCTGTTGAGGTAAAAGAAGATCGCATGCGGGTAGAGTATAGCACGGTACTCACACTCCTCAGATGAGACATAACAGGCAGTCTTGAACTCCTGTATCGGTACGTGAGAGTCCTTTGGGAAGAGGATCACGTCCCAGTCGTCGTAGCGCATGGCAGGCGTGCGATTGCTGCTGTTCGGGTCCAAAAGAGCAACAAGCAATTGGCAGTTGTGCCGGATGTGTATTTGTGGAGAGGAGGAAGCAGACCATTGTTTATGAGAGTCGAGGGTTGAGCGACGGAGGGTGCGCCCAAGATCCAGTAATGAGGAAGGCACGATTGTCACAGCGCAACGTCATGGCGCGAGGCGACTCACATCTTCGAGGGTTCGTGCAGATGCGATGAAGTGTAGATTGTATAAATTGGGCATGACTCGATCAAAACGCATGTTGCCGCATGCTCATGAAACATCCATCAGAAAGCCCTTCTACTAAGAATCCACTAACCGTCAGTCTATGATGTACCCTCCAAGGACCTTTGCAGCGACCTCGTACCAGGACTCCACTGACCATCAGTCTGCGACGTTTCCTTCGATAGACATCTATCAGAATACCCACATCGCACGCAACAACTCAACGCATGACCTCAAAAGAAGCGCAATCTTATAGCAAAGACGCGAACCTCCCGCCACGATAGAAATGAAACAGACTCTTGACGCCTTCTCTTGCTGCATGGGTATACCATATAATTCTTGTTCGCCAGACGCCTCGCTAAAGCATTATACCTTCATTCCCCAGTCAAAGAATATAGCCACGTCGTGATAATGAAGTTTCATGCCCCAAGAACTCCTTGCTAAAGCGGCAAAACAGTATCTGATATGCGTATAACCAATGCGAGAGCGTACGATGCGCAATTACTGCGGTGGAGGGAATTGCTGCGAGAAGGCACCGCCAAAGTCGGGCGAGCCGAAGCCGGGGCTGTTGGGGCCGTTGGGCTGGGTGGGGGTGAAACGGTAGTTGTTGAATGTGGGAGTGCCGTTCTGGCCGGCAGGGTTGGCCGTAGGAGCGTTCTGACTGCCGGGTCGCTGGCCACCGAGGCTTGCGTTCATCGACGGCGGGTAAGGGGAAGGCTGGCCAGCCTGGACGGGAAAGTTGCTACACGATGATGTTAGCAAGATGTCCAAGAAGATTGACAAAGCAGCAGACTCTGCGCGTGCTGACAGAACTAACAACAAGCTCGCAAAGAAAATACTAGAAGGCACTTGGAACAAAACGTTAGACGAATCAACCAAGCCAGTAAGCAAGCACGCAGAAATAGAAGAATCGTGTGATTGGAAATGATGGCCAATCCTGCAAGGAGCAGCGCACAATCGTGAAGAAAAGGCAAGTCGAGAGAAAGCAGCATCCGGCCCATGCATGACTAGCTACATCCCTATGCTCCCAGAAAGATGAGTGGCACGCTTAAAAAGAAAGCCCGAATGGGAGAATAGATGGCCTGTTATACAAAGACTCCCTTCTATGGCCCTCCAGCAAGATGAGTGTCGTGAGAAGAAGTCGAGAACTTTTGGAGAACCGCCCGTTATAGAACTAAAGACCAAATCGCTCGAAATTCGTCATGCTGAGTCATGAAAGGGATCGTTGCAGTAAGCCAACGGGATGAACCATGACAGAAGCGCCGTGCAAGCAATACAGAGGGAAAGAATGCGCTTACTATAGTCGAGTTAGCATCAAACACGGATGCAGCAACATGTGTTATTGACTTACCTTCATCATCGGGCCGTAGCCACCGCCACCGCCGTAGGGGTGTTGCGGGGGCATACCCATGCCTGGGCCAAAGGGAACTGGTGGAGGTGGTGCAGGGCGGTAAGGAGTACCGGCTGGGCCAGAGTTGTTCTGCGAGCGACCCCAGCTGAGACGGACGCGAGAGTTACCGATGGGGTAGCCTTGCATCTGGTTGATGGCCATCTCGGCTGCGTGGCGCTGAACGAACTGGACGAAACCGCAGCCTTTGCCTGGGGGAATCTTGACGTATGTGATCTCGCCAAAGCCCTGGAAGAAGGAGCGGAGCTCGTCCTCGGTGACGTAGCCGGAGAGACCGCCGACGAAGACGGTGGTGTTGTTGGGGTCAGTGAACTGGTTCATGGGCTGAGGAGCACCGTAGTAGCCGCCCATAGGGGGAGCGCCCATAGAGTACATGCCCATACCAGGGCCGCCGCCGCCTTGGGGCATGCCGCCCATTCCGCCGGGACCTCCGGGACCACCGCTCTTGTTCTTGGGTGTGGCGGTGGAGATACGCATGGGGCGGTTGCCGCAGTAGACGCCCTGCATCTCGGTGAGGGCCTTTTGCTGGTCCTCCTCGCTAGCGAACCGGACAAAACCGTAGCCGCGCGACATACCGCTGATGGGGTCGGACATGATCTTGGCGGACTTGGTGGACTGGTACTTGTTCTGGAAGAGTTGTACGAGGACGAACTCGGTGACCTCGGGGCCCAAGTCTCCGACGAAGATGCTGAATTCGGGACCACGCTCATCGCGGCTGTTTGAATTATTAGTGATCACTGTCGTATATAGATAGCCGGGTGAGACTTGCCTCCTGTCAGCAAGACCACCACCAGAGGCCCAGTTCAGCTTGAACGGGCGGTTGGAGTTAGGGATCAGTTGGCCGTTGAGGCTAAGGGCCTTGGACGCAGCATCAGGGCTCGCGAAGTCGACGAAGCAATATCCAGCATTGCTGCTATGCGGTAGTTAGCCTGGAGACTTTTTCCTGTGTGGACTCCGTGCTTACCCGGAGAACTTGTCGCGGATCATCTTGACGTTGACAGTCTCGCCCATGTTGTACCAAATGCTGCGCACGAAGTTCTCGTCGATCCAGGGCTCGAGTTCACCCATCCTGCGCCATGTTAGCATCGATGTGCCCCACCTAGTGAAAAGCCGCCCGAGCGCGTGTGTCGCCATCTAAGATGCGCAATATACGACTCGGGCGCGTCCGCAGACTCACCAGAGAGTCGTCTTGCCCGCACCCTGGCCTTGGCCGTCACCACCAGCGCTGCCTGGCGGGCCCATGTTGCCCTGGGGTGGGAAGCCGTTGCCGGAAGCGTCCATGGGCTGGCCCATGTCGCCGGGCTGCGGGGTCTGGTTGTTCATGTCGCCCTGGGGCTGGCCTTGGAATTGGTCGCCGTAGCTGTTATTGAAAGACATGACTGATAGATCAGGCGGGGTAGACGATTGAGCTAACGGAGGTGCGGAGTAAGGGTATGAGCTCTAATTATGATAGAGAACTGTAGCGTCGGTTATATGGTCTGCGCAAAAAAAGCAATTGTTAGTGCCGGTGAATGTGCGCGCAGGAGGTCAGGCAGCGGGAGCGAGGTGAGGGAGCTGGAAGAGTGGCAGGCTGCACTTACCGATTAGATCCGGTTCCTTCTATCACTGCAGTCGCGGAGGCAGTCGAGAGTACAGGCCAAGGAACACGCCTAGGAGACAGTCGGGAAAGGCGGCGACAGTAACTCCGGGTCGCGCACGAAGGAGTGGGTGGTGAGGGAGAGCGAAGGAGTGACCGTGAGGAAGCTCGAACGAAATCTGAGTGGGCGGGTCAGTACCGTAGTTTTCATGTCAGGCATCACATGCGGCGGGCGCACGAGGCCCATGTCACGACAGGTGCTCGCAACACCCACGGCAGTGAGAGCGCGTCGGGATGCGCGACGCTGGCTCAGGCTGGTGGCAGAGCTGCTGCAGGCCGCGCGACCAAGTCCGTGCAGGCGACGACGTCAGTAGGCGATGGACGCACATGGCGTAGCAGACGGGCGGTGGCCGAATTGATTGTGCAATCCGCTGCTCCCATGCCCCGGTGCACGAAATTGTGCAGTGGGCGGCCCGCCAAGACGAGATGAAAATTGCTCAAGAGATATAACGTACCGAAAAATCTCAAGGACACCGGCGAACTGGAGAAGCAGATGAGATCCAAACACCACAAACGCGAAGAAATCGGAGAGGAAAGACGATCGACGACGGCGAGTGTTGGGCAGTGTGGGAGGAAGGTCGGTCGGTGGGCGGGGTCGGTAGAAGAGCGAAGAACTGCAGATGATGTACGGCGCCGAGAATCCGCTAGGATTTACTTCGCTTGGTTTTGGTAGCGATGACTGCGCGAACCTGGGGACGCGGATGGCGTAGACCAGTGCAGGTTTAAGCTTTCGATCGATACAAGGATTGCGCGACCCAAGGATGAAGCGGCTCCATTGCGAGTGGCCCATCGCATCTCGCTACAGAGGCTCAACACGGCTGCCACGCTGGCATCGACCAGATGAAGAACGGTGCCGGCTGCGTGCGATCTGCTCTGCGTTATTAATAGGCGACCCACCCTGGCTGCGTAGATGACTTGCAGCCAGAAGTCGTCACCGGGCTTTCGCAATGTGCGGGGCGGTGCCTCACCGAGAGCCTCTGCAGTCTGCAGCCTTTCCAATCGATATCTCACCCATGCTCGCGCCGCATCGCTGGACTCTGTACACAAGCCGCGCAGTTTTGCGCCGGTCGAATCACACACCTGTACCGCCATGGACCCCTCCATCCTCTCTCAGTGGTCCCACCGCCTGCAGCTAGACGGCCGGCCGCTGTGGTCTTCATCCAACCAGCTCGACAGAAACGTATCACGACCGTTGTGCTCTTACGGAGCTGTGAATCCGTTATTAAACATAGTCAGGACAACGCACACCAGATTGAGGAATGTCAAATAATGTCTTCTATCATTCGTAGTGGTATCTTAGTAAGCAGATCCCTATCCTATCCTACAATGCCTGGCCAGTGAGCTTCTCTGGGATGCCAGCAGCAGCCTTGGCCTCGCCCAGCTGCTCACGGCCCTCGGCGAACACCTTGTCGAAGTCGTACTCGAACCATCTGATATCCGGGTTCAATCCAGCAAACTTCCACTCGCCGTCGATCTTCTTGTACCAGTGCGTGTTGAAGCTGTGGGCATGGCCCTTGACGGCAACCTTGGTGCGGGACTCATCGGTGTACCTTTGGTGAGGCACACGGAGCTGGTGGTACCCGGTAATTTCGTCCTCCGCAGTCTTCTCCCACCGCGTGCCGCCGATGAAGTGCTGTGTCTTGAGGAGAGGGTTGCCTAGTACGGCGGGGTCCGAGGCCATGGCAACGAACTCGTCTGCGGGCATGGCTTCCCAGATCTTGTCGAGGAAAGACCGGTAGTCGATCTTCAGTGTTGGGGCGATGCATTTGCTAAGACGGACCCAATCCTGTCATGTGTGAGTGATTATCATCAACCAGGGCTGCGCGTTGACCGACCTTGCTATCGTAGCTGTCTGCCCACTCATAGCACGCCGACTGGCAACCCATAACGTCTAAGCTTGTTAGTCATGCTCGCAAGAGATCGCATAGAGGACCAACCATCGAACGTCGGCTTCAATTCGTTCTTCTCAAACATGATGGTTTTTGTTTATGGTGGTTCTGGTAGGTAAAAGTATTGCTGTTATAGTATGGTATTGCAATTATGTCTCCTCCCATCGTTACCTTCGTCTTTATATCTGTCGTGTTCTATATTCTAGCCTTCTATTTGCGTTCCCTTCTGCGACGTTTGGCTTCGGGTCCCCGCCCAACGGGGTTCCGCCATCCGCATACTCGAGACTGCCGGTGCGGTGCCAGCGGTCGCGAAACGGGGCCGAGTACGTTTTTGGAGTCGGAGGTCCCTATGTTTCGACTCTGCCGACATGTTTCTACACTAGAGCAACGGAGTTGCCTCGAATGTGCTGCAGGGCAGCTGCTGCCGCGACCCCTCGCGGGAGAGAGAAGGCGCACGGGCCACTGAAACATCAAACCTCCCGATCGTGCGCCGTGGCTTCAAACTTCCTTCACCTCCAGACATAGCAATCGCAATCGATCGCGCTTCAGTCCAGTTTTATATTTCATCTCTTTGAATCCTTCGTACTGATCGCGCCCGCGGCCCTCTTTTTCATTCTCGATTAACGCTTCATCTGCCCCAAGAATACACTCCGCTGCAGTTCCAGAGTTCCCAGGCAAACTCGCATTTTCCCAACAGGCTCGCAATGGCAGAGATACTCAGGTGGAAATCGCCATCTTAGTGGGCTGGAGATGACAATTCGAAGACTCTTCCTGCGAAAGGCATGCGTACCTTTGTGTCGGGTCTACTCAGTAGTGATCGTGCCAAACGAGTCAGCTCCGCATATGCGAAGGCGAAGAAATGCAAAGTATGCTACTACAATGAGTGGCCTACTATTTCGGGCGCAGTCACTGTTGGCGTTCTGATAACGTCTGCTGACAAGGGATGTGCCGGCTGCTTGATACTTTGTGGGATTGTACACCAATGTGCCTTGGTTTCCAAAAGCTCCAGCCGACCATTCGAGCTCGGCCTGAATCAAAGGGTATCATGGAGAGTGGAACAGTCACGACTTGTCTTGGAATGCTACCCAGATGCGTCATGGGAGGTGTTTGATCCACAGGGTAAGTCTGCGACGGCTATGGTATCTTTCATAAACTAATGTTTCCAGGTCACGACAATCCGTGGCGAATCCAACGTCTTTCCCACGAAGCCGTTTCAGACTCCGGTTCTGATGAAGCTATCCAACGAGTCTCCTCGTGGTTGCGAGAATGCGATCACGGTCATGAGTTGTGCAAGGGTGCTAAATCGAGCCTGCCAACCCGCGTCGTTCTGATCCAAGATCCAAAGAACATCAAGCTGTACGAGACCCGCGGCGAAGTCAAGCCCTATGTTTGTCTCAGCCACTGCTGGGGAAAAGAGACAATTAGGACGACTACGACGGCCACCTTGACCGAACACAAGCGAAGAATCCCTTCGGAGAAACTTCCTCAAACCTTCCAGGATGCTATCTCCTTTGCCTACCGATTGGGATACAAGTATATGTGGATCGACAGTCTTTGTATCATACAAGACAGTCGCGGGGACTGGCAAAAGGAAGGTAGCAGAATGGCGCAGATATATTCCGGTGCCGAGTTTACCATTGCTGCCACCGACGCAAATGTTCCATCGCAAGGCTGTTTCCGCAAACACCCAGAACGACCTATCAGCAAGACTTCGTATCCAGCCATGAACGGCTCCATGTTGGACGTTTGCGTTCGACCCAGCATAAACCATTATGCATGGAGATATAGCGAGTATCCACTACTGCGCCGTGGCTGGACGCTACAAGAATGCCTACTTTCACGCAGAGTGATACACTTTACGGCCGAAGAGATGTTTTGGGCATGTAGGACAGAGAACAAATGCGAGTGCTCGTTCTGGTCGGACTCGGGAAAAGTGCCTTTCGGAAGTTTCCGCAGCCCCAAATACCTCAACACGATACATCACGCTAACCCGGAGGAGTGCACGGCTCTGTGGCATGGTGTTGTCACTGAATACACCAATTCGGACTTGTCATACGAAACGGACTGCTTCCCAGCTTTGCAAGGAGTCAGCAAAGAGTTTTCTGCGATGAAGAGGTCGGCATACATGGCTGGATTATGGGAGAGCAGTATCATGTACGACCTATTGTGGTATTCTGACCACAAGGACAAATCATCTAAACCAACGGCATGGCGTGCACCGTCATGGTCATGGGGGTCTGTCGTTGGGCGAGTCGTGTGGCAAAAATGGGTTCCACACTCTACACCTTTGCCGATTTATGTCGGAAAAGAAATCACCCCTGTAAGAGGAGGAGACGAATATGGGGAGCTTCTATCCGCAAAGATTACCCTGCGATGTCGCTGTTTGCTCGCGGATGTGGAAGGCACGTACCAGCCCTTTGCTGCACCGAACGAAGCCATCAAGTACCCAGATCATCGCGCTTGGAGGAAGTGTCCGCGCAGAATTTACCTCGATCATCCACCGGAATCGGTACATCCGGACAGCAACAGGCCGGTCACGCCTATTGGGCAGGTCAAAACCCTGCCCGTGGGCGTATTCCAAGCAGGTCAGAGATATCTCTTTGCCATGTTGATTTTGCAGAACATAAACAAGGCAGCTGGTACGTACAAGCGGATTGGTTACATGGAACTCGAGACACGTAAGGGTCTTGAATTGTCCAGTCTTCCGCTGGGTAACGTGGAGGATTTGCACATTGTCTAGTCACATGAACAGATGCTTGGAAAGACACCTTATGTAGTCTTCTTGTGCATCAACAATCGTCTCAACTTACGCGAAAGACAGTAGGTCTGTCTTAAGGCGAGGTGAGATAGGTCGCGTCTTTCATAGAAACCAGAATGGCAAGTGACTCTATGAAAACATGGATTGACACCAAATGATTCTTTGTCCATCAGGTGTGACGTATTCGACTAATAGCAATGTCAAGGAATAGGGTGGTATCAGTATCATGCGGATCCCCAAACGCCAAATTCAAAGTACAAAACAACGCCAAAGACAGGGCGGGCTGGACATCAACCGCTCCTCTCCATGCCCCAGTGGTATCACCCCAGTGCGCCACACCACACACCCCTCAACTCCAATACACCTTCTCATTCACCTCAGCTATTTATACTGCGGCACTCCCTGCGGCGGCGGCCCATAACCCGGCGCACCACCATGTGGCGGTCCCTGCCCACCATAACCATTCATCGGCATAGCACCGCCCTGCGCCTTTGTACCACCGCCAAACTGCTGCAGCTCAGGGTCCGGATGATGCTTGATGTCCTGGAAGAAATGGCAGATGTGGCACCCGACTTCCTTATACGGCTTGAGGCTGAATGGGATAACGGGGATGAAGCAGAAGGTAAACCACTCCCAGCGCTTCATCACTTTGCCCGTGGGATTGCCGCAGTTCTGGCAGCGCAGGGTCAGGTGCTCGGCGCCTTTGAGGGGGGATGTGAATGCTAGAGGGAGTCTTAGTATATGTATGGTGGCAGAAGGGGATGGGGGGCGGTATGGGATGGGATAGGAAGGAAGGGTGTGTGGTAGATAGTGGCAGACGTACTGTGTGTTCCGCAAGTAAAGAAGAAGAACATGATCGCGGGTTATATGCGCGTATAGCGCAGTACTTGTTGTGATACTTGAATTTCCCTATTCGGGGGCGGGTATCTCGTCGCGATTGGGCGAGTGGAACGATGCGCGTGCGACAAGTGGTACGGATACTACGCGTTCGATCGTGGTGTGCTGTTCGTGTGTAATGCTCGTGGATGCGATACCGCGTGGTATTTAGGTTTTATAGTGTTGCGAAGTTTGTCTGGAAGGAAGAAGAGTCGTCTGAGATGTGTTGCGATGAGAGGCGCGGGTTTCTGGTTGCTGATAGAAGACCATTGGCGCCGAGGAAGCTGCGTCATCATCGATGCGTCTCAGCCACACTTGGCCTGGCGGCTAGCGGCTAAGTCCGCAGCAGCTATTACATGTACATATCCACATACGCACCCCACATGTGTTGTTTCTCTGGTGCGGTCATTATTGCATTTGAAATGGTCCAAGAATTCAAGGTTGAGATTGTTGGCATGTCGTTCAGGTGTTGACCTCCAGGGTTAGATGTGGCCGAGGAGTTGATCGACGGCTAGCTCCTGTCTGAAGAGGACTGCTGCGCCTGCATCGTGATTCGCAGCGGATGATGGTCACTTGATTAGAATCGCGAAAGTACATCACAGATAGCTGATGGGGTTTGAGCATCAACTCTTCATTATGGTATCGAGCAGTAGCCTCTAGAGCCACTCTTGTGGGAAAGAGACTCGTGACAGTCATTAAGAGTAGGATAGTACAAGCCCTTCATTATCCTTCGCATGTCAACACCGGTGAACCGCAGAACCCATAGACCTCCGTTGAAGAGAGCGAGGTAGCGTCTCCCAATCTGGAAAGAGACCTAATGCTGGCTCCACAAGAAAAGACCCGAGCAGAGAAGATGGATGAGACTTTCAGAGGTCACGGGCGCCTTGGTCCAGTCGCATTCGTCTACTGCGTCTTGAAGAGCAAGATAGCACAGTGGCCGAGGTAGAAGTAGATGAAATGTTTCGTCTCTGCAGTCCAGTCAGTCATCATTGTATGAAAGGTCCTAGTACAATAGTTCAGCTTACCATGCGTGACAAAACTTCCAAAGTTGCGGCCGACAATGCAGTGCCATGTGGCGCCCTTCCGGCTGTCAAACTGCAGAGGAATTAGCGCGCGCTTCCAGTAGCTCTCGAAGGCATGATCATACCTCTTTCTTGATGTACTGGGCAATGTCCTACGGGTCGAGGGTCAGTACGGTCCTAAGATGGTCTCGGCCTGAGCGGATAATGAAGACCCACCTTCTCGATAGTGAACTGCTCCATAGCCGTCTGTGCTACACAATGTCAGCGTTTCCCGTCAGCCGCATGTTGGAGGTAGTTGACTTACCGACTTCAATGGCCTCTTGTTGCATCTCGTCGCTCTGTCACACATGTCAGTATGATTCCAGAAGCAGCAACCTAGCTATCCCGTACCATATCTGCGGACTTGATTTGAGCTGCATACTGCATTAGCTTGTGCTTTGGTAGACGCGTCGACATAAATAAAGGTCTTACCATCCTGCTTGTGGGCCTCTGACTTGTCGCTGGCCATGGTGTTGATCTGTATGTATATCAAAGGTTGAGTGATTTGGTGTTGCTCTCTTCAAAGTAGGCGAGCTCTTATAATGCGTGTGGTTGAGTGAGGCTATGTCCAGGGCCTTGTCATGATGTTTGAGCAAGCGCTCGCGGCGGTCTGCGCTCGGGCCTTTCCCTGTGAGCCTAATGCGCGCTAGTGGATTACCGGCCCATGCGTCGTTCACTTTTTTCTTCTAAACGCGACACTGACATCCACTGCTCCTCTCACGACACCACAACCCGAGCAGGCAAAGCTCTTACAGCATGGAGTCGTCACGCATCTTCGTGAGGAATTTACCCTCTCACTTCACCGAAGATGACGTGCGGAAACACTTTGCCAAGTTTCCCATCACTGACGTAAAGTTCTTCAACCACCGCCGCATCGGCTACGTTGGCTACAAGACGCCCGAAGATGCTGCAAAGGCTGTCAAGTACTTCAACAAGACATTCATTAAGCTCACCAAGATCTACGCAGAAATTGCGCGACCTGTACGTACTTTGCGACTAGATGGCGACAAGCGGGGCTAACATGCGCAGATCGCCGACAAGGAACTGCCAAAGTCGCGGCGACAGCAGAAACTCGAGAAGAGCGCCCCAGTAAGCGACGAGTACCGACCGCAACGGCAAGAGAACGATCTCAAGCGAAAGCGAGAAGAAGCCGAGCAGGACCCGAAGCTGAAGGAGTTCCTAGAGGTCTATCAGCCGCCCTCCAAGACCAGTATCTGGGCCAATGGCGATACGCAGCTCAACGAAGCACCTGTCGCAGTCGCGGAAGAGGTCGTACCGGAGGTTGCTGTACCAGAGGACGAGAGCGACGACGAATATCAAGTCATCTCAAAGAAGCCAAAGATTGCTGAAGAGCCTGCGAACGCGCCAGCCCTAGCAGTCCCACAGCCGATGCCCATGGAATCAAGCGCAGTAGCAACTCAAGCAGAAGCTGTAGAAGGTGGTGACGCGATGGAAGACGTACAAGGAGCGCCAGCCGTCGAACAAGGACCTGTCACGGATGAGGACTGGCTGCGGTCAAGAACAAACAGGGTTCTGGAGCTCGTGGAAGACGACGAAATGCCATCAGCCAGTACGGCTCCTGTCGCTGTCGCGCAAACACGAGCTGTCCAGCCACGCGCACTTGCTGAGCCTTCGCCGGTTGCTGTCGAGGCACAGTCAAAGCCACAAGCTTCCGCGGAAGAGGAGACTGACACCGCTGCTGCCCCTGACGAGGAGGACAAGATCCGCGAGACTGGTCGACTATACCTCAGAAATCTGCACTACGAGGTGACAGAAGATGAGATCAGGGAACAGTTCTCCAAGCATGGAGCTCTCGAGGAAGTAAGTCATGATACATCTCTTTCACTACCCGCCCATGCAATGATGAACATCAAGATAGGGACAACTGATGCTTCGGCACCTGAGGTTACCTTGGAAAGTATTTTAGTAGATGTCTTTCTTATCTGATAGCGGCAACCATTCCATACTCACATACGGACGTTTTGTACGGACAGTCGCTGACTACTACAGGTACATGTGCCGTTGAAGAAGGCAGATGGCAAGGGCAAAGGTTTCGCCTTTGTACAATTCGAGAACCCAAACGAAGCCGTAGAAGCATACCTTGACAACGACAACACCATCTTTCAGGGACGCCTTCTTCACATCATCTCCGCGAAAGCGAAGAAAGATACCAAGCTCGATGACTACGAGATCTCCAAGCTGCCTCTAAAAAAACAGAAGGAGATCAGAAGGAAACAACAGGCAGTCAAGGCCACGTTCAACTGGAACTCGCTCTACCTTAATGCTGATGCAGTCATGTCCACTATCGCGAGTCGCATGGGCATTAGCAAGGGTGAGCTGCTCGACCCCACTTCGTCAGACGCTGCAGTCAGGCAAGCGCATGCCGAGACGCACATCATCCAAGAGACCAAGTCGTACTTTGCGCAGCATGGCGTCGACCTAGAGGCCTTTCAACGCAGCGCGAAAGGGGATCTTGCGATTCTCGTTAAGAACGTACCCCACACTGTGACGGCCGATGAGCTTCGAAAATTGTTCGAGGAACACGGCAAGGTGACCAAGTTCCTGATGCCACCGACAGGTATGACAGCCATTGTCGAGTTCTCCAACGTCGCAGAAGCAAAGACTGCCTTCATGTCGCTGTCGTATCGGAAGATGAAAGACTCAATTCTGTACCTTGAAAAGGCCCCCAAGGATCTGTTCAAGGAAGGTGTAGCAACCAACTTTGTACAGACCACGCCCCCCGCCCAGCCTTTGCAGTCCTCACAGCCTGGCGTGAAGCTTTCTGCAACTGACCTGCTCGTCGACGACCCTGAGCCCGAGGCAACAAACACCGCCACTTTATACGTGCGCAACTTGAACTTCTCCACCACAACTGAGCGTCTCACGGAGGCGTTCAAACCTCTGGCAGGTTTCCGTAGTGCCACGGTCAAGACCAAGACCGACCCCAAACGAGGCGTGCTGTCCATGGGCTTTGGTTTCGTCGAGTTCAACAGTCCCGAAACTGCCACTGCAGCTTTGCGAGCCATGGATGGACATGACCTCGAAGGTCACAAGCTGCTCATTAAAGCTTCCCACAAGGGCGCCGATGCCGCCGAAGAACGCCGCAACGAGGATGCAGCAAAGAAGGCGGCAAGCACGAAGATTCTCATCAAGAACTTGCCGTTCGAAGCCAGCAAAAAGGATGTTCGTGCTCTTTTCACTCCTTACGGCCAGCTCCGATCCGTACGAGTGCCCAAGAAGTTCGATGCTTCTTCACGAGGTTTCGGTTTCGCAGAGTTCACTACCAAACGCGATGCTGTCAACGCTATGAATGCATTAAAGAACACACATTTGTTGGGCCGTCGCTTGGTCCTTGCATTCGCTGAGACGGAGTCTGATGATCCAGAGAAGGAGCTGGAGAAGATGCAACAGAAGGTGGGAGCACAGGCCAACAAGGTCGCCTTGCAACGCCTTACAGAAGGTGGTCGCAAGAAGTTTAACGTTGCAGGCACCGATGATCTAGACGACTGAGCGCAAGATTATTTTGATAGGAGTTGCGCGCGCGACACTGTCAGACCTTGACGCCATCCCTTGCTCCCCGGCCACACAAGCTAGGCCGCCCTTTGCCGCGGTCCGTAGGAAGTAGTAGGGGTGCTTTGACCTGCTGCACGACGCTATATCTAGAGCATCGTTTTCTAAGCTTCGACAGGGTATATCACCAGTGGATTGCATCAATGGGCACGGCCACCACACGGCGTTTCAGGCTACTCCAAAGGGAGTCAGGAAGCCACGAACGAGACGTTTGTCGATCATGCAGACTTGACGTAGTTTGTTGTTTGCGGACACTGACTTCTATCATTGCTTTGAGCAGTCCGTGATGACTTTCTTCGCCTATGGCCAATCAGGTGACTGTCGAACAGATGACAGTTGACCCCATGCCCTTGATCACTCTGCTAATCACGCTACATTTACCATTCAGCAGCAAAAGGATTCACGAGAGATGTGATCAATGGCCAAAAGGCGGACTTCGACTGTTTGTAGGCCATGATAAAGGCACGAAGCACTCCAATCTTAGTTTTGTGGTACTGGATTGTCACTTCGATGACTGGCCCTTCTATCAATTTCCGGCTAGCGGAAGTCGTATTGCACCCTACGGTCGGTGCTTTTGCCTACATGCCTACCATGTAGTCCTTCTGCCTAGGGCCCGTCATCTGGACCATACTTTATCAATGCAATCACCTGCAAACCTCGCCGCATACCCAGCTATATTCTTGACATCGTTCACCACGCTCGTTGCTTCAACTGCTTAACATTCATTGCTTCGTACTTCACCTCTCATTCATGATCATCACCGTTCGTTTCATATCCTAAAGTTTACATGCCATAGCCCGCTATGCAGGTCCAATCACCCCAGCCCTTGTGCAGGCTGTCGACGGACATTCCCCTCTTGGAAGGTACTCCGGTCGATGAATCGCCACAACATCGAGCTGTCCTCCCGGAACGTTACGTTGCGCAGTCTCACAATACTCATATCAGTACAGCCTCGCCAGAAGTGGGACAAAGAAGCAGTCTCAGCCCCTCGGACAGCTCTCACGCACAGCGGAGCGTCGCCACAGGAACCTATTACACTGGCAATGTACACGCACAACACATCGGATTGGCAGGCTTCGGCGTCGGGAGGTCAGAGAAGCAGATCAGATGCGAGCTCGGGCGACTATACAAACTACTTCAGCGATTGGAAAAGTACCAGAGATATCGTGAAAAGCAACCAGCTCTCACACCGGCCGAAGTCGTCGCGCGAGACGCCGCAGAGAGAAAAGAACAGGAAAACAGAAAGGCACAGGGACTACAGCAAGAGAAGGACAAGACTGTCTGGCCTGACTTCTTAGAGCACGCCTTCTGGACAGGTAGGTCTTCATTTTCATCACACCGCATGTCGCCGTGCGCTTGTCTCACTACCTGCGTTTTTCACTTTTGTTCTACCACCAATCTATCAATACGCAACTTCAAAATCCCAGCCCAACATCTGACAAATATTCCACAGCACTCATTCGATGGCCGCCAATGGGTCGAAAGAAATACATGCTCGAAGGTACACAGCGAGGGCGGAATGAGCTGATCCAGGATTCTATTTACAGAGACACCGGTATCAGACGCGATCGCAAACAGGTTTCCAGCCATCTTCAGGTCCTCAAGGACAAGCTCATAGGTGTTCCTGCTGGTGAGTGCCCTTTTCGTACATCGTGTAACGATCGGCATCAGCCTCTTCTCATTCGCCCATAACATCCGGGCGGCGGTCCCGCATGCGTCGATCTAACTTCATGTCGTCAGAGCATTCCTATCTTCCAGGATTCTTCTAGAAGGTAGTGGCGGTGGCTTTGCGGTTGCTATTCCTGGTGTGATCGGGAGGGTTCCGCTAGGGACTACCAAAATGAGACTAACCTGCACGACAGTTCTACTCTATATGGCCACACCAAAGGACGTTTCTAAGCGCCGATCTACGAATACATCCGCTCGAGCATCCTATTCGTCACAGCTGCATGGCCGCCAACATGCGCAGCGCACAGAGTCTGTTACCAAATCAGAGTCCAGTACCTCCTCACCGCACATTTTGCCGCATTGTGGCGACCCACAATCCGACCTCGCCCTGGGTTCCGGCCCGGACTTCGATGCGGTGTCTTCGTCATTCGCAGTCACGGGCTTCAAGATAATCTATGAGGATGATCATCAATCTATGCACTATTTGGCTCAAACACAATCGCATAGCAGGCTCGACAGCTCGGATGTGGTAGATCTTGCCTCTTGGCGCCATCAATACCACGAGTTCGACTTCCTCCGATCCAAGACCGAGGATTGGATGGAGAATGGCCGAAAGGTGTTGGTCGGAACCGCGTCTACAGACTTGATGACAGAGTTGCCACCAGATGCCGACCTAACCATCGTTTTCGATCTTCACTCGCGTTTCGATCTTTCTAGATACGCCTATGTGGAATGCATGACGCGATTCTACAACAGCGGCGGCAATGCCGTTGATCCCCAATTTGACCACGCGAGGCATGAACGGAAAGAAACGCGAACCACTTGCGAGTATCGGCGAGACCCTCAAGGCTCTCAGGGTGTCCTATGCGTCCAGTTTATGACTCAGCCGTCGGTGAGGCATGCGAGGAAGAAGTCGAACCTGATGCACAGAAACGGGGAAAGTGTCAAAGAATCGCTTCAACGCGTGATAGCAATACAGGATATATATGGCATTGTTGCTAACACAGGCGAGGTTCGACGTCTCACTAAAGTTCTTTGGAGGTTCCAGCAGACGAACGACTCTGCAGAAGTGGGCAACATTGAGTGGCGTTCCGTGAGGTTCGCTAATGGCCAGTCAGCTGCACGAGAAAGATGTTGTTTCGAGGCGACATTCAAGACTGAAGATTCGGAAGACACAGATATCGATCACGAGCGTACACTGGCTATACCAACGCCCACACACACGGACGCGACGCCTTATTATCAGACTACGCAACTACCACTGGACTTGGCACAGACACACATAAGCCACCACTCATACGAGACCGCGCCTCACAATGCGTACTTACAAGCACCTCTTTCTGTCGATGTTCTTGAATCAATGCAACCAGATTCAGACCACCTCAATACATCTGTGGCCACTACTACGACTGAGCTCTCCGGGGAAAGCTTTGCACCATCACGTACTTCAGGCATGGCATCGCCGAACACACAAGGCAACGACTTCAACTTCAACGGCGAGCACATAGCTATCGGAGGCGACTTCGAACCTGTTAGCAACCCCCTGGTATATGGAGGAGTCTTGAGCCAAAACACCGGACTCGAGAGATTGCATGCGTTCGCTGGACTAGAACACGATGAGCTCGCAACCATGGGGCTTGCTGTTGGCGAACATGGACAGCTATTTCCAGTGGACGCAAACAACGATCTGCACCATTCCACCAATCTAGCTTGCTATTCGGCCAAACCCAACTGGCAGGACGCACATCTCGTTTCGCACCTCGAGAATGCGGCAGAACAGTATCGCTCTTGCCTCAACCATGATGGTCGTGCTCAGGTAGCACCAAATTACGGAATTGCCCATGGCCACGATCCATATCAACAAGTCGGTCAAAGACAGGATTCAGTGGCAGGTGTCTTTCACAATGTGAATCATGCGTTCTGGGGTTTGCAGGGACTCCAAAGCACATTCCAAGACGACACGGGTAGTGGTGCCGTCCATCGAATAGAGCACATGGAAGACCAAATACACGGTCCAGACTACGGTGTGCCGGATCTAGTTGAGAGAGACCAAAGGGGAAGAGGTTACTAGACCTCGCTCGCCCTCCTTATTGGTGTTTACGACGAAATGACTTTATGTTGGCTATATATGTATCATTTAGATTAAGATTTGGTAGGTTATCGAAAGTGTATAGAGGTCTGGCAACGGCGTGATTAGGTACCTATCTCGTACGGCATGTCTCGACGCACTGATCGAAAAACGCTCATTTCTGGCACGTACAACAGCCCTTTGGGTTTCCGATCCCTTTGACACCGCGAAGATATATGAAACATGGCCCACCCACTGACGCATGCATCTTACAGACACACCCGAGCCGCTCAAATCTACACGCTAGCAAAGGCAATAGCGTAGGACTCCCGGCCAGGCATTAAATGGTCGATAGGGCGTTCCTTACGCTGCACATCCGATTAACCTGCATACATACCTAAGATAGACAAGATATGCATATGTAAAAGCTTTGATCCTCGGGGAGCCCAACGACGCTACATCCGATCCCGCATAACGATCTGTAAGGACTTGTGGTATGTAGGCGGGCTCCATTAATACACCCGCAAGAGAAGCTGCGCGCCTCGAGAACCCTAGAGGTCAGTCTATGTGCATGATCCTTTGCTGCACTCAGCCACGATAACAGATGTGTTCACCTAATGCTATCGTTACACCACATGCTTACCAGCGTCTTTTCAGCCCAAGGTCCTGCAAGATACCCAAGGCGCGTCAACTCGACAAACGCGCTGTCGCGCGATCACGCCTGCTTGCCCGCATTGAGTGGGGCAAACAGCGTCGAGCTCCACATTCAAGCGACGACACAGCAAGCGCTCGGCACGCTACTCGTCGCGACTTTACCATAAGCATGGCCGGGGAAGATTTGAAGAGATACTTAATTGTGCCTCCACTTTCTTCTTCCTCTTCATCATCTCTTCTGTCTTCAAGTCCGACTGCTAGCAGTTCAAGAAAACCAATCCCTGCTCCTCGCAGCTCGGATACGAAATACGAGCAAACAGGCTCCACCAACAAGGCTGAGAAACGCAAGATGGAAGTCGATACACACACCCCTCTACCCACTTCTCTCGGGGGTGCGCACGCAGAAACGATGGATAAGAGTACACCGCTTGACGGCGTCATCAGCATTGATGATTTCTTGAATCAGAATAGGGACGCTCATGAAGCTCAGAAACTCGTCAAGGAAACCAAACAACCCGCACCTCCTCCCTCCAAGAAGCCTAAACCCACGAAGCAAAACCCCACTCCCCTCACACCCGTAGCAGTAGGTGCGCGCTCATCCCGCCACACCATCCTCCTACATGAAAAGTACCAAGCCCTCGGCATCCCACAACCACTCTTCACTTACGGAGGGAGCGGTGAGACGGGATGGACTGTTTCTGTCAGCTTTCCTGGTCTGGATGATGCGGAGGAACTGCAGGGATTGGAGTTCGATGAAGAGAGGAAGTTCAATAGTAAGCAAGAAGCCAAGGAGGCTTTGAGTCAGAAGGCGTTGGCTGTCTTGGAAGAATTAGAGAAGGAGGGTAGAGTGAAGAAAGGTGGGAAGGGAAAGAAGAAAAAGCAGGACAACTCTGAGGAGCAGGTCGTCCAGCCGGTTAAAGAGGAGAAGGGACCTGATGAGAATTTTGTTGGGAAGTTGCTTGGTACGTTCTTTCTTCTCCTCTATGTGTGATACCGCAAGGCCCACGTACCCATTGCTCAAAGATACATGGAAGTTCTCATCCAACTAACACACACAACAGAATTCCAGCGCGCAACCGACTCCCCCCAACCAACATACACAGACTACCAATCCGGTCAACGCTTCTCCTGCCTCATCACCATCGAAGGCGAAGGCGAAGGCCAGCAATTCGGCTCCATAGAAAACCTCTTCTCGTCCAAAAAAGCCGCGAGGCAAGACGCCGCCCGCCACGCTGTCGAGCACTTCAAAGCCCTGGGTACATGGCCCGACGACGACACTGCCGTCGGCGGCATCAAGAAGAAGAAGAAAGCTCAACCTACCGATCCTGAGATAGTCTCAATATCAACACCAGACGGCTCATCGTCTACATCCCCCATCCAAGCAACCAGCACAACCCCCGCACCCTCAGGCACCCCCTCCTACGCCTCCCGCGTCGCCTCCCTCGCCGTAACCCTCGCACTCCCCACACCCGAATGGTCCTACACACCTCACCCCTCCGACCCCACCTTCCACACTGTATGCTGTTTCTTCAAGGGCGCAGGACCGCATGAGGGACCAATTGGTGAGGTAAGGAATATTTATGGGAAGAAGAAGGCGAAGGAGGAGTGTGCGAGGTGAGTAACTACTGTACGATTTTCATGAAAGATATTTGCTGACTTCGTGCGTCCCACGTCCGCAGACTTACGTTGGAGTATCTTAAGGATGTCAAGGAGAAGAGGATGCAGTATGGGATGAGTGTTATGAGGGGGGTTTTGGGGAGTGAGGGTGTAGAGGGCGTGATTGAAGGGGGATTGGGCAGGGGGGTTGAGGGGGGAGGGGAAAAGATGGGTGGTGGAGAGGGGAAGGGGAAGAGGGTTGAAAGTGCGGGTGGGAAGGTGAGATTGGGAACGGGGTTGGATAGTGTGGATGAGAGGATGATGGATATGAACACGGATATGGGGGAGAGTAGCGAGGATGAGGTGTTTGCTGATGCTATGGAGGGCTAAGAGTTGATATCCACATAGGAGGCGTTGGATTGGGATAGAAGACTGGCTTGTACAGGAACTATGGGTGCTGTACAGCGGGCTGGGTTCGGTACAGGAGAACCTTGGGGTTGGCTGTAGTATAGGTCTCTGATGAATACCCGTACGAGATACCACGGCTCTAAACTTGTGCCACTTATACTCAACACATTGACCTCGTCACATCCGCACACACACTCACGTCAAAAGCCATGAAACAACAAAATAAAAGAACTAGTAATATTCGCGCATCTCCATGATACACACATGTACACTCCATTCTTACCTCCCATGAAAGGTATGAAGTAGACAGTGCTAGTAGTCCATTGAAACCCTTCCGCGAATAATCTCGCCCAGAGGGCACATTTTGCATGTAGTGTAGCAGGAGCTTACTGCACCCATCTCGGTACTCTTCTCGAACAAAGCAATAAAACATCCATTCGCGCCCCATTCGCCGTGATAAGAAAGACACCAGCGACAGCGACGAGTGAATGTAGATATACAAAGACACATCCCGCTGTCTAATCCGGCCGATCGACAGTAAAGCTCTCGGGCGGTATACGCGAACTAAAAAGAATGCAAGAAAAAAGCCGTCGTTCTAGGACGAAGCAACCTCACTCTTCCTCTTACTCCGATCCCTCTTCTTCTCCTTACCGGCCTTATCCGCCTTCTCCTTCTCCTGCGCCGCAGCCTGTGCCGCGTTCTCCTTGTCGCCTTCCGTCTCGGTGTTGCGCGTGCTACGACCGGATTTGGCTTTCTTCTTCGCCGCACCGGTCTCCTCTGGAGGAGTGGGTTCGTCGTGAGAAGATGCAGGGGCGGGAGCAATGGGCTGAGGCGCGGACTTTTCCTTCTTCTTCTTGTCTTTCTTTGCGGGGGTTTCGGCGACGGCGGTGGAGGTTGAGGCAGTGACTTGGGTTGCGGAGCGCGAGGTGGGCAGGGGCACGGGTGTGGGAGCTGTGGCGGGCGCGATGGAGACGGGGATTGAGTTGCCGTTTACAGCGGGGGTGGTCTTCTGGCGCTTGCGTGGTGTCTTTGCGGGGGGAGAGGGCGCTTTGGCGGGTGCTTCGTCTTCGTCTTCAGAAGAGGCGTCTGTGTCGGCGGCGCCGGCTTCGACTTCAGCTTCGATTTCTGGCTCGCCTTCCTCGGACGCGTCATCTTCTTCGATTTCGGCGTCCTTGATGCCCTTCTGCTTGACGTACTCGGCCATTTGGACTTTCCACTCTTCCATGGAGTTGCGGTAGGATGCCTTCCATTCCTACGATTGGGTTAGTAGGACGCCGATTGCCGGGTTTTGCGATTGTGTGCTTACCTCCTTCTCCGCGTCGGAAAGTTCAGCCCATCGCCTGTTGACCTCAGTCTGGACGGCGCTTGGAGCGAGTGTGCCACCGGGAGCGAGCGCTGCCTCCAGATCCGCCTTGACGATGGGACGCGCGTGTTGGTGGTAGAGGAAGGCAGCAGTGAGGGGTTTCTTGGGCGCATTAGGGTCCTTTTCCTTCTTCTCGCGCTTGCGCTTCTTGCTCTTGACAGCGTCAATTGCTTTCTCAGCAGGCACGCCGACGTCTCCAGCTACGTTGTCCATGAGCTTTTGGCCACTCTCTACAACATTCGCGGCGGTCTTGATGGTGGATGTGATAGCATCGTTTTCGGTTGAGAAGTCTTCTTTTTCGATGCCGAGGACTGATGCGCAGTGCTTGTTGTAGTGATCCATGAGAACGGTGATCTGGTGTTGTACATTGACGAGACCATTCTGGAGGCTGTGGAGAGAGCCCAGAACCTGCGCGTAATTGTAAGTTTTTGCTTTGTGAAATCGCCATGTACCGGGTCGCGTAGATCACGCGATTAATGTTACACAGACGCATCAATATGGCGACGTGATGGTGGCGCGATAATGCGCGCTGACCGCGTGGGTTTGCGATGCGACGCGACGATATAGGTAGGCGCGCGTGTCGCAATTGCGATTGGAGACTACAAAAGGGAATTTGGGTACGTACGTGGTCTCTAGTCCGATTGAATTCTGCAACAGAGATCAGCAGTTCGCCAGTGGCAGGCTTCTTCTTGGGGACCATGTTGGGCGGCGTGGTATGGGAAGAGGTTGAAGACGCGTTGACGGGCGGGAGGTAGAAGAGGGAGGGCGCGGGAAGGGCGGAGGAGCGCTGAAATTTCGGGGGGTCGGGGGGATTGGTCCCTTAAGTGACAGTCGACCAGGTGCCCAAACACAAGCGAACGTACCCTGATTTTTGGGCAGTCACCAGCCCATTCTGGGGGGCACCAGTAGATTAATGCCCCCAAAATTTAAATCTAGGCTTACTTTTCGCGCGTGCAGCCTGTACAAAAGGCGCGTTTCCAAGATGCACCCAGATAAACTGCACGCTGAAGCTATGCGCAGTCTTTCCTAAGCATCTACTACCTATCAGAAGTCTGTATATAATTTCAGCGCGCATTCTATCTCTACTGCGCAGTGCATATCTCTCTTGCAGCGTGTTGTGCAACTTGCGTGGCGTAGGCCGCCTATTAGAGCGAGGGCGCCCATCCGCTGGGCAGAGTGCGCCAGGCAAGTGCCCCCAACCCGCCCGTGACAAGCCTTGCTTTGGTGCTACCTCCCCCATCTTTGCGCGTGTTTCAGGCCCTGTTCGGCGCCCCTGCCCACAACGACGCAGCATATGAAACTCTACTTTTTCACTTGAATCCGCTCATAGCGTATACCAAAGTACAGTTCAGGTAAACATGTTTTCCGCATACATTCGTCTTCGATATCATTGTTCTATCTATTCCTTGAAGCGACCACCCTCGCTGACGTCAGGATATACGTCAAATCGCCTTTGTCCATACAGTGGCACTCCCTTCCTGGTCTCCTCAATCTTGCCCGCCTCCAATTCGCGGATGAGAACGCCCTCCTTCTCGTCCAGCTGCTCTAACACTGCCGCGTTAGGGTCAACGATCATGCTGTGTCCCCACGCGTTGTATTCGGCCTCCATATCTCTTGCCGGACTACACAGTCCAACGTAGACCTGATTATCCGTCGCCCTAGCCCTCGCCAGCAACTCCCAATGTAACGCGCCAGTCGTAAGATTGAATGCGCCAGGGTATAATAGCAGAAACGCGCCCTTCCTCGCCGCGATCATTGCAAGCTCGGGAAACCGTATGTCGTAGCAGATTGCTATCGCGATCTTTCCGTATTCGGGCAGGTCGACTAGAGTGATCTTATTGCCTGGCGACAGGACCTCGCTCTCTTTGAACTTGATCTTGCCGGGAATATCAATGTCGAATAAATGCACCTTGCGATGAGTAGCAAGTAGCTCTCCACTAGGCGCAAATGTCAAACTTGTATTGTACAGCTTCTTCGTATCCTTATCATCCCTCTCCGGTATGCTTCCTCCAACAAGATATACCCCCGCCTCTTTCGCCAATTTGCTCAATGCGTGGAACGTCTGCGATTGCGACTCCGATGGTGGGGATGGGAGGAGCGTCTCGGCGTACTTGTCGAAGTACTTTGTTCCGTAGGGCGAATTGAAGCACTCGGGCAAGACTACGAGTTTTGCGCCGGCTTTTGAGGCATCGAGCACCTTTTGACGCGCTGAAGTGAGGTTCGCGCTCTTATCGGCGCCTGAGGCGAGTTGGATGAGCGCGAGCTTTAGGGACTTTTTGAGGAGGGACGCCATGTTTGGTGCTTGTGTGGGGAATTGGTGAGACTGCAAGAGAGATAATCCAGAGCACCTTAGAGTCAAAGTATATACAATGCGATGTTGGAGGTCTCGTTGGAGTGTTGGAGTAGAGTTGGGGTGGGGGTTAGCTCCAGATGTCCGCACGATGTCATCGCTCGGACTCGCCGCCCCGATCATGGCGGGGTATGCTGACCGACGCGTTCGACGCGTCTCTTCACTCATCCACACCACACGACAATACCAACCGCTTCAACAACATGCTGCGAGCGCATCACAATTCATCACTTGAAGATACTCGCAGCAATACACTCTGTTCTCTGCAGTTGTCTTATAACGCGTTCGTATCAAGAAGACCATGTTCATCGCTTGATGCTGCTGCCTCTACCATGCTCATCGTTCCTTCCCGACTCTCCGCGATGGATGTCCACAATGGAACAGTACAATTTACCGAGTGCTGGTACTTGTCCAGCTAAAGTCGTCTTATCAATCACACGTTACCCCAATAATCTTCCGGCGTCGAAGGAACCTTTGATATAAAAGATATCCATATAGAATTCCCTTATTTGATCGATTGACAAGGGGCAAATTCACAGAGGCAGCCTTCTTGAAAACCAGAAAGTATCGATAAATACGGTACCGTATACTGGGAGGCAATCCGTGTAGGTGGGGTGCTAGCGATCGCATTGTGGCGCGAAGTTTGCCGTTCTCCATCCCAGGGTGAAGCAGGAAATATTGTCGCGCGTCCCGATGACTACCGTTACGACCAAGCACGACGTACCCAGCACCCTTCGGCTTGCGCTCCGGAGCTGACATGAATGGCGAAGTTATCACAGCAACAACCTGCCGGGAGTACTTTTTGAAGCCGTCGGTATCTGCGCAAAGGTACTCGAGTACTGTGTTCGCGGTGTTGATGTCGAAGTACGACTGGCCGTCGCCATCGTCAGACGACGCGTTCGAGCATACAAATTCGAAGTGAGCTTTCGTAGCTAAAGGTGACCACATTGCCTTTACGATGGGAGCAATGTTGATGCTCTGATGCCATAACGAATGCTTAAGACAGGTACCCTGAGAGCATCCGTTGGCGACATCAACCTTCACCTGTCGAACATACTGCATCTGGGATCCTAAACACCAGCTCGCAGCTGACTCAATCTGCCTAATCTTTTTTGTAGCCAACTGGATCCACGATGCCCCCGGTCCATAGTCGTAGACAGTCAGGTGCATCAACTGCACAGCTATAATTTCGGGCTTTGGTATCCGCCGCCCGCCGCAGAATTGACATCTTCGACGAGTATAAGACTAAAGAACATGGGTGACGATCATGTATCCTTCCAAAGGGACGGTTGCTATATCGAGGGTATACAAAGCATACGTGCACAATTTTTCGGAGGCAAGGCATTACTCTCAATATGTCGACGGGTCTATCACGAAGCCGTCACTACGTTTCTGAAAGTAATACCTGGACCATTGCATCAGGACGCTGTTCATCTAGATTCCAGGTTGTCACACTTTTACAAGACGCAACAATCTTCTTGAGCGCACTTTGTTCCCAATCCGGATTGCTAAAGAACTTGACGATCGATATGGTGGGAACATGTTCCCCCACGTGTCAAGACGATCATATCTCTCGTGATATCCAGGATTCATACCTCGATCTAGCCACCACTATCGGGTTCAAAGACTTGGTGAAAGAGCTCCACAAGCCTTCCAACAACGCTATCGACGTAGAGACTGTGTTTGGTACTCCATTCAACCATCCAGGTTGCTTATCAACCACTCTAGCTAATTCCGGCCTTGACCTCTCTCGTCTGAACAACGTACTCCGACTTCTAGTCCAGGATCCTCTCGGCTTTCTCAAATACGGCGATGCAGTACACGAAACTCTTGTTGAGAGAGATGGCAGAACAGGATGTATCTTCTTTGGTCGCTCGTTCTCAGACTGGAATCATAAGCAGTATTTCCGCGTTTCCGAAAACGGCAACGCAATAACTCTTATTCCTCTCCTCAAATTGGACAACATACTGAAACTGCCACGAAATATCAGAAGCGAGATAATCAAGCACGTCACACAGTGCGGATCTCCACTCTCTTATCAAAAGACTATAACCTTCGACCTGGACAAGAGGACATGTGCGGACGGAAGCTCGGTTCTGGCTTCTGTGTGTCGAAAACTTAGACTGGAGAGCCCCAGTCAATTCCAGTTAACCAGCAAGTGTGTAATCAAAACGGCTTCCAAGGACAAACGTACCAACTTTGAGAGATTTTGCAAACTGGAGAAATTTTGGTGTATTGCCAGATCGGCACAGTTTCCTTGGCGCGGCAGGGAACAATATACCCTTCAACACTTGGACTGTTTGCTTGAAGTCGAAGCAGCGACCATTCTCGAGAGTCTCCGTATTAATATACTCGATTTCCTTCATATCACTTCTACTGTAGGAAGCAAAAAAGGAAGGCTTACCATATCTGCGATGCGAGGCCAGGGCGAAGCTCCACTGAATACTTCAATAACTTTCAACGAATTACGTTGGTACGTCCTAATAGCTCTAACCGAGTTCACCCGCAAGCACCCGGATGCCAACCGCAATCTTTGCGTCAACATCTGGATCAATGATCTCGGTCAAGTTATTGAGATCGAGAGCACAGATACTACGATGGATCCTCAAGAGTACATACGAAAGTACACACCCTGGAGCACACATCGCCGTGCCATCTTCCGAGGATACGGCATCCCAATACGAGACGGCTTTGACTATTCGCGCTATACTCTGCCTGCCGAGGCTTTCGACGGCTCTGCACGCTTTTATATCGGCTGGCTCCAGCGTTGTGGGCTTGGTCGGAATCCGGACCATTGGCCTGATGCCTGTGAGTTGTTGTGAGATCTGTTGTTGAGTGTGGGATATGCGGATTGCTATAAATTTCCAGATTTCGGATGCGTAGGGAAGGCTAGAATGTCGTGCGTGCAATCTAATAGCGCGACTACACTGATTCGGAAGGCGGTGGGTCACCGGATTACTGCCCGCCTGGTACGAGTGCGATTTCTCCAGGCAGATGGACTTTCACCGATACCAGGTAGTCGATTGCTGTCCCACCTCCAGCTATAGTCGTGAGAAAAGAACTTCACTTCATGTAAGCAAGGTGAAACAATGCCTGGCAGTACTAACGGCACTGGTGCACAGACGCTGACCTTTCTTCCTTCGTTGTACATAATGACCCGTACAGCAGCGCATTATACATTCAACCTCCACTCACTTCAATCCACTCAATTTCAACGGTCATGGCGATGCCCCCACGATCGAAGCCAATACCGGAAACCCCAGCAATCCCCGCTGTGGCTGGCACGAAAACACTCTTCTCCTTGGCAGCGGGAAGATCACGCTTTCAATCGCTGGAGAGGATGGTGGACCTCGTTCCGAGATGACTGATAATCTCTGGACGTGTCGGACTTTGGTGCTAACCACACTTGCGGAGACTAACACTACCATCCGGGGGTTCCATGATGAAATCTTATGCTCGACTGTGTGGATGAACGGATAGTTGGAAGTCGTGGAGGTGGAGCGGGATAACTTTTCAGTGCCTTAGGAAGAACATGAGTATCTTTGAGCTGCGTTAGTCCAATTTGCTGGAAGCCGATGTGTAAGTCTTATTCAAGAACAAAATTGCGCTAAACTGACTGATCCCACCCGGTTGTAGTGTTCCATAGTCCAACAGGACGAGATATGACTGGGACGGTGGCGTTTCAATACCACTTATGTCGTCTGGTGGCTCTGGGTCGATAAAGTTCGCATGGTATCTGAAGGACGGTTGGTGTGTGCGCGAAAAGGATTAGTGAAAGCGACAGGCAGATTAGGAGCAGCAGTGCGATAGTCGTGAAGTATTTAAGCAATGTATTGTAACCTGGGTGCCTTGGCACATCTCAAGCTGTGTCATCGAGAGACTTGTTTTGGACTATATCCTCCGTGACGCGAACCTCGTGGCTCCCCTCCAGCTCCGATAACACGATCCAGGTAGGGAAGACGCACAGCACCGTGATGCCAAAGTTGATACCAATACTGACGAAGTGGTTTGCACCACCTTCCGATTGCATACTGTCGCGATTGTTAGTTGATGATTTGGGAATGCTTTTCAAATATGGCAATACTTACGCCCAAGCGACGGTTTGACCGAGCGCCTCTACACCACGCAGAATACCGGTCAGATGGCTCAAGTTGGAGAGATCGGTCGCGTACTGGCCCACTAGCCAGTACAGGAATTGCTGGAAGGCCTGGCCGCCGAATTGCCAGAAGAAGACAAGCGCATAGCTCTTTCCAAAGCCGCCTTGGAACCAATCGAACACCGGGGATTCCGATGCATCGTAGTTTTGCTTCTGCAGAATCGTTGCCCAGATCCACGTGCCGACAAGGATGGTGATGATGGTGCAGAATGCAATGCGACCGCGCTTCTTGATGTGAATTTTCTGGTTGTCGAGCAGGAAGGCGATGATGAACGATGAGAAGATACCGGCAAAGTTGGTGAAGAAGGAGGAGAACGCGCGAGCTCGGACGGTGAAGTATGTCGTCAACCAGGTGCTCATGAAGCCATTGTAGAAGTAGCTGATGAAGAAAGCTGGCAGCAAAAGGAGGATACGGCGGCTGACGAACAGCTTGCCGACAGCCTTGAACTCGGCACCCCAGGTCGCGGCGCGCTCAGTGACGATCTTCGTGCCATCCTTTCGCCAGACCTTGTGCGCTGGCGACAAGCATAGGGCTACCGGAAGACCGAGGCACATGATGACGATGAAGACGATGTATGTAGTTGAAGATACCGATCCAGTGGTCTTCCGGTTTGCGTTAAGTCCGAGGTTGATAGCTCCTCCAACAATCGGTCCAAGTGCCTTCGCGGTCTGCCAGATAGCGAGGTAGAAAGCGCGGTCTCCGGGCGAAGGATATCCGATGATGATAGCAGCTTCAGCAGCCCAGAAGAAACCAGCGGAGATACCACAAAGCGCGCTACCAAACAGCATGAACCATGTGTTCGCAGAGATGTTGTTGGTGTAGAGACCAGCGCCATACAGAGGGTAACCAATAGCACCCAATGCAAGACCATACGTCAATCCAATACGGTTGTTGATAGCTCCGGCAGCAACACAGACGACAGCGAAGAGTCCGTATACCAGGGCGTTGGCGGCAGAGACGGCGTACGGTTCGGCAGCGCCTCCAGCCCCTAACCCACCAAGAGCATCCCACATTCCCGGAGCCGTGAAGGAGACACCGCATGCTACAAGGATCTGGAAAGGCACCGAGCGGAAGAACGGTCCAGAAGCCTTGATGGAGCCCGAGGGCTCAGACAAGGAGGCGGACGACATGACGATGCGGAGGCGAAAGATGGAGAGAAAATATGGGATGAGGTGAAGAACCTCAGTCCAACGTGGAGACTACATATCTTAAGAGTTCGGACGACACCGCGATGCTTGGCGAGCTTGGTATCCAATTTTTCTCTCCTTAGTGATGGACGTTGAGGCAATCACCGCAATCGAGACGTTTGGTGTTTTCTATGGGGCGAGCACGACATCTGCGCTAAATGACTCGCGCGTGGCGGCCTGCGCTCCAAGCGTCCACGGGTCGGACCCTTTTGGTTATGACTTCACTCGAGTTTTCCAGTGGCTTGCCAAGTAGGGTGCGGTTTCCGTCGGTTTGATGAACATCTTCCGCGAAAGGTTGCATTGAATGCGCCATTTCGACATGAGATGCGGAAAGCACGTTATGTCGGGATTGCCTGAAGACCGCAGAGCATTTGACATCCGCGGGCGGCGAGACTGGATGAATAAGGACCACGACAACATGTTGGGCGCCTTGCCTTCTAAAGTCTATGTATCCATACCGTTGCTGATACTCATCTCTCTACGGGCTTTGAAGCTCGACCAACGTCTTTTCACCGCTCTGTTACTGCTCCTTGACAGAGAATAGACGATTTTCTCGCATACAAACCATCGCTATGTTTCCGTCGACTCAAATGCCTTTTTCCATTTCACCTTGTTGCGTCAATCTTCAATTTTGCTTTGGCAACATTCGAGTAGTATATCCCATGCATTGAAAAGAGAAGGAAGTCAAGGTCAGGCAACGATTATGCAACAAGTAATCCAGCGTAAATTTTCGTAACCATTAAACTAATCGTGTATAATCATGCCTCCAGTCTCCCTCAACTTCGAACTCAAATGCGTGCGGCGACGAAAGCGGCAGCAGTAGGAGCATCGATCTCGTAGTTCCTGTGCTCAGGAGTGATGATGATGCCGTTGTCGCAGATGTTGTCACCGGAATGGCAGATGATGAGAACCTTGCTAGCAGCAACAGAGCCGAAAGACTCGTCACGGTCAGCATCGCCGAATGTTACAACGGCGGTGACACGCGAGGCGGCGGAGGCTGATAGCCTCTGTGTAGCAGTGTGCACGAGCTGTGCGCCCTGGGAGTATCCGGAGACGACGATCTTGGTTGAGGGGCATCGTGTAATAGCCTAGGTGCACAGTCAGCATCGCACCGGTATATCAATAATGATAATGACACTCACTTGGTTGATCAAGTTGAACATAGTGGTGGCACCCGCTGCGTCGCCTCCAGCCAAGAAGCCAATGACATTAGCCGGGTAGGTAACGCCTTGGATGGCCAAGTTGCTAGCACCTCCGACACGCGAGGCCAGAGCATTGAAGAAGGTTGGGCCTTCGGAGTTGGCCTCGCCTACATTACCCGCTAGGAAGGATATCAGTATACAACTCCCCTACAATCAGTATAGAGATCTTACCTTGGGTGGTACCGCGAGCGTAGATGACGGTTACGCGACGGCAGGCGGTACCGTCGGTCAGTTGGTTGTAAGTGTCGCCGCTGAACTGGCGCTTGGTAAGGTCACGTGTTTCAACGTCCTGGTTCTCAAGCTGTGCGGCGTACTCCTCGACGGTGAGGTCCGAGTCAAGGAGGTCGGTGATGGGGAAGCTCACTCCGTTCGCTGGTGTTGGCGCAGCGAGGGCAGTGGTGAGAACGGCCGCGAGGGCAAGAAGGGAGCGAGCGCAAGTCTTCATGATGAGCGATTGTCGAGGGCGGCCGAGATGAAACGAAGGAAGTCTGAAGAGGCTGGTAGCGATGATCCACCAAGAGTAGGTGGAATGTTTGACCTTTTGTATCCTGAGCCATCGTTCTACCGAAGCATAGCGAGTATGGCTATAGCCACTTCAGTACTATCTCCTGCGCTACTGCATCGTCTCTTGCAAGCACATTGGCAAGCCATGTCATCAGACCTTACCTACATGCCTATTTCTACCAGTTCAATTTCCTCCTCCGCATCGTTAAGCTCGTTTGTTCTTGTTTACCGCCGTCGACACCCAATGGCTACACCTGATCCGTTCACGTTGACCAGTGATTGTCTAGTTCCTGTCCGACGCTTTAAATGACATGCATTGTGATGCATCGGGCCTTTATTGTGTACTCCTAGTTTGGCTTCTCCCTCCGTGTTTGGTGTTGCTGCCAGTCTTGTTACCTTCTTCTTTGGAGTTAGCACGTTCATGAACCCCAGGTACCACCGGGTATCTCGAAACACGTGGGGTAGACATGGGGTTTCTAGGACGAATAGAGAACATGTACATAGCCAATGCTGCGCAACGTGAGAACCATCGACGATACGATTCGTGCAGCCGAGGCATGTCAAGCATGTTGCGGCGCTACGAGGCGTCGATCAGTGAGAAGTCTTCGATGCAGCGCCGGGAAGCAGCCGCTGCTGCAGTACCTGGGTGTGTAATCATAACTTCTGCTGACAGATATTTGTGCTTTTGGAATGTCACTGTCGAGTCGCATTGTTGCAATTTGGTGGCTTCTCCAGTCAATGCGATGATGTCACGCCAAGCTTTAGCGCCATCTTTGCCATCTTGTTCAGATGGTGTCCCTTTGATTTGGACTGACCTGGCCAATGTGCTCACCAGACTTCCATCACGACATTGGTATCATTTCTACACATGCTGCACAATCGACCAACATCTGCTGTTCATAAAGCGGGACACAAACTGCATAACCAAATCCCCTGGCTCCCAGTCACATTGGAAGGTAACTGACACCAGCACTACCATCGCGACTAGACAACCGGCCAACAAAGAATGGAAGGCGTCGCGAAGCCGCTGTCGCTCTACTAATAGTCAATTCACCCGGAAGATGACCGATGTTATCGCACATAGTCGCAAACATTCGGAAGCTCGATGGAGAACCCCGCACACGGTACCCGTTGCCAAGCAGAACATGCAGCAACAGCTGTTGAAATCTTCCCTAATCCTTCTTTTGGCGTCTTGGTAGCATTACCAGCTTCCACTTACGATGTAGATCTGCGCTCGCGAAAGCCATGATAGCAAGAGTTGCATTTCTCCGATGACGGTAGTCGCTGCGGTATCGCGACATGTTGGAGATACCGGCAGTCGACAGCCTGTCGCGAAGAGTGGGATGGCAAAAATGGTGGAGTATAAAATGTAGGAATAGAAGAATTTGGTAAGATCTCTTGCATCGTCAAGGCTAGTTCTCTAGATCGATCAACATGCGGTCCACATCCATCCTCGCAGTCTGCGCGGCAACACTGCTGCAGACAGCTTTCTCGTCACCTATCCACGCGCACCATCCCCATCAATCGTTCCCTAGTGCGGAACAATGGCCATTACCAGTCGTTGGCAAGGCGCTAGAGCAACAGATGCCAGATGAAGACCTCCAGGACATCATTTCGCAGATATCGCGCGACAACATCGAAGCCACAATCCGGAAGCTTGCATCATTCGGCACGCGTCATACCCTGTCCAGTCAAACGGACCCGAACCGAGGCATCGGCGCTGCGAGAACATGGCTCACGGCTAAGTTCCAAGAAGCAGCTGATGAGAGTGAGGGAAGGATGACCGTAGACTGGAACAGCTTCATCAAATATCCTGGAGACAACGAGCGCATCATCTTCCCCGTCAACATCACAACCGTCGTTGCAACACTGAGAGGCAGCGAGGATCCCGATCGCGTCTACGTAACAGGCGGGCATTATGACTCGCGCAACAGCGACCCTATCGACTACCAAGGCGACGCACCCGGTGCTGTAGACGACGCCTCAGGCGTCGCCGTCTCGCTAGAACTCGCCCGCATCTTCGCACACTACAAGCCTAAGACGACCATCGTCTTCACAGCCTTCGCAGGCGAAGAACAAGGTCTCCTCGGCGCCGAGAACCTCGCCCAAACCTACAAGAATGCATCCGTAAATGTAGCAGGGATGATAAACCTCGACATGGTCGGCAATTCGAAAGCCTCAGATGGCACCATCGATCCCTACAACATCCGCCTCTTCTGCCAAGGCACGCCTCTGACGGAGAACTCCACAAAGATGACATCGCGTCTCAGCATCGGCGGGGATAATGACAGTCCTGCTCGTAACATGGGTCGCTTCATCTACGAAGTCGCATCTAATGCCTTCACGGAAATGACAGTGCGCCTCATCTACCGTCTCGACAGATACAGCAGAGGCGGCGACCACCGCCCTTTCCTCGAAGCAGGCTACACAGGCGTTCGCTTCGTCCAGCCCAACGAGGACTACACGCAACAGCACCAAAACGTTACCGTGCGAAATGGAAAGCAATACGGCGATCTAGTCGAATGGCTAGACTTTGAGTACAACACGCGCGCCGCCAAGGTCGTAGCATCCACTATGTGGAGTCTAGCCAACGCACCGGGTGAGCCAACGAATGTTGGTATCAACACTACGACGTCCGATAACTTCAGTCAGTTCAAGTGGGATGCACCCAAGGGACTGCCAGTGGAAGGGTATGAGATTCTGTATCGTGAGACGATTGAGCCGCATTGGACGAATGTTATTGAGGTGGGGAATGTGAACTGGTTCAATCTTACTTCGGCGACAATTCATAAGGATAATGTTATCTTTGGGGTGAGGAGTGTGGGGAAGGGAGGGTATAAGAGTCCAGCTGTTCTTCCGTTTCCGTTTGGATGCTCGAGGAATTGCTAGATAGAGTAGAGTTGTTGATTGAGATGAAGGTCACTATGTACGTTCGGAACCAACTGTCGATCACCGTCTCCCACTCCCCGCACATCCCTCCTCCGAGACATCACTCGATTCTTTTGATCACGAGTTCAAGCTAGAGCCCGCGCCGAGTAGCCTCAATCGTACTCCTCCACGCTCCACTACGCAATGTTCTCTGGCTCTGCTCCTACCATTGGGTATGTCCAGCTTCCATCATAAGTTTTCACCTATTCCTCCTACTCTCATCAGATATGTCCTAGGCTCAAGTATCGTCAGTCCTCTATAAATCATTCTCAATGGCCTCAAGACTCGATAGAAGGGATAACTCACCACCAGTCGCTCCAAAAAGATATCCGTAAGTGGTACCAGAACCTGATCAAGCTACCGTTGCGTGTGAAGGTAAACAGATCGCTCTTGATGCCCGCACTGTTCCAGAGACCCTTAATCTTGCTATAGCCTTCCATGTGGACGTTGGCCGAACTGCCGATAGTATTGGAATAGGGGATGATCATCTCACCGGAGGTGGCCGTAGCGGGATATGTGGCGCGCAAGATAGTACCGTGACCATTGATCCAGATCTGTGGAAGAGGCTTGTCGGCTTGTGAAGGACACTGCTCCAGAACATCTGAAAGTAAGAGAAATACTTTGCGTGCCAGGTTGTGCCACATGATGGGCTTCGTGTCACTACCGTCCAACACTCGGATGGTGATGCTAGGGTCTGCACGGTCACAACGAAGCAGAGTTAGCAGCCTGCTGATATCGATTCGAAGATCCGCCATCGAGATTGGTGCAGACAACCTGAATTTCAGTATCATACTGAAGGAGCGCTCCTGATATCTGCACTCCGAATCGATCAGATTGGCAAATCTCTCAACATTCAACCACTCTTGCAATGCCCTGAAGCCGTTGAAGTCGGTCGTAGTCTCCTGAGTAGATGTTTGGATCACGATCTCGTCGTACACTCGCGTACGCTCGTGGTCGATTTCATACCGCAGCATGCAATTGACTCCGGCAAGACCTACGTGGTACCCCCGGGATTTTTTGGTGTCCAGATCGAATACAACCATTGTATCGCATGGGCATATTGCGTATACATTGATGTCCGCCAGAAATTCATCAGGAAGGGACAGAAGACTCAACTCTTGTGGTTCTTGCCACTGAACCTTAGACCCATGGTCTAGAATATCGAATTTTCTCTCTGAATGCGGAAAGGAATGTTGGGCATCAGGATCAGCATGCTCAACGTATCCATAACGTGTGTAGACACCGGAACAAAAGATTGTTATCGAAGACATCAGGCGAGGATGTCTGGCGTACTGTCTGAGGTCGAGAGCGTCTGCGGTGCCCAATGCGAACAGAACACCGTTCAGGAGAGTTATAGGGGAAAGTGGGCCGTAGAAGCTGGCGTCGTCGTCTCTTTCCTCAGCCAATGAACTTTCGGGAGACACAAAGGCAAATTGACATTTGGCCTGAGGATTGTCCCAAATGAGCTTCAACAGAGGTAGAAAATCATACGCTCTAAGTCGATTTCCAAGTGAATCTGCGTCGATATGTACGTGGGACAAGAGCTGGTAATGTGATCCGATCCTGAATAGCCATGTGCACATAAAGTGCATCTGATCTTCGAGGATATGGGAGAACAAGAAAGTGTTCTGGCCGTAGAGGATACCGACTGCTTCTTGGTATACCTGCCGGCATGACATTAGGAACCCGACGCAATCAGCAAAGCCATGATAAAAGTCCTCTTCCTTGAGTTGTTGCTCAGAACCGCCATCAAGGAAATAATCGGCCCGGTTCAGGGCCAGATAACGCAGTCTCTCTCGCAGTCTATCGGGACGCGTACGGCCATTCTTGAGGAGAACGGCACCGTCTCTTTTGAACAAACACTCGTAGACTCGGTTGCGGATCTCAGGTGGAATTGTAGTGAGGAAGCTGCGCGCACTCGGGTCGGCGGCGCCGGACTTTGTTTTGGGGATCTCAATGACGGTACCGGTCGCCATCTTGGGTCGGCCGTCGAGAAAGCGCGGCAAGTCGAGATGACGTCGCAGGCAATTGATGTTGGGAGAAGATTGTAGGGGGAGATTCGCGCGGGATTGTACCTGCAGTTTTAGGCAAACAGCGGTCCAAGCGCGGAGCTAGCGCGAGGTGAGAGTACAAGTGAAAGTGAGAGCGGGACTCAAGCCGCGCCTGCCATATCAGTCTGTCCGAGTGAGAGAATTAGTCACGCTTAAGCTTGAGCAAACCATCGTCGTTCTCTCCGAGAGACGCCTTTGCCGGACCCATAGCTCGTTTCAGGTCACTATTCAACTCATTCGCTACCGTTAGCAGCTCAGGATAATCGGCCGCAGCCCAGCCCTGCAGCCCGTGAACGAGCACAGCTAAGATCTAGTTCTTGAAGAGGTAGGAGCGTCTTCTGTTATCCAGCGCCGTCGGAAAGAGGAATAATGTGGAGTAAACGAGGAGCGCCAGCGGCTACGCAAGCCAAGCCCATCTTACATCAACAAAGGTGTCTGGGCCGTAGGCTGCACTAGTGTTGTAGATAGCTGCGTAGTTGCCAGGCCCTTGTATGACTTTACTTCCTACTTCTGCGAAGCCGCGAAAGAAGTAGGACCAAGTGTGATCGAGGAAGTACTCCAAGAGGTATATGCTCAGCGTCGTGGATTTGAGGATGCGCGACGTGGAAGCAGCGAGCCAGAGGCGTGAGTAGTTGCCGAGGTAGAAAGTCTCGTTCAAACCCTCTGCATGGAATGCTTCATCATATCCACTTGTCACCTTGTAAGAGTCGTCACCAGGTGGAAGCAGTGGCCATTCCTCCGCCGAATCGTAGCTTACGACAGTGTTTCGTACTGTGATATTGTGATAGCGCTTCGCACAATAGTTTAGTTGGCAGTGAGATACCGTTTCGTTTACCAACCCGAGCCGGTCGATTTCGCCTACACGAGTGAGATTAGATGTCGACTTGAAACAAGTGAATGCGGAGATAGTCTGCAGTGGTAGCTTGAAAAGTTCAGTTATTACGTCCTGGTAACCTTCAAAGTCTCCTATGCATTACTTAATTTGTGGTGGAAACGCAGTCGATAGAGACCACACTGGACTGCCACTCATTGCAGAGAAGAGGCTATATGTCCCATCGATCTTGCTGCGTTCTAAGCGGATGATACCGAATTGGTAGCCGCCAAATGCAGCAAGGTCCGGGTCAACAACGCCAATACTGGGATAGGTCTCGTTCAGGTAGCGGCTCGCGGTAATCCAGAGCACCAACTCTGGATACCCTGGCTTCTTTATAGTCCACATTCTCTCCCACGAATAAGGCTGCGTGTCTGTAACGTAATCTGTCATCGCGGTATAGTTGAAGTAGAAGTGTTGACTGGAGGCATTGTAGCTAGATTCCACGGACTTGCCGCAACCCTGAAAGTCTTCATCTGCGAAGTTACCGCCATTCCAGAAATCGCCATCGAAAGTAACGTCTTCTGAGTTGCAGGATTCGCAAAAACCCAGAGAGGTAAACTCATCAAGTTCGCATTCTGTTGTCGGACAGTATACGTTGTTTAGCAAGTTGATGTCTTGCAAAGCGACGTGATCCGTGAACCCGACGGTCAGAGGATGCTCTATGCCTGTCATATGGTTAGTGAAGCATGACTTGTGATCCACGCAAAGACATACCAATAAGACCAGCATTCTCTATACTCGACACGTCTGAGAACGAGTTGCTTGAGCTTACAGTCCCGGTAGTATTGGCTAGCAGCGCGGGTTCGGAGTAGACTCTCAGGACCTGCTGTGTGAAAGGCTCAAAGCCAAGCGAAAGAATTGTCAATACTGCTCCGAAAGACGCAAGTGCAGCGGATTTCCTCAATCGCAGCTTGTAACGAAAGGTAAAAGCTCCACAAGGTCCACGGGTAGCCACGTCGAAGTCATAGAGGCGGTTAACAGGCTTCGATTGGGGTGTGTGGAAGTAAATCCATTTCAGCTGTCCAATGCACTCGGCAAGAGGGACTGGCAATGCCGATTTGGCAATGGTAGAGAAAACCGCTATCAGAGAATTTGGTTGAATAGGAAGCTTCCAGTCTATCATGGGCTTGCCGTCCATGGTAAAGAGGATAGTCAGAATAAGCGTCATGTACAGAGTGCTCAGTAACAAGGCCGCCACTTCCCACTACCAGCCCGTGGAACGTGATTGTCGCGTGGGTAGTGGCTTCACTGGAGGAGATGCGGGTCCCTGCTGCGGCTGGATATTTGACATGGAATTTGAACTGTTGATCGTAGAGGGTGGCCCTGCTCTTGACGATATTGGGGAGACAGAGTGGTGTGAGGGGGGTTGGCTTCGAAGAGACGCCAGGTCAGCCATTGCAAAACTATCGAAGGAAAGTCGGCTATCTGCCACCAATGGGTTAGATGCCGCAGAACCCTGAGAAGTAGACATGTCTGTCGGGTAGGTTGGAGGGGCGAAGATGAAGAAAGTCGACAGAGACTAAGAGCTCGAAGTATTGAGATTGTGCTGTAAGGCCAACCGTGCCTTATACTCTGTCATCGTCACACGATGCAACGCGCCATCATTGCGGCGATATCAGCCTTGTGCCAGCTACACCAGTGCCGTCGTCTGATTTGAGCCCCCAGAACATGATGTGGAGGCCAAAGACCACACTGATGGTATCGCAGTGGCATATCTCCGCCCCATTCTCTTGCAAGACCCCCGATGCAGTACGAGTAGCTTCGGATTGTACAAGAATGCATTGAGGTAAGCTGAGCTGGAAGCACAACATAAGCCCCTTCTTCAATTCAGCAGCGACTGGCTTACCGAGACCAACGAAGAGGGTTCCAAAGATTCCTGGAAGGTCCAGAAGGCCTACCAGAGCAGTCAATATATCTAGTTTTAAACTAGCAAAATTGCTACCTCAGACGAATCTTCACTGGTAAGCAGAACACCCCTGCACTGGGATAGGGAAGGGAGGAAGAGGCTGAGAATTCGGCGGATTATAGACGCGAAGGGATCGCAGGCAGCAGTCCGTCACGGGCTCGAATTAGGCGTGTTAGGGGCCCATAGGGCTACAGGCAACTGTTCGTCACGAGTTCAGTTGAAAACCTAGAAACGTTGGGTGTGGTGGATCGAAGGATGGATGGAATGAGGCAGCCACGGCGTACGCGGACTCGATGTGTCAGCAGCAGCCACGTGATTCTAGTGGCTGCCCAATCGGCTCCAAACATAGTCGAGGCGGAACGGCAGGGGCTCGACTCTCGGCATATCATCTCGCCCACAATTCCTCCATGGTACACCCTCAAACAACAAAAAGTAAATACCACGCCGACACCAACCCTGCATGGCAAATGCAGTTTCGTGGCGCACTGGAAGAAAGTCGTCGCCGGCAAGAGCGCGACCACGGAAATGCTAGCAAGTTGCAAAGGCTTGGCCTGCATAGCAAGGGCCAAGTTGGAGTAACCCTGCAGTAGGCATGGCAGTGGAACAGAGAGCTGGACCAGTCGTTCCTCGTACATGCTTCGTCCCGCGGCATCCATGTCGAATACTCGGGCCCGGATAATCGGCGGGCGGGCGGACCTATTGGTCTTTCATGCGCTGGGTTACAACTCACCCGCCGTCGCAGGTGGGATTACACCAGGCATCCTTTGACAGCGAAGAGGCCGGCGATTCTCGTGTGTACCGTCGGCGGGGCTTGACAGGTGTAGCGACGCTTCTGCTTAGCATGTGTGCTGGGTGGCGAGCAGAATGTTCAATAGGGTGGCCGAGGTCAGTCTGGTGAAAGAGCAAAAACTGGGGATCGTCGGTGTGAGCCTTCGCATAGCAAGCGGCCTTCAGGGTCTGGTCCCTGTTGCTACACCTGTGGCCAACTGTGAGGATCCAGAATAATAGTGAGCCATAATCGTGCATGTGCTGGCGGTGAGGGAAGAGAGCCTTGACGCGAGTAGATTTCATGTCTTATACCCGCCTGCTCCCCTTTGATCCCATCTTGTTCGCTCTTCCCCTGCCCCTCGCCGGCCTCGACTTTCAGACTTCTCTAGCTTGTGTTGTGTGGTGACGGCTAGCTGCGCCGTTTTCCCACGTCTTCGCCGTGCCGCATTCTCGTTGCAAAACGCCGTCCACCCTTCCCGACCAATCTCGCAGCAAAAGCCGGGGTCTCCCCTCTGGCCCGCAAGATCTGCAGCATAGCGCAAAAGACATAGGATTCGAGCGATTCCCTCTGTCCATTCAGCGATTTTGCAAATTACCATCCACGGGACTTTCGGAACCTCCACGCGCAAGACAGCAGAGTCAGCTGTCAGGTACCCGGTGTGCACCATTCCGACGAGCGTCTGATAGCTAGTGGGAGAGCTAGGCGGCGTCAGAACGTGGGAACCTTGGAAACAGCGGTCACGCCCGAGGTCAGCACACACACCTGGCCGGCCCCTTAGTAAGGAGGAAGTTAGAGAAGGTGCGGGTGAGGCGGTCACATTCTGCGACAACCCACTTTCCGCCTTGTCCTTTCACACTCGAGCACCCAAACGCGCAATCTGCGAGCGACGGCGACAACTCATCTATCCACGCTTCCCTCTCGCACGGCGGCACACTTCCCCTACCAACAAACTTCGGCTTCTGGCATAGCAAAATCCCAAACACACAACCGCAGCCATGCACCGCAAAAACCCCATCAGCGTGCTCGTCTACAACACGCTCTTCCCCACGCCCTCGCCCACAGACCCTCCCTCCTTCAGCGCGCACCTCTCCAAAAACCTTGTCGGCGAAGTCCGCATCGAAACAGCAAACTTCTACGGCTCGCTCGATACAATCGAAGCGCGGTACCCAGGCCTAAACTACGCCTTCCAACCGCACCGAAAACGACTCGGCCGCTTCCCACACCACAAGCGACTCTTCGACGCATTCGACCGACTAGGCCTGACCGAAGCTGAAATCCAAGGCTTCTGCAGATGGGAAGGCACACTCTGGGCGCGGGAGCGCTACGAGCGAGACGAAGGCGTACGCGTAGTCGACACGACAGGTGTAGACATAGGGGAATGGGTCGACACACGACGAGCCTACTCGTCACGCCACAACAACGGCGCAGGCATCAACGTCAAGACCGACATTGAAGTTGAAATCGAAGAACTAGAACACCACAACCACCTCCTGCACAACCCGCTCACTCGGCAAAACATGCAACCGCCCAATCACCACCACAACGGCGGCGACACAGAAATGCCCGACTCCTCCTCCTCAGCCGAAGACGACGACGACGACGACGACGGCGCGGCTGAAGCGTCCGACTCGGAATCAGACTCCGACTCCACATCCAACGAACTCTCCTCCTCAGTCGGCTTTTCCCTAAACGCGCGGCTCCTCCACGCCGCCGCCCTCCGCGAGTCCTCGGGCGCCCTAAACATACCCATGGACCCAGAATGGGAACAATACCTCAAAGAAGCGTCTGAGCGCGGCGAACTCAACATCGACGCGACGAGGGAGGCGCTGCGGACAATGGCAGGCCAGATCGCGCAGTTGCATCAGAGTACCGTTGAGGCGGAGGGCAGCGAGGCGGTGCCGCAGACGTTTCAGCCGAATGCGGCTCCGGCTTAGGAGTCCGTAGACGCAGAGATACAAATGGAAATGGAAATGGATGCGCACGCTGAGGCGGAAATCCAATGGATGATAGATGAGGGAGTCGAAGCAGCGGTTATTTTTATGTTTCCGGATGTGTTTCTAGCACCACCACGGAGGTCATGATTACGAAGGATACGACGACGAGGATGATCAAGACGAAGAATGGATCGAGGACTGCGGTAGTAGGAAGACCGTCTTTAAGGATGGTACTTGTTGTTGGCTTTGGCCTTTTCTCCTCCTGCACTGCATGGCGTTTCTGCTTCTTTCTTACAAGACAAGGCGTTTGACGGGCATTTCGCGAGATACCCCAGATGTTCTGCTGGGCCTTTGCAGCTTTTGTTGGGGTAATGGTTCTTGTTATCGGATTACATAGATGGGTGGAAGGGTTTTGGATGGATGGGCAACAAGGCATGCACGGCATATAGTCATAATCCATCATGTTCAGATTTTCAAGATGGGTGTTTGTGGTTTGTGGTGTTCTTGTTTCCATTATTGTGCTTCATACTTCCCCGTGTGAGGAGTGATGGTTGCTCCCATCGCTATATGGGGCCATGGAGGGCTTGCTGGTGCTCCTGGCTTTCCCATCAAGTCTCCTTTGTCGTAGTCTTGAATGTATCTATCACAACCAACTCCCGAGGCTGCATTTTTTGTGGAGTCCTGCAGTCCTCAGCGAACCCTCCAGGCTATGACTACATTGATTTCCCAGGCTAGATGGCCCTGAGGAATTGTGAATCACGGTTATGAGGACGTGGCGTGTTGCAGTATATTGAGATACTACACACACCATCCCCTTAACGCCTTCCAGAGCCACCGAAGCTGAACCCTCCAGGACCCCTCTTAGTGCCCCTTGTGGTCCTGCCGCTACTATCCTCATCAATCTCCATAGCGTCATCACCACCCATACCCATCAGATTCCGCTTGCCAGTGTTCTTCTCGTCACCGACCGTCATGACTGCCTCAAAGGCCCGCTCCTTCTTCCGACGCATCTTCTCTCGATCCAACGCCTCCTTCTTGACCTTTGCAACCTGTGCCTCCAGATCTGCTAGAGCAGAATCGCACCGTTGTGACCATGACTGTAGAGTGTTTTGAAGTGCGGGGAGGGATCCTGGTGCGAGGTCGCGCAGTGGCGAGATGGATGTCACGGAGACGAGGGAGTGTGCGGGATCGAGAGTCGCGGTGATCAGGCCGGAGTAGATGGCAGTGGTGATGAGCTCCTCGAGAGCGCGGGTGGTGGGCAGCTCGAGCGCTGTCATGAGATGTTTGTAGGTGAGGGTGGCATGTGAGTGCGAGAGCGGCAGTAATGAAAGTAGCAAGAGCTTCTGGTGTTGCTGTGCTGAGAGTTTGGGGAGATTTGCTTGAGCTTTGCGCTGTCAGTACACAATTTGACGGCTATGGTATGATCAACGCACCCTTGTAATCTTCCCAGGTTCCCCAGGCGAAGATCTCGAGCAAGGTAAGATACGAAGCATACTCTTCTGAACTCCGTAGATTCTGAATGTTCGGTGTCTGTAGGAGTTCGGCGAATACGTATGTGTTGGGCGCGCTGGTGGCTTGTACGATCAAGTCCGATGCTGCTCGTGGAGAAGTCGCGGATTTGCTGAGGGCAAGGAAGGGCTCGAGAGCATTAAGGGCCTTGGTTTGCTCCATGTTGGATTGTTGAATATGCAATAGTTTCTGGAGTGTTAGAAGGTTGGTTTCAATGTAGCTGTCTATCGATAGTGGAAGGCGAGCAGGCAGCTGCATGTGAGGTACGTCTTGGCAATCGCGGTCGGTCGCGACTGCCCCGCGACTCAACCCCACCCGCCTCTACGCTCGGACTTCCATTCATTCAACCGTTCGATTCCACAAAGGGAGTTGAATAGACACCTTTTCTTTTTGCCCTTTGCGCTCAAGCTTGGAATAGATTTGTCAGGTATCACCCCTGGGCCAACAACACAGGCCTTGACTCGTACCCGACACCGCCTGCTCCGCAATCACGAGATCATTCGTCTGCCACACATCATCAATCATAGCGCGCGAACTTAGCAGTTCGTAAGACGAAGTACACCAGGTCCGGTCCCCGTCGTGTTCGGCGACTGACACGGTGCACCCTCAATCCAGGCAAACTGCCATGACACTGGGAATTTGTTCCGTTCGGTCAAGGCGGTAACAGGCCCTGAGGCTCCGCGTGTCTCATCTAAGGATCAGGAAGGGTTTTATGTTCCTTCCTGTTTCACATGCCAAGAAGGAAACACTATTGTCTAATGTCCGTGCCGCATCAAAGAAACCACCAACTCCTAGATACCACAGTTATTATTCTTAATTTTCCTTCTGTCATCCTGCGGACTTGAAGTGTGCCCTGCATCTCACAGCGCTTGTACTCTAAAAGCTCGACCATCAGCTCGTGGCGGCGCCTTAACAATAACGGCCTATCATCCACCTGCGGAGCCGGTCTAGCCTTCTTTCGACGTGCCACGGCGCTGGGCTTTAATCAGCACTGGGTCAGATTGTGGCTGCTGCACTCCGTTCATCAATCGCCATATTAATAACTTCGCCATCTGGCACTACCGGAAGCTGGCCTTCCTTTTTACTCCGGAGTCCGCTGTTCTCGCGCGTTTACCTCACGTTGTCGCCATACCGTCGCGCGATCGCTTTTCGACTTCGCCCCAATCCTCCCGCTTCGTACGAGCCGCCCTCGCCCCAATCTGACCGTTGAATGCTGCATCTGGCTCAGCATCGGCAGTCTAGTTCGCGATCCGTCTGAAGTCAACGGCACCGAAAAGCGCTTCTAGCCATCATGGCTCCTCCTCCGGCGACAGCGCACATGGCGACAACGACGCTCAAAGTCGAGGGCATGACATGCGGCGCGTGTACCTCCGCGATTGAATCGGGCTTCCAGGGCGTGAAGGGAATAGGAAATGTGTCAATAAGCTTGGTGATGGAGCGGGCTGTCATCCAGCATGACCCCGAGGTCATCACTGCGGAAGAGGTTAGGGAGATTATCGACGACAGGGGGTTTGACGCAGAAGTGCTCTCGTCGGATTTACCAATGTCGCACAGCGCAGATGACCACTTTCTGAGCGATTCTGAAGATGAAGAGGAGGAGACGATCGGAAACACCTCGACCACAACGCTTTCCGTTGGAGGAATGACATGCGGAGCGTGTACATCCGCCGTGGAAGGCGCTTTCAAGGACGTGGCTGGGATCAAGTCCTTCAGCATATCACTTCTCTCTGAGCGCGCAGTCATCGAACACGACCCTACGATCATATCTCCGGAAAAGCTCGCTGAAACTATAGAAGACGTTGGCTTTGACGCGCAGGTGCTGGATACCGTGGCCGCGACACCAGCGGCAAAGAAGAGCAGGAGCCGCAAGCAGCAGAAGACAATGACCACGACGGTTGCTGTTGAAGGCATGACCTGTGGCGCATGCACATCAGCCATCGAGAGCGGGTTCAAGGACGTTGAGGGTGTATACCAGTTCAACATCAGTCTACTCGCCAACCGTGCCGTAATCGTGCACGACCCTTACAAGCTCACCGAGGAACAGATAGCAGAGATTATTGAGGACCGCGGCTTTGACGCCCAGGTTCTGTCATCCGTCGATGGTAGCATACAGCAGTCGTCAACATCGAACGCCCCAGTACAACTCAAGATCTATGGACTGCCCAACGCTAGCGCTGCTCAAGAGCTAGAAGGATTACTACGAAAACGATCCGGAATTACCTCAGCGACAGTCAACTTCAACTCTTCAAGAGCCACCATTCAACGAGAGCCTCAAATCGTCGGTCTTCGAGCGATCGTTGAGGCTGTAGAGGCAGCTGGATACAACGCATTAGTCGCTGATTCTGAAGACAACGATGCCCAACTGGAGTCCCTCGCAAAGACCAAAGAAATCCAGGAGTGGAGAAGAGCTGTCATCTTCTCAGCCTGGTTCGCAGTTCCTGTGTTTTTGATAAGCATGTTCATCCCCATGTTCCTGCCATTCCTCAACTTTGGCGGTATTCGTCTGATACCTGGCCTCTATCTCGGCGACGTCATCTGCTTGGTCCTCACTATACCTGTCCAGTTCGGTATCGGAAAACGCTTCTATATATCTGCGTACAAGTCTTTGAGTCACGGTTCTCCCACGATGGACGTTCTGGTAGTACTGGGTACTTCAGCTGCCTTCTTTTTCAGCGTCTTCTCCATGTTGGTCTCACTCTTGGTCTCCCCACACACCAAGCCAACGACACTGTTCGAAACCAGCACCATGTTGTTCACTTTCATCAGCTTAGGCCGCTATCTTGAAAACAGTGCCAAGGGTCAAACGTCCAAGGCCCTTTCCAACCTCATGTCGCTAGCTCCGTCCATGACCACCATTTACGCGGATCCCATCGCTGCGGCTAAAGCTGCTGAAGGTTGGGATGTTGCTGAAGAGAAGTCGGAACGCACCTCGACTGATGGCAATGCTGCTGAAGAAAGGGTCATTCCTACCGAGCTCATCGAGGTTGGCGACGTCGTCATTCTTCGTCCGGGTGACAAGCTTCCGGCTGATGGCACAGTCACACGTGGAGAGTCGTACCTGAACGAGAGTATGGTCACTGGTGAAGCTATGCCAATCCTCAAGAAGAAGGGCGCACCGGTCATGGCTGGTACTGTCAACGGGAACGGACGTCTGGAGTTCATGGTGACCCGAGCCGGCCGTGACACTCAGCTCAGTCAAATTGTTCGCCTTGTCCAAGAAGCGCAAACGAGTCGTGCTCCCATTCAACGCCTTGCCGACATTGCCGCTGGCTACTTTGTCCCTATCATCATCACTCTCGGCCTTGCAACTTTTGTAGGATGGATGGTTCTCAGCCATGTCCTACCTTACCCACCCAAAGTATTCCTTGATCACGCTAGTGGCGGCAAGTTCATGGTCTGCTTCAAGCTTTGTATCGCTGTCATCGTCTTTGCTTGCCCATGCGCGCTCGGTCTTGCGACACCCACTGCTGTTATGGTCGGTACTGGTGTTGGGGCTGAGAATGGCATTCTCGTCAAAGGTGGTGCTGCTCTCGAGACTGCCACAAAGATCAACCATGTTGTTTTCGACAAGACTGGCACGCTCACTGTTGGCAAGATGAGTGTATCTCAGGCGGACATTCAGGGAGGCTGGGGTACTGCTGATAAGAAGAACCTCTGGTGGACACTCATTGGACTTGCGGAAATGGGCTCAGAGCATCCTATTGCCAAGGCTATCGTTCTCTCTGCCAAAGAGCATCTTCGTCTCGGACCCGATGGTAGTCTAGATGGCTCAGTCGGAGACTTTGAAGCTGTCACCGGTAAAGGTATCATCGCAACGGTCGAAGCAGCCCTCTCCCGCGAGCGCACACGCTACAAGGTCCTCATCGGTAACACGGCTTTCCTCACATCCGAAGGTGTCAACGTTCCCGACTTCGTAGAAGAGCCGCTCACACCTGCGGCAAACTCCAGACCTCGAGGTGGACCCCAGAACCGATCCGCTGGTATCACCACGATTCATACCGCCATCGGCAACACCTACACTGGTACTTTGAGCATGTCCGACACCATCAAACCCTCAGCCCGCGCTGCAATTCTTGCCCTTTCTCGTCTGGGCATAACATCTTCGATTGTTACTGGTGATACCTCTGCTTCTGCCCTTGTCGTTGCAGCAGCAGTTGGTATCGATCCCGCAGATGTCCACGCTTCGTCTACCCCGGCCGACAAGAAAGCTATCATCGAAGACCTCCAGTCTCGTGGCCAAGTCATCGGTATGGTCGGTGACGGCATCAACGACTCCCCTGCGCTCGCCTCTGCCGACATTGGTATTGCTCTCTCTACTGGTACAGACGTCGCCATGGAGGCTGCCTCTATCGTCCTCATGACCAACACCGATCTCCTCTCCATCCCGGCCTCCCTTGTCCTCAGCCGTGCCATCTTCTTCCGCATCAAGCTGAACCTGGCATGGGCGTGTATGTACAACTTCATTGGTCTTCCTTTCGCAATGGGCTTCTTCCTACCCTGGGGTCTCTCACTGCATCCCATGGCTGCTGGTGCCGCCATGGCATGCTCATCCGTCAGCGTTGTTATGAGCTCTCTGCATCTCAAGTTCTGGCACAGACCTAGCTGGATGAAGGTCAGCGTCCTTGATCCTGGTGCGCCGATCGATGAGAAGGAAGCGGAGATGGAGAAGCTGGGCCAGAAGGGAGTCTTTTCGACTCTCAAGGATTGGGTCAGTGATACATGGGCCGCGAGGAGGCGGAACAAGGAGGAGACAAGTTATATGCCTTTGAGGGATATGGAGCAGCAGTAATCTTGCGCATGCGTTTTGAGCATAGCAGATGTCGTTAGTATTGGCGAAGCGTTTAGGATACCACCTTTTCTTGGTTCTTTCCCTTGTCCGTATGTCGTTGCATTTCCGTTGTTCCTTTTTGGGAGTCCCTGTATATAGCTCTTGACTCCCGATACTGTTTTTCCAGCCTCGTATGAATCCAATCCGATCTACGCTACAACGACGCCTTCGGCACGTGAAGATCAATTTTGTTAACCCAATGTCATTACTCGTCAAAACAGCAGATATACTGAGAATCGTGATGCGATAGCCCAAGTCCTTACCTGAAGTAGCTTACCGTCGGCAGCTTGCCGTGCGCGTGACGAAGTCGCGAAAGCGCGGCGGGCCAGGGTCCACCAATTGGCGTCACAAAGATAAGGCCAAGATGAACAACACAACACCGCAACCGCTTCCCACTAGATACGCCTATTCGCCCTTGCTCGCTTCGTGGAGCTACCCGGAACACACATGCGACCGTGAATAGCACCGAATTCCACATCCTACATCCGCCCGCAGACACACAAACGAGGCCGGCCGCCGTTCACCATGGGCAGGAATCGAGCCGTGTCGAATGCTTCGACGCGGAGCAGCGAGCCACCGTTACAAGTAGGTATGGACATGATTTGAGCTTGGCAGGATTGTGCTGAGCAAGGAACAGGAGCTGGGGAGCATGTATGATTATTTGGCTAAGGTGGTACTGTTGGGACCCAGCGGCGCTGGCAAGTAAGTCGCGATAAGAGCAAGACATATAATAAACACCGAATAACAAGAACACCTATAGATCCTGCCTCCTCCATCGCTTCGTAAAATCAGAATGTACCCTCTCCTCCCCTCCCCACCGCCATCAACCCCACTAACACCCACCCACAGGGCGCGTCCTCTCCAGCCAAACAATCGGCGTAGAATTCTCCTCCAAAATCGTCCACATCGCCGACCGGCGCCAACGTTCCCCCTCGTCCTCCTCCTCGCGCAAACGCATAAAACTCCAATTATGGGACACAGCAGGCACAGAACGCTTCCGCTCAGTCTCACGGTCCTACTACCGCGGCGCGGCCGGCGCAATCCTCGTATACGACGTGAGTAGCTGGCGCAGCTTTGAGCAATTGAAGACCTTTCTCGATGATGCGAGAGCGTTGGCGGGGCCGGATATCACGATTATCTTAGCGGGGAATAAGGCGGATGTGGAGGATGGGAGTGTGCCTGTGGGGGTAGGTGGTGGTGGAGGAGGGGGAGGGGGGTATGGCAGTTATGCCAGTACACCGAGTTCAGAGTCTGGATTACCACCGCCGACGCCGAGCTCACAGTCAAGTCGGACGCCTAGCCTAAACGCCAATCTGCACGCGAGCTACACCGTCGCGCCTGACGGCCGCGAAGTCCCCGCCGAAACAGCGAGTAGGTGGGCGGGCCAGAATGGTATTCCCGTTGCGGTGGAGGTATCTGCACTCAATGGAGAGAACGTGGAGGAATTGTTTACGAGGCTGGCCCGCATGATTCTTACGAAGATCGAGTTGGGCGAAATCGATCCTGATGATCCGGCTAGTGGGATTCAGTATGGCGATTTGGGCTGGGATGATGGGGGCGGGAGTGTTAGGAGTGGGTTTGGAGATGAGGGGGTTAGGTTGAGGCGGAGAGGGGGAAAGAAGGCTGGGGCGTTGGGGGAATGGGAGGATGTGTTTAGGTTGGGTGGGGGTGGGGGGAGGAGGAGAGGGGGGTGTTGTTGATGTTGGTCTTTTCGGTTTGTATAGTTTGTATATGCGGCATACCCCGGTGTTTTCGTTGTTTGGATATATAGATAGATGGACGATGTAATGTGGATTAGAGGACCTTTGGGCACACATGAACGAGACAAGTTTCCTCAATTCTGACAGCTGCATATAACTACTAATACAACGTGTTTGGGAATTGATTCTCATCAAAATCGTTATAGAGGTACCTGGCGGCATTTGTTGCCCTCTACTTTGCATCGACATTTCACCGTCACAGGGAAACCTAGGCTTCCTCGTCTACCAGGTCTATGTCATGGATCGACGCAACTCATACGCAATATATTTCTTCATTCGATGAGTTATCAATAATCCACATCACTGATGCTGCATCGCGTCCAGTCTACCTCACGATCGCGCGCTACTCGGGAGCTACATGACGATCACATGTTACCCACAATGTCGGAGTTACATCGGGACATTTTTCTCACCACCTGCATCCGTAGTTCTTACCTCCGGGGCAATAGTCGGTCGGGCTCGATGCAAAATCAACGGAATCCCGTACCAAGCTAAACACACATAGTTCCAACCAAACCTTATAATTCTGAGCTGTAAAGTACCGCGGCGAGAAGTTTCGTGGTGTGGCCAGACGCGGCGACGTGAAGCCTAGCGCGATCTTGCCAGGCGCGGATCTCAACGTTCGGCGTGTCGTCATCATGAAAAAGGATAATGCGTGCGCACGCGATCACGCTTCAAGCCACTCCCCACGCCCATCTGAACTCGATCCAGCTCTACACCAACAGCACACATCAATCCAAAGCCCTGCACTCTGAACAATTCCCACAGTATGCCCAACATGCGCTTGCCGACGCGTTGAGGAAACTTCTGGATCCGCCGTAACGCGTCCGAAACCTCGGCATCTCCCTTACTGACACAAATTTACATTTGCCACAGTCATGGATGGCACCGGCGGGCTAAGCACTCGGGGGTCGCGTGCCCTTCCGAGGATGGATGCCCAGTTTCCGGTGCCCTGGCAGTAGCGTGGTGAGCATGGGCTTTTGTGCGTCACTGGCATGTTCTTCAGAGTTCCATGATGGATATATGCGCGGTGTGCAGCTCCGTTTCCGATCGTGATTTTCCTCCTCCACTTTCCTCCTCCGCAGCATTCCTTATGGCCTATTTGATTCTTTTATAGATTTACGATTGAAGATTGGAGATTGTGCAGCTTACGTTCTTGGCAATCAAACTGTCGCTCTCACGCGCTTTTAGATCTCTTACTCGCGCTCTTCCTTCGCGACTTCCGGTCGGAACAGCGAACCCGCTTTCGATTGCTGATATGTCGTGGCTCCATCGGTTGAATCCTACGCCGGGCTTCCCACCGCATACGGGACCGTACAAAGTCGGCTCTGTGGATGTAGAAATACCCACGAGCGACCTGGACAGCCCGAGTGCGGATGCGCCTCCTGCGGATCTGCCAACTGTCGCTTTTCGCATCTTCTACCCGTGTAAACAGGACAGCAATGAGAAGGCTGTGAGATGGATACCTAGCCCGCAGAGGGAATATATTAGTGCTTATGCGAGGTTTCTGGGGGCGAACAGCGCGTTTGCGAGTGTTTTCTCGTAAGTACCGTGAGATGGGATTCTGGCTGAGCACGATGCTGACAGTTGTCTAGATTAATGCCACAACTACTGTATTACATTTCTATGCCCGTACACCAAAATGCCGAGCTCCTCGCACCCCCACCCAAGTCCGATCGATGGCCCGTCATGATGTTTTCCCACGGTTTGGGAGGGACACGGAACGCCTATTCGCACATCTGCGGCTCACTTGCAAGTCACGGAATCGTAGTAGTGGCAGCAGACCACCGCGATGGCAGTTCGCCTCTCGCCATCCACCACACACCGGAAGAGAAGCAGAAGACGAAGCGAGTCGACTACAGATCGATCGCTCACAAGGCGAGCACAGAAGTATACGAAGCCAGGGACGAGCAATTAAAGATACGGCTATGGGAGTTAGGCATGGCCCACGACGCTCTATTGAAGATCGACGAAGGACGTAAACTCAAGAACGTAGCCCAAGACCAACCCAAGGGAAGAAACATGCTCAGCATGTTCTCCAACATCCTCAACATCCACGAACCCGGCTCCATGAGCTACGCAGGCCACTCCTTCGGCGCCTGCACAATGGTTCAATTCGTAAAATCCGTTTACCACCGCTCTTCAACCCCAGCCGCAGGCTACAACCCTCTCTACACCCCTTCCGAAGACTCCAGCCTAGTCCAACAAATAACACCACAGAACTCCGTCACCCTCCTCGATCTCTGGACGCTTCCCATCCAGAGCCCCGCTACAAACTGGCTACGCTCTAAACCCATGCCCTGCTACGATTCCCCCTCTGGCGGCAAGAATCTGCTAGCCATCGCCTCTGAAGGCTTCTACAAATGGTCCTCCAACTTCCGCGAAACGAAATCCATCTTAGCTCCTCCCTCATCCTCACAGTCGAAATACAACAACCAACCCGGCCCCCACATCTTCTACCCCATTGCCTCGGCGCATCTCTCGCAATCCGATTTTGGCGTCTTGTTCCCCTGGGTTACAACCAAAGTCTTTGGCGCGAAAGAACCTGAGCGTGTGTTGAGGCTGAATACACGCGCGGTGTTGCAGATGCTGAGAGAGAATGGAGTCAGGGTTGCGAATACGAGTGCGGAGGATTTGGAATTGGATGTGGAGGCTGGGCCGGCGAAGGGCTGGAACTTGGTCAATGACACTACTATCCTGAGTCGTACGAAGGACAGTGTGCGGGGATGGGTCAATATTTCGGTGGATGGGGAAGAGGACAGGGTAGAGGAGAAGGTGATGAGCCCGTTGGAGAAGGTTGGAAGTGCTGGGAAGGGACCGGGGGATGCTATGGTTGAGGGGGAGGCGCTTGGGCAGGTTGTTGAGGGGAAGGCATGAGTTGTTGATGGACGTGTCAATGATTGGAATTATGAATGAAGGGATGGCGTTTGGCATAGCGTTGTTTTTTTTCGTTTTGGAGTAGACATACCCGGGTATATAGAGATGAGTTTGTGAATGATGATACTGTATTCAAATGGTCTACTTCCCAACGGTATGCGTGGTTGAAGACAGAACCTGATAACTCAGCAGAGACCGCAACATAACACTACAATATATCGTAAAAGCGTTGCATGTAGTGATTTGGTTGGAAGTCGTCGCCAGTCAAGCACGCAGAGATCATTGCAACACCTTGCACCCGAGGTTCCTGTGTTTGCTATGTGGTACGCCGCATGCGACAACCTTGAGTGAGCTCGTTCTGAAAGACGAGCACGGCCGCCAGTACCGTGATTGGAAGGCAACAGAAGCTGTGTCTTAGCTATGAACTCGGCAAAATATTTAGGTAAGAAGAGTATTAAGATGTGTCGGCATAACTGCAGTTTCCAGGCTTGCGTCAAACCTCGGAATACTTTGTCCTGTACTACTTGAGCTTCTCGTCATGTAGAGGTCAATATTGTAAGGTTATCTAGACTACTGTGACTCATTCCTTATATGTGCATTGCGCTGCCTCTAGACACATAATACTGTGACTCTAACATGCACTAGTTGTATACAATAAGGACTGAAATTCTTCAAGAAATACCTGTTCAAGGTAAGCTCATCGCTTTCATCCCTCGTATATGCATGCTATAGGCATTAGCGACTCTATGCGCATTATCTTGTGACTGTTGTCCAATGTAAATTCAAAGAAATACATACACCCATGTTGAACGAGATAACGCGTGGGCCAATCAAGGCGCTGCGACAATGCGAGACTAGCGCGGCATCCGCGACATCGAGCACTTGCAGTCAACCATGAGATACTATATAAACCTCACCCATTCCTCCCATTCATCTTCAGCATCAACCCGACTCCTGATGCCAATTACATAGTTTTAATTATTACGGTTGCAGCTGTCCCACGGACATATCGCAGCTTCTAGTAGGGTCTAGTAAACGCCTCACAATCACCGGCACGCGTGCTTCCACGAGGCCGCAGCAAATTAGCACCGGAGGTCTATTACACTCCACGTTATCTACCAGTACCTTAGTATTCATATTCACTGCTCCTCTTTTGTACCCCGCACTGCTGTTGTTGCAGCCTAGAGGTAGCGTGGTACGTACATGGCAAACGCCCATCGCGCCTGATACTGTGAACAAACACACCACCACCCCACCTCGCACAATATCAACTGCAACATCATGGCAGCGACCAAAAACGAAGTCGCCAAATCCTCAGCATGGCTGCTGGAGAAAGCCCAGAATGCTGCGAATGCGTCTGGCACTGGACCAGAAGCCGTCGCGAAGATCCTACAAAAAGCGAAGGAGCAGAAGGAAGCGAACAATGAGGAGCATCAGAAGAGGATGGGCCTTCTGAGCAAGAAGATGACGGATCTGCGAGCAAAGCACGAGATGAACCCGTTCAAGAACGCAGAGCAGCCCGTTGCGGCGGACACCATTGCGGTCACGCCCAAGGCCATCAAGCCGGCACAACAGGGTAAAAAGCGTAAGCTTCCAACATCTCCCGGTACGAAGCCTGTCGATCCGCCCGCTAAGAAAGCGAAGGTCCAAGACAATCTCCAGCCTCGAGTTCAAGACAAGCCCAAGGCGAAGGAGGCCGTCTCCCAGAAGCCAAAAGAAGACATGTCTAAGAAAGGAAAAGAAGACGCTCAAGAGCCGAGCAAGTCAAGGTTTCAAGTCCAGGTTCCGAAGAAGCCGCTACAGAAAGCTGACAAGCCTAAAAAGCTAAAAGTAAATACGAAGGAGCTGGGCAAGGCGCAGGCTAAGTCTTCGACTCCGACCCCGATCCAGAAGAAGCCACAGGAGAAAGACTCTGAAAATCGATCTAATCCTTCATCTCTTCCATGCAAGATGAGGAAGCAGAGGGAGCCTTTGAAAGACGAGCAGAAGCAACCTCCTAAGGACGAGCCGAAGAGTGCGACGTTTGCAGAATCATCGACTGCAGACGCTTCACGAGAGCGGACGGCTGCTACCACTTCAAGGGCTGCAACGTCAGCAACGTCAACCAACGCATCAGACTCAGAAATTGTGCCATTTAACGACCTCTTCATCTCAGACGATCCAGACGACAAATTCCCCATCGCAAAATCGCTGCCATCCTGGTACGCATCCATCCATGTCAAAGACCCCAGAATGGAAGCCATGACCAAAAAGCGGCCCCTCGCACTCGTAACCCTCCAAGCCCTCAAAGCCGCCCTAGGCGATTGCGAAAAGCCCAACAAATCTCCTGCCGAACTCGAAATCCTCTACGACAAGATCCGCGACCTTATCCACAAAGCCGAAATCGACATCCAAGTCTCTCAAGTGCTACTCCGCAAAGCCATGACTCTAAGCCCAGACTACGGTCTCCCGCGCATCTTCAAACCAGGCACGAATTTCCCATGGGATTTGAAGGCGGATGCTTATCGACTGTATAAGCGCTGGTACAAGTGCGATCTTAATCAAGATATACTGCGGGGTATCGTACCGCATAAGGGGGATAACAGGACGAGTGACCGGCTGGATGATACGTACCGGGCTCAGTTTCCCACGACTCCGAAATATTATGGCGAGGGGGAGTTGGTGCTGGGTCAGTGGTGGCCCACGCAACTTTGTACCGTGCGCGATGGCGCTCATGGGTCCGCTCAGGGAGGTATCTACGGCGAGCGCGATAAAGGTGCTTATTCCATTGTGCTCTCAGGCGGAAACCCGTATCACGATGTCGACAACGGCGGCACTATCGAATACTCTGGCACCGAAGGACGCAATTCGATACCTACAGAGAATACCCTGCACCTACTTAAATCCGCGGAACTGGTCAACCCCATTCGCGTCATTCGATCGGCGCAGCTGAATAAAAAGAATCCTTTCCGACCGGAATTGGGACTGAGGTACGATGGCTTGTATATAGTGAGGGGGTATACACTGGTGGATAGGGAGAAGGCTATGTATAGGTTCAGGCTAGAGAGGTGTGAGGGGCAGGAGGGGATTAGGTGGCAGGGGAAGGGGAGGAGACCGACGGAGTATGAGTGTAGGGAGTTTAGGCGGTTGAAGGATAAGGGTGTTGGTGTTAGTTGGTAGGACGTCGGATGGGTGGAAGGCAGCACGGCTGGAAGGTTGTGGCTTGTTGTGCTGTGATACCTTCATGACGGGATCTGGGTTGTTATGGAGTGTGTCTCACGGTTGTTCTGTCCTTGTGGCAGATGCAAAACTCGTTTGGGTTGATGGGTGGTATGGCGGCGGCGGCGGCGGTGGTGGTGGCGGATATACCGTTGCCTTATTTCTCTTCATTTCCTATGTCTCCCACTTCAGGCATTCATCATGATACCCATTGTTCACTCTTCCAAAGAGAGGTGAGCAAAACAGACGCGTCTGTTGCACAGCGACAACACATGTAGTTTCCTTGTGGAGTATATCAAAACACGAAGTTTCCGTATCAACTCTAGTCTATGTAATCGCGCATACGTAGCAAAGCAACGCAAAAGCTTGACATATTCTAGACTACCTTAAATGGCATGACTCGTCTCTTGCCAGTATGGAGGAGCTCGTTGCCTTCGTGTTGTACATCGGCTATACTGCAGTCTGAAGGCATACAGCATGTATTTATCCTGGTAAAAGTACAGAACGTAGCACTGTAGACATCCAGAGTGCCGTATCAGCTCGCTGAGAAACGAATTAATCTTTGTATTGAAGTCGTCATCACTCGCATGAACAGAACAAGGAAGGATGTTTAGGGAAACATGCCGCGTTACATTGCATGGCCGTATCCCAATCACAGACGGCGTGTATATCTCTCCTGCAGACATACACATATCCGTATCTGCGCTACCTAACACCAGATATACCCAGTACAATACAACGATAGAAACCACATTCCACCATCTACTCATCATCACTCTCCTCGTCATCATCCTCCATCTCCAAATCCTCATCACTCAATCCATCAAGCTCAACCTCCTCTTCCTCTTCCTCATCATCATCATCAGCCGCAAACTCCTCTCCACCCCTCTTCTCATACTTCTCACCCTCCTTCCTCTTCCTATCCTCCGTCTTTCTTGCCTCCTCGAGCAATTTCGCCTTCTGCTCTCTGCTCTTGCGCTGGCCCGCCACATAGGCACCCAGCGGACTCTTATCCCACTCTACATCCTTGAGGAAGCCTTCCACACCGGCGCGGTTGTTCGGTGCGAACTCAACCTTATTCCTCTTCTCTTCGACCCAACGGGAATTGGCCTCTAGTTTCTGGACGAGCAGTGCGATGAGCGAGGACACCTTTGTGTTCTTATTTCCGCTGCTCTTCTTCGTCATGGCTTTGACCCAGCGCTTTAGCATGACAATCACCGGGAGGGCGAGTTCAGGGAACGCGATGTTTTTCGTCCAGAGGATGAAGAATTCGGAGAGGAGTTCTGCGACTTGCTCGCCGACGCCGTCTTGGTAGATGCGTGTGCGTAGGAAGGCTTTGGTCGCGCGGATGCTGATGCTGAAGTCGAGGGCTTTGAGGGTGCTGGGCTTGGGGGGCTTCTTCATCTCGGCGGAGTTGAGGACCTCGACGAGGGCGGGCGCGAGCGGGATGTAGGTGGATGTTGCTTGGGCGATGCGCAGAAGCGAGCGGATGAGTTGGAATCGTAGGGGGAAGTATTGCGATGTTGGGATTAGGCGCATGGCTCCGAGCGTGACTTGGACGACGGGGTAGATGAGGGGGCGGAGTGGTGAGGGTTTGCCGGACTCTGCTTCGCGGAGGGACTCGCAGTGCATTGAGATGACTCGCGACCAGAAGTCTAGCGAGTGGATGTACTGCCAGTTGTAGACTGTCTTGTACGAGTCTTTTGTCTTGTTGGTGATGCTTGTGCGCAGATGTATGGCGAGCTGGCGGATGAAGCCGAAGCCTGTGGTGTAGCCAACAGTGGGATCGATGCCCCAGAGCTCGGCTGCGGTGTTCTTCATCAGGTTGATACCCTGAATAGTGTGGATTGTGGTATTCCTCGCGCTCTTGACGAGACCCTGGTATACCTGCTTCAAGACAGCCTCGCGGATGCTTGGGTCCGCAATGACTACCAGTCGTCGCAGAACCAAGAAAGCTGACACTCTTGTTCCGTCATTGTTGGCACTATCGGCCCAGACTGATGCGACGGAGCGCACAACCTCACGGACGACCTTCTTAAAGGACAGAATGTATGGAAGCATGTGGGAGAGCGAATCTAGTGTCATCTGGAGCGTCTTCGCATCGGAGAGGTTCTCAAGGAGGTGATGTATGGAGACGGTATGCGACTTGAGGAGGGGCGTGAGTGTGCGGAACTTCTTCGAGTCGGTAGCAACGCGACTGAGATTGTTAGCGAGGATCCTGAAGAAGTAGGGTGATTACTCACATCCTGCCTCCAGCGCTCTCCTTGACGGGCAAGTGATGTTGGAGGACCTTTGGTACTAGGTGAAGAGTGGTTACTTGAACTTGGTGGTACACTACATGCTGTTAGTCTTGATATCGTAGTAGAAGTTGATCGGCATACCATCTGGGTCGGTTATGGAGTACTTGTATGATTTAGTAGCCTCCGAGTCGTTCATGTGTGATGCAGCGCGGAAGGCCAGAACGACTTCCTTCATGGCGCGCAGGGACTGTTTGGACTCCATAGCAGCCTTCCATTTTTGGATTGTCTTCAAGCCAAGCTCATTGCCCGAGTCTTCCTCGTCGTCAAATGCGCTTTCTTGCGCTTTCTGGGCCTTCTGCTTCTTCCTCGGTGTGGCCTCGTCTTCACTGGCGGATAGAGCATCAATCTCTGCAAGGTCGGCGTCTTCGGCAAAGTCCAGTAGCTCGGCATCGTTCTCCTTGAGGTACTTGTAGAACTCGGGGTCCTTCTCCGCCAGTCCTTCGAGCTGCGCCTTGTGTGTGTCTGCGTCGTCGCCAGAGTCGCTTTCGGAGCCGGATTCGTCGGTGCCGTCGGGCGCATCTTCCATGTCCTCATCTGAGCCTTCCGAGGCATCCTCTGCGACTGGTGTGCGTTTGCGCTTGCCGGTCTTGGGCTTGGTCTTCTTCTTGCTCATCTCGGGGATCTGGAAACCGCCTTGGAAGAACTGGTCCATGGACATTTCGCCCAGGTTGTCGTCCTTTGCGCCATTCGTTTTGGGCTTCTTGGCCGCTTCCTCCTCTAGGTCGTCGGCTTTGGCATTGTCCCTAGCCTTGCGCTCCTTCTTCTTGGTGTCCATCTGCTTCCGCTGCTTGACTTTGGCGACATCCTTGCGGCGCTTGATGACGTCGCCGAGCTTGTCCTTCTGGAACTTCTTGGTCGCCTTGGAGACGGGCATGTCGGCGGTATTTGGCGTGTCCTCGTAGGCGAGAGGGTGTTGTTGACCGGGCGTGCAGCTGGCGGTTGAAAAACTTGGGCCTCGAAAAAGTTCCAGCGCTAAGGACCCTGCAATGGATCCCTAGCGCCTTCCCCACGCGATGGATGAGCTGCGGCGCATCGATAACACCACCTGGGCACCACGCAACCAGAGCTTGCCTTTGCACGAGAAAAGCTGATTCATCACCTATAATGTCCTACGGCAGGCAGCTGGCCTACGCGCCGACACCTTACATTCCGCGCTCCAATCTCTCGGCGACCATCAACCTTGATGAGGTATGACGCGCCTCAGTCCCACTCCGCATGCGCATCCTCACTGTTTACCCAGGAAGTCAAGCTCTCTACGACCAATGCCGAGCGCGACTTGAACGACTCGCTTGCCGAAATATACAGCATCATCATCACGCTCGACGCCATAGAAAAGGCCTACCTGAAAGACTCCATTGCCGAAGCCGACTACACCGAGACATGCAACCGCTTGATGAAGCAGTACAAATCCAATCTTGCCAATGAGACTGTCGCGCGAGCATTCGGTGATCTAGACCAGTTTGCAAAGGAATGGCATGTATGTCATAGCAAGTCATGAGCTTCGCCAGTACTAGGCTAACACGACTCCAGATGGAATGCCCGCGCGCTATCGAACGACTACGCGTTGGCATACCGGCTACCATCGAACAGGGACCTTCACGACCAGCTCAGTCAGGCGACTTTGCTGACGCCACGCTTGTCGTCAACGCGACCGAGACCTTCATCACTCTGCTCGACGCCATCAAGATTGGGCTGGTGGAGAAGGACACCCTACACCCTCTCCTTGTTGAGATCATCCAGGCTGTCAACAAGGTCACAGATGTCGAATTCGAGAACAAAGGCAAGATTGTGCAGTGGCTGATTACTCTGAACCAAATGCGGGCCGCCGAGAAGCTCAGCGACGAGCAGTCACGCGAGTTCCAATTCGACATGGACCAAGCATACTATGGCTTCAAGACGACTCTGAAGAAGGCTTGAGACCGGCATATAGGCAGCGTTGGAATATCACACATGTCTGCTCGTGGTACCTGCATCCTAGCCCCGCGATGGCTAGCTCGGGCCCACGCTGGACTTGGTGAGTACTGCACCCCACCGACCAACAATTTTCCCGCGCATTCGCCATAGTCGCTTCAAAATGTCCATGTTAGATGGTATACACCTGCGCCTTGCATTTACATGTCTTGGTGCTAAATTCATCTGTAGTCCTTGACCTGCCGCAACTTTACACCAAGCCCTCCGCTGAGGCCCTCCTCGAAGCCCTCGCACTCCTCACCACCGCTCCGCCTTCGTGGGAACACAAGAGTACAAGTCACACAGATCGTGATGGGAAGGCGGTGGCAGAAGCGCACGAGCCCGCAGTTCAGGTCAATCCGGAGGGTGTTACACGGTACCTCACTACCATCATAAGCAGCGGGTTACAATGGATTGAAGACGACGAGGTCAAAGAGCGCATATGGGACCAAACCAGCGCCCGACTCAGCGAGCGATCCGGACGATCTGCCATGAGCACCATGTCGCGCAATTTCCAGATTCCCACCTCTTCCGACTCGTTCGAGCTTAAGATTCACGAGCCTGCCATGACAGGCGACGACCTGGGCCTCAAGACTTGGGCTGCTTCATATATGCTCGCTAAGCGCCTCAGAACCTTCGATCTCGTCTCTTCGGACACACAAAATCGGATACAAGTTCTTGAGCTTGGATCGGGTACAGGCCTAGTTGGACTGGCGATGGCAGGCTTGGGCGCAGACGTTGTTCTGACAGATCTGCCCAGCATTTGCCCGAACCTGGCCTACAATGCGCAACAGAATCGGGAGGCCGTCAGTCTCAATGGCGGGACAGTCCGCACAGCAATGCTTGACTGGACAAACCCCACCTCCTGTGAGCCACTGCCAGACGACAACAGTACTGGCGATGACGCGCCCATTTCTGCCAAATTTCCCTTGATTCTTGCTGCAGATTCGCTCTATTCTCCAGACCACCCGCGCATGTTGGTGGATACTATCGGCTTTTGGCTGTCCTCAGACGACAATGCTACAGTGATAATCGAGTTTCCATACCGAGACGCCTACTTGCCTGAAATCAAGGACTTTCGCCGCCGGATGCTCGAGCTTGGGCTACAGGTAATGGATGAAGGAGAAGAGAAAGGACGCGACGACTGGGGCCCGTCCGAGGCGAGCGAAGATCAAGACGATGATGCACTCGTGACTTGCTGGTGGTCATGTTGGAAAAGGCAAAATTCAAAGGCCAGCTGAGATATTCCACCAAGATTGCCGCACATTACCCTCTCAAAAGACCCGGCGAGCTTACACTAAGGCGAAACGGCAAGGTGTCCCACGAACCGGAACATGCGCAATTTGGTTTGGTCATTCGCATAGCCGCGGCGCTCCATAGCGACCTCGGAGCAACGCCGAGATACCCACTCCAGCTTTCCAAGAACAGTGATGCAAGCGCCGGATAATTATTACGGATAATTTGACAGCTTCCAGACTCCCGCCTGCAATGGAGGGGCATTTCCTAACCCAGGCGGGATAGCTTGCCGCGAGGCTACTAGGATCCACCGTTCTATCGTCATTAGCATTTCACCTGCGCGTGAGTTTTGAGGACGTGTTCTTACTTATCTCTTCCCAAATAATCGATCATATAACTATTGCGACTGAACTTGCAATTCTCACAATATATCACGATGGCGACACAAACAGCAACCCAGAAGGTATAGCTTGACTGCCCCGCCATGCCCCTTCAAACATGATGCGATACCTTTACAACACCACCATGAATAATCTTTGCGCTTCAACTATATCCACAAACAACTAACACAACCCCAGAACCCCTCCTTCATCCTTAAAGCCAAAAACGAAGTCATCTACGAAGACCGTCCCATCCCCGAACTCCCCTCCCCATACGATGTCCTTGTCCGCCCACGATGGACCGGCATCTGCGGTTCAGACGTACACTACTGGGTCGAAGGACGAATCGGACACTTCATCGTCGAGAAGCCCATGGTGCTCGGCCACGAATCCGCAGGCATCGTCCACAAAGTCGGCGACAAAGTGAAGAGCCTCAAAGTGGGCGATGAAGTCGCCATGGAACCTGGTGTGCCCTGCCGTCGCTGCGTACGCTGCAAAGATGGAAAGTACAATCTTTGTCCTGACATGGCGTTTGCGGCTACACCGCCGTATGATGGGACGCTTGCGAGGTATTACACTCTACCGGAGGATTACTGCTATAAATTGCCTGAAAATATGAGCATGGAGGAAGGTGCGCTTATTGAGCCCACTGCTGTCGCCGTACACATCACGCGGCAAGCATCCATCAAGCCCGGCGACTCTGTTGTCGTGTTTGGTGCCGGGCCTGTCGGTCTGCTGTGCTGCGCCGTCGCGAAGGCCTACGGCGCGAAAAAGATCGTCACAGTCGATATCAACGATGAGAGGCTCAACTTTGCGCTCAAGTACGCGGCAAACGCTAGCTTCAAGAGCGCAAGAGTGAGTGCGCAGGAGAACGCCGAGAACCTGATTAAAGAATGTGAGCTCGGTATGGGTGCGGATGTTATCATCGATGCGAGTGGTGCCGAGCCGTGTATTCAGACTGCTATCCATGCTTTGAGAATGGGCGGTACCTACGTCCAGGTAAGTTATCATGCCCTTCATTACCCACCATATACCCCATATCTTCACCATACTGATACTTGACAAAGGGCGGCATGGGCAAACCCGACATCAACTTCCCCATCATGGCCATGTGCACCAAGGAGCTCAACGTCAAGGGTTCTTTCCGCTACGGCTCCGGCGACTACCAGACTGCTATTGATCTCGTTGCTGGCGGCAGGATCAGTGTCAAGGAGCTCATCACAGGAAAGGTCAAGTTTGATGAGGCAGAGAAGGCGTTTGCGGATGTCAAGGGCGGGAAGGGGATTAAGATTTTGATTGAGGGGCCGGAGGGGCAGTAGACGGGATGACATTGAGTAGTGATTGTATTTGTTTTGAGATTGGGAGGATGCAGTGAGTGCTATAGGGTTTGGCTGTTCCTGGTGATGAAAACTGTGGCTTAAGGCTGCAGTTGGTGTTGGTGTTCATGTAGAGGCGGCGAGTGTGGATATCCTTACGAACACGATGTCACGACCTTGATCTCTCTTGCAAAGCAAAGAAATATGACTATTCTATTGCTGTAATTTTCCACGTTTCTACATTGATAACATCATAGTGAGCCTTTAATACGTGCTTTCTTCAATACTCTTCTCTCTCATCACGCAAACACAAATCTCGAGCCGCGACATTCACAAAAATAGATGCAGCCTGACGCATGCTACTAATAGCGCATTCACAACGCTTTAAAGTACAATCGGCGTATCTATCATATATTATCATCACAAAGTCGTCAATGCTGTAGAACGCTCATGTCACTACCAGCCTAGCAAGTACGCCACGCATGTCATTCCCTTCACTCCAGCCAAGACACCGCCTCTTAGCCAATTTCCTTGACAATCTTGACTGAGGCGCAAGCTGTAGGAAGCCCGTTAGGCCAAGGCACACACTGCATACAAACGGCTTCTCAAAACGGGAAGGGAATTGTGGGGGGTGGATGGGGCTGAAACGAGGGGGTTGCCTCAGGTTTCGTCATGTCAGAGATGTCACAGCAGTCAGAGCACATGGTAAGAAGGTGAATCCTTGGAGAATGGCAACGTTGGGGGACAGCGATAAGTGGAAGGACTGAGATGTGCAGTGAGCATATGCGTCATGATGTGTTTTTGTTTTTGATTCATTTTTGTTCGTTTGTATATTTGTTAGATAAGTAGTGCAAACAATCCAACGCCCGTACATTCGCTGCATGACGCCGTGAACAGTGGATGAGATCGTTTAGGGCGTTCTGGTTGGGATAGGATGCGCGACTGCTCGTTTGTTGGGGGTTTGGTATCGTGAGATGAATGATGCTGCTCGTCTTTGATGCTGAGTATGAACGCTTCCGCTCGTGCGCGGTTCCAGGAAATCGCTAAATCATGGTGGGTGGTCTGCCAGAGATATGGGAGTGGTACGTCGTCTACGTGGACATTTGTACATGGAAAGGCGGAGGTGGGGTATAGGTTTGTTGAGAAGCGAAGTTGAGGTGCATTGTTGTTGCTGTCTACGGAAGGGCCAGACTATGCGGTCATCTTACGGGCTGTAGAACCACGCTTGGGGAGAGTCCATGGCTCAGGGCAGACGACCTGATGTTCAGTTAGTACAGAAGCGAACTCTGATGCGACCAGAATGGTACATACCTCGCCTTCGCTAAACGCCCAAAAGTACGCTCCCATGCCGATGATGTAGTAGAGTCCCGAGTTGGTGCCTTGGTAGATCAACAGCGCACACAGCGCACTGAGCGGGTAGATGATCAAGCGCGCTTCAATCGAGCGGTGCAGTCCGGTACCAGCGAGCAGCGGCAACGGCCATTCCCATGCCAGACCGATGAAGCCGAGGACCATGTTGATGACCTGCAATACGGGGATGGGCTTTACGGCGCCATCAAGGTTCTTGGTAGCGAAGTCCCAGAAGATCTTGGGCCAGAAGAAGCATTCGAGTGCAGCTCCTATTTGGTCTGGAGTTGTAATTAGTATGGTGTTGTTGATGGTGTCGATCGCTGTGGGGTAAGACTTACACGCAGCAGCCGTGAGGATGACGAGGCGCGCCCAGTGGTTCTTGATTAACTTGCCCATTGTCGAAATACGGGTATTATAAAGAAAGGATACGAGCAATAAACCGAGCCCGCGGTCGTATAGGTGAGAAAGTAAAGGTAAAATAGAAAAAAGATGAAGAAAAGAAAGTGGAAATGTCCCTTCGACTACCAGTAGTCCCTCAGCGACAGATGAGCATCGATGGGCTTGGGTGTGGCAGGGCGAGGTTTTGTGTTATAGACACTGGCTTGGTCGCGGATGGGCGGTTCGCAGTCGTGGCGAATGCGGTAAGGCTTCTGGGGAGATCAGGCACGGAGCAGCGTGAGTGGAGTGTATAGTGGGTAGGTGTTATGGTGGGCTGAGGCGTAGGCGAGTATCAGGCGTGTTAGGTGTTCAGGCAGCGTGGTGTTGCCGTTGAGCTTCGCGACGTGAGGTGTGTCAGTATATCGGGGAGCGACAGCGGGTGTCGACCGCAATTGTAGAGACAGTTTATGCGCCAGGGCCTTGCATCGCGCACCCTGGTCGCACTCGTCTTCTGGCTCGGCGCGCGCTGGGGGGAGAGATGGTCGCTCGTAGCCGCTTGACCCGCTTCGTGGACGATTGGGCGTGTGTGCGGCGCGATTGGCTGGGCTGCTGTGATGCTGCATGCGACGCCAGCCTCTCTGCAGCCACGGTGCCAGTATCCTGGATCGCGCCGCCATTTTAGTCTATCCTATCAATCCTATGAACGGCTGATGCTCGCTAGCTTGGCAAAGGTAGTGTAGCGTGGGCGGAGCTAGGCGTGAATCTTCGCGTTCACGTGGTTTGTAGCAATTGTCTAAGACTTTGTGCCTGTCTCTCGGCGGAGGCATTATTCAGGTCATTGTTCAATTCTATACCGCTATTTCGTTGATCGTGGCGGACGAAGAGTTTGCAAAACGCCTTTACGCAAGCCGATTCGCGTTACCGCTCGCTCTGACGTACACGATAGCAATGAAACCAGCGCAGTGCGAACAATCGGCCACTCTGATCGAATAGGTAATTCTCCGCAGATATCGCCATCGCACGTGCGGCACGGCAGCACTCAGATAATCCGTCCCGACGGATGCCTGAGTCCCGGTTTCTGTTCTGTGCCTCAGGTTCTCCAACCGCAAACCCGGCGCATGATGATCAGTCATCTGCATGGAAGATCATATCGAAGCTCGCTCCTGGTTCCTCAGGCTCGCTCATCAAACAACATCATACGACGAAGTTTACTTCAGATGCCCCTCGTGGCTGTCAATGCCGTCACGGTGGGGTCTGGCAAGCATGGCAGACGTTGACGCAAAACAAAGTGGTACGATACTCGTTCGGTATCAGTTCGCACCCTTGGTGAAGCTTTTGGCAGGGCTCCTGTCGGAGAATTGAACGTGGTTCACAAGCTGTCGATCAGAGCGTATGTGTGGTTGTGGGCAGAACAATGGCCTGATGTTGTTTTCTGCGGGTGTGCTTTGGTCAACGGCAAGCAAAAGGAAGGCGCGACCATGGGATCTGTTTACGCTGCTTCCCAATAGGGAAATCTATGATAGTGTAATCCAGATGTCGGAGTTGAAGATAGCTCAGAATCTAGCCCTCCACCATCACTCAGCATCTATCACATCGCCGAGAACCACTTCTCTCGGCTTTCTTCGCACTGCACACCGCTTCTCATATCACAGTCTAAGGCGGGACTAACAAGACTCTCTTCATATCGTCGGCCATCCACGAGGCCGGCAATTCGCATGCTGCCGTCCGTCGAGCCGTGTGCGATGGAGACGGTCCCAAAATAGAGGCGAGATCTTGTACACATGCAGCCAGCACAGCGCAGTAGCGGGCTCAAACTTTGTGGGGGTCCCTCGAGCGCTTCGAGACAGGCCTTGATTGGCCGTGTGCGCCACGCCAATGCTCGCCCGTTAGATTTGGTGCTACCAACCACGAGCACAGAGAGCCTTCAACAGCGATGAATTCAAGCCTCGGCGGTTCTAACGCAAAAGCCACAACAGGCTCCTACCATGTGTCTTTTGGCGACTTCGATGCAGTGTGTTCTGCGCAAGGGGCGGTAGTTTAGAACCAGATCCGCCACCCAAACGAGAAGTCGCTTCCCTCCGCGACTGCAGTCATCAATCACCAGCCTCTGCATCTACCCTCACTCACCTAACGACATAACGTAGCGAATACCATTTTCAGCGATTCATTCAGATATCCATCCTGATTTTCCTATCCCTTTACGACCCGCCTTCCAACGTGCATCGTTTCAGCACGCCTCGCCTATCCGTCGTGAACCCCATCAAAAGAATCGGAGCGCATCTGCCAACGGTCAATCGCACCCCTCAGGAAATTCTTTCCGAAACCCTACCACGCGGCTCAGGCCCATCTGTCAGATCGCACTCACGTCTGAAGTTTGACAGTTGTAGATCGTGAGATTCGCAAGCTTCGCAGCCTCACAAACACCAACCCCAACAAACCCACTAGCGAAACGGCAATCGCCTCGCCACTCACCCGCATACGCTGCACTCCTACTGCGCATTATCCAAGAGCAACTGAAGATCTTGAGCTCCGAACATACGACCGCATTTGCAAGGAAAACATGGTTCTGTGCCTGGCGCTTCAAGTCTGAGACGCTCTTCACACACTAGCCGCTCGCGCATAGCAGCAAACCCCTCCCCCAACTTCGATACCTCAAAATCCGACCTTGCGCCCATTCAGGTTTGGCGCCACCGGATTTCCTCTGCATCACGTCCCTCCCTAGTCATAATCTCTGTCATCCGTCTTAACGGCTCCTGGTATACGGCACCTTCGTGGGGCATCGGTTTGAGCCACATCCGTACCGAACAGGCCCTGTCGGTTTCAGCACAGCGTGCCGCTCTACCCAGGTTTTACGGCTTTGCCTATCTGCACCTGATCTGCGCACGTTGACTCGGCTTGTTCCCAAGGCTTGACATTCTAATACCCTTGGTTCCCGGCAGCCTTGGATCCTCCTCCCCATCCGCGCGCTCTCTCTCTCTCTACATCACTCCGCTCGTCCCGGGACACCCACATTCTTTTCTTCACTTCGTATCTGGCTGGCCGGGTCGAACTTCGACTGGATCGTTTATTTCCTGGTTGGGTTCGCTTATACCACGCGTATACTCTTTAATCTTTTCTATAATCACCGTTGAACGGCACGCCTGAGGTGGACTTGTTGACGACACAACCGGTTACCGCGGAAGAATACTCATCATGGGCGGCGGCGGCACATCGTTTTCCAGGCTCTTTACGCCACAAAAACTCTTCTTTCACCTCTTCTTCTGGGGATTCCATTGGGCCCTTTTCGGTATAGGATGGTAAGGAGCCCTTACTCATATCGTTGATCGACCACTAACTTTAGCCAGGTGGAAACAAGCTGGTGACGCACGTTTAGCACCGCTTAACGCCCTCCAGTACTCAGTATGGGTATCTCGAGGTGCAGGTCTTGTCCTGTCAGTGGACACCATGGTCATCGTCATGCCAATGTGCAGAAACATCCTCCGATGGCTCCGTCCCAAGGTGCGCGTACTGCCACTTGATGAGTCTCAATGGTTCCATCGACAAGTCGCCTACGCCATGCTATTCTTCACTATCCTCCACGTAGCGGCGCATTACGTCAAGTGAGTTGATATACATCTTACCAAGCTTGACTTTGCTAACAAAGATAGCTTCTTCAACGTCGAACGTGTGCAGGTCCGACCCCAAATCGCGTTGCAAATCCATTACGCCGAGGCTGGTGGAATCACAGGACATATCATGTTGCTGTGCATGCTTCTAATCTACACCACGGCGCACCACAGGATTCGCCAACAATCATTCGAGACGTTCTGGTACACGCATCACCTGTTCATCCCGTTCCTGCTCGGCATGTACACGCACGCAACCAGCTGCTTCGTCCGTGATACTGCTCCAGCTTTCTCTCCCTTCGATCACGACAACTTCTGGACCCACTGCATTGGTTACGAGGGATGGCGATGGGAGCTTGTAGGCGGTGGTCTTTACCTCTTCGATCGTCTCTACCGTGAGATCCGTTGCAGACGCCAGACACAAATCGTCAAGGTTGTTCGCCACCCATACGGTAAGCATAACATGAACGTCTCTTTTAAAGCAATGCGCTAATACCAAGTAGATGCCGTTGAGATTCAATTCACCAAGCCCAGCATGAAGTACAAGCCTGGACAGTGGCTTTTCTTGAACTGCCCCGATGTCAGCTACCACCAGTGGCATCCATTTACCATCACTTCCTGCCCCAACGACCCCTACATCTCGGTTCACGTGCGTCAAGTTGGTGACTTCACTCGCGCACTCGCCGATGCTCTCGGTGCCGGTCAATCGCAATCCAAGCTCTACGACGAGCTCGACCCCATGGGCATGTACGAGATAGCACTTCAGCACGGCCAAAAGATGCCCGCTCTCCGCATCGATGGACCCTACGGAGCCCCCGCAGAGGATGTTTTCGAGAACGAAGTCGCGGTCCTCATCGGAACCGGTATTGGTGTCACACCCTGGGCCTCAATTCTCAAGTCCATCTACCACCTCCGTCTCAGCCCCAACCCCCCCAAGCGTCTCCGCCGTGTCGAATTCATCTGGGTCTGCAAAGACACCTCATCCTTCGAATGGTTCCAGACCCTGCTCTCATCACTCGAAGCGCAGTCCCTCGGCGGCGCGGACGGCGACCAATTCCTGCGCATCCACACCTACCTTACCCAGAAAATGGATGTCAACACCGCGCAAAATATTGTCCTCAACTCCGTGGGCACCGACAAGGATCCTCTCACCGAACTCAAGTCCCGCACCAACTTCGGTCGTCCCGACTTCCAGCGTCTGTTCTGCGGCATGCGCGATGGTATCTTGGACCGCACCTACATGAACGGTCTGGAAAGCACGCTACGCACAGAGGTTGGTGTCTACTTCTGCGGCCCTAACGTTGCGGCGCGCGACATCAAGAAGGCGTGTAAGCAGGCGGCGTGCCAGGAGGTCAACTTCAAGTTCTGGAAGGAGCATTTCTAGACGACGCTGTTCAAGAATGTGTATTTGGTATGCGAGGTTGAATGCAAAGGCGTATATTAGGTTGATGTGTATTTGTTACGATTAGCCTTCAGAGTAGTAACCCAAGGGTACACTCCATTTTCATGTGTCTTACTACAAATGCGGAATTATGCAAAGAAAGAAACTAGACTTTTTGAAAACCTTTTGTCGTACCTCCATTCCATTTTACGCACGTGTTCGACATCTGATGTGTTGTTGAGACTTCCTCATACCTACCTAGGTAGACTCGATCACACGAACCAATACACCAAGCAAGACAAGCATTCACCAAGCACACCCTACACAAACCCACAACCCACCATCGAACCACCCTCACTCCACTCAAGTACCTACTCAATCTCACCTCTAACGATCATGCACCTGTCTTCTCGCCTCATCTCTCTCCCTGCGACCGAGCTTCGGTACATAAGCCTTCCGAACCATGCGCATGGTGAAACAGGACCCTTTGCCACGCATCATTATACTACTATAGTCGTCTACTTCTCCACTATGGATATCTCGGCAGCCATGGCAAAGGATTGAAGCTGTGATGTTAGAAGAGGAGGGTGGTGCGATGATGGGTCGATGGATAGATCATGGGGAATGGGTGAGAAAGCGTAGGTGTGTAGGTGTAAGGCCACCTGCCTCAAGCCGCATTTTCGTACGCGCGCGACAAGTCTTCTTTCGATATCGATTGACCACCACTGCTTTTCTCTCTTCATGCACAGATTATCGATGTGCGTTTGACTGGATATACACAGCATCTGCCAGCGCGATGCACGTCGTCAAGCCGCCAGCCGCCACATATTGCGGCGCAGTCGTGCAGCAGCAAGACGGACCGTGGACCGCGGGGATGGAAATAGACGGCATGTCTGATGTGCATGTGGCGTGGGCGGCTCTATAGGCTGATATGGTTCTGTGGATTGCGCTGATCGAATGTCGATGTACGTCTTCCGGGTGGTGTTCGCAGCTTCGCGCAAACGATGCTCATGTGTGACGTGGTGCGTATATGCGCCCGAGTCGCTCTACACGTATGTTCCTCCACGAGCGACGACATTGTACCAAGCAAGGCAAACAAAAACAGCCTGACAGCTGCTGACTGTCTGCGCCAACGTGACATATGGATCCTTCTCTCGTACACCGTACCTGCGTGACAACCCAACCGACGCATCTAGGCCTGCATGCAATCGGTGAAGCCGCCGAGCCAACACGCCAACAAAGACTCCAACCCACGTCCAAAATCGGTCACGAGCCGAGGCTACACAACGCTATTCAAGGTTTTCCCATGTTTTCTCCACTCAACACCAGGTCTCCAACTATCGTGAAATCTGTCTTCGTCTCTAGTCTCGGAAGCTCGGTGTAGGTTACACTACCCGAAGCAGTATAGCTTTCGCCTTATCCCACCTAGCCCCCTCCGTAGCTCCACGGCGGAACGTAGAAGGGGTCCAACAGCATCGCGGAACTGCTCGTTTGGGAAGCCGATACTTGCGCGTACCTGCCCCTTCTTGCGGACTTGTCTGCCCTCCCATTCGTGGAAAGACTGGTGATGCGCGACTATGTGGGGTCTCCTCCAACTACTATGGCGGGGCGGCGTGACGTTCTCATGAATGGAAGTATTATTCACGGGTTTGCGTGGTGCCCCGCACCAATTGCGAAGGAGCGGAAGGGTAAAGTCTGGGTTATAGTAATGTATTAGGTACATGCTGGCAACCTTGGAAGCGGTAAAGGTGTACGCTTGCAGACAGGCAGAAAAGAAGGGCCGCGGGAGTAGTAAAGGTGGCAGGTGATCTTTATTGACGCGGTTGTCCCCCAGTTTTTGTTTACCTACACTTTCTATCGGACCTTTCTTGCATCCCCATCCTTGCTTTGCCTACCTTTAAACGTTCCTTTTTCGTGCGTTCGTCCCATGGCTTCTCTTCCCCTCTTCACTAGCTGGGCGTCGGAGATTAAGCAACAACTCAATATCAAAGAAGAAACTCCCAAGATGAACGGCACACACACTGAGGCTGCTGCTGCGCCGGCGACGAACGGTGTCAGCAAGTCTAACGGCAACGGCACGGATGTTCAGTTCTCGTCAAAGGCTAATATCGGTGTTTACACCAACCCCGCGCATGATCTCTGGGTCGCGGAGGCGGAACCCAGTCTGGAGGTTGTGCAAAGAGGAGGAGATTTGAAGCCGGGAGAGGTTCTTATCAATGTCAAGAGCACGGGAATTTGCGGGAGTGATATTCACTTCTGGCATGCTGTACGTTTTTGCTCCTCCAAAACCCCGACAGAAACCGCCCATCCATAGAGAGGAGAACAGTATGCTAACAATACCGTTTCTAGGGCTGCATCGGACCCATGATAGTAGAAGACACGCACGTCCTCGGCCACGAATCCGCGGGCACAGTAATGGCATGCCACGAGTCCGTCACGCACCTCAAGCCCGGCGACCGCGTAGCCATCGAACCCAACATCATCTGCGGCGAATGCGAGCCCTGCCTCACAGGCCGCTACAATGGATGCGAGCGCGTCCTCTTTCTGTCCACACCACCCGTCACCGGCCTCCTGCGCCGCTACCTCAAGCACCCAGCTATGTGGTGCCACAAGTTGCCCGACAGCATGACTTTCGAAGACGGCGCTATGTTGGAGCCTCTCTCCGTTGCTCTTGCTGGCATGGACCGCGCAAATATCCGCCTGGGTGACCCCACCATCGTCTGCGGCGCTGGCCCCATCGGCCTCGTCACACTTCTCTGCTGTCAAGCCGCCGGCGCGACTCCCCTCGTAATCACCGACATCGACCAAGGCCGTCTCGACTTTGCCAAAACCCTCGTTCCAGGCGTCCTCACCCATAAAGTCGAATTTAGCCACTCCGCCACTGATTTCCAATCCGCCATCCTCAAACTCACTGACGGTGTCGAGCCCTCGCACGCCATGGAATGCACCGGCGTCGAGTCCTCCATCTGTGCCGCCATCCAAACCGTAAAGTTCGGCGGCAAAGTCTTTGTCATCGGTGTTGGAAAGAACGAGATGAAGATTCCATTTATGCGACTGAGTACCCGGGAGGTGGATCTGCAGTTCCAGTACCGCTACTGCAACACTTGGCCCAAGGCTATCCGGTTATACAAGTCTGGTGTGATTGATTTGAGCAAGTTGGTTACGCATAGGTATAAGTTGGAGGATGCGGTTGAGGCGTTTAAGACGGCTGCGGATCCCAAGACGGGGTGTATTAAGGTGCAGATTCAGAGTTTAGATTAGGCGTGCGCAGGGGATTTGAGTGGTGGGAGGTTCCTTTATGATGTATGTGACGGTGACGATGACGAAGGGGTGGTTGGTGTGAGGGTGCATTCAGCATTTACATCTTGGCGTTTTTCAGGGAGAGTTCGTCTGTTTGACGGTATCTAGCAGAAATGAGATTTTGACTCTATGCATCTCCTGTGCCTATGTGTTGCTCAGCTCAGCTCCTATGCGGTCTGATTGTACGTCCACATACTGCTTTCACCATACGAATCACTCCATCCATGAATACTCGCAACGATCCCTCCCTCGGGCCCCTCTTCATCCGACAGCAGTTGCTTATCCAGCTCGATCACTTCAGCATGATATGGACCGATAGATGTGTCTGCAGATCATTCTACATTCGTTACGAGAGACGGTTATGTCGGGAACTATACGGATGTGTTGGGAACCGCAGCGTTACATTGGTCATTCGGCACCGAAGCAACGGAGGAGCATAGAGCCGTAGGCATGAATCTGTAGACAGAGAAGTCAGCCTTGTGATAATCCAGAAAGAGCGATAGAATGTGAGGAAGTGCTTACATGCTGCTACGATAAAAGACTATATTTCTCCGCTCAGGAGACTATATTTGGCGCGTATGTCTTGTCTCAATATCCATAGAGTTGCTTGCGCTCTACGTTGCCATTGCGCCGTGGTTATGACTGCATCAAGGGAACGAACTCGCAGAAGCGACAGTTCGACGTGTGTTCTGACGAGGCTGGCGCGTCATCGTGGGCAGATTGGTGCGTTGAGTTGAGGGATGGGGGATGATGACGACGGGACACCTCGACGCGTTTACCGTATGCACAGACCAGTATCGTCCAACCCACGCGTTCCTCCTACACTCCAATCGCTTCTTGCATCTCCTTCTCGCATTGGCATTGATAATATGTATAGAGATTCTGCACATGCATCGCTTTCGACTCAGTGTACAATCTGCAAGCCCCTGCAAGGCCCTGCAAGTCAGACACAAGCTTTATCATATTAGCAGTAGCCAATGAACCACCACAAGCTATTTATCCTACTCGTTCTAGCTTCTCCTGCGTAGGAAGGCCCTGCAGGTCGCGCACAGGTCTCTCGTGGCTCTGCATGTGCTTACTGTCAGCACTTTATGGTCGAAATGCTACATGATAAGTTTGTTTCGCCTGTGGCTCTTTTTCGAAATGCGTATTCTTCACTCTCTTCTCAGCTCTGAACATGCTACTTCAAAGCCTTTTCTTGCTATGCTGCGCTACAACTGCACAGGCTCATGCACGTCTCGGGCGTACTGCCCAGGTGATTGACGCAAGGCAAATCAGCAATCGGACGACGTACGACTTCGTAATTGCAGGAGGTGGTATCGCAGGACTTACGGTAGCAGATCGTTTGACGGAGAACCCAAATAGTACATCACTCGCATACTCGAAAAGCTGCAAGCTAATGACGAGGAATAGTAACAGTACTAGTCATCGAATACGGCCCATTCGACCAGAGAGAAGATGGTGTCATGATTCCTGGCGCGTATTTCCCGGTACCTTATCTCTGGCTACCATTGATGAGTACACCGCAAGCAGCGCTTGGTGGTACATCGTATGGTGTGCCATGTGGTAGGGTGGTGGGCGGCGGGTCTGTTGTGAACGCCATGTTCTTCCATCGATCAGATGCAGAGCTCTACAACGCTTGGGAAGAACTGGGCGCGACTGGCTGGGGTTGGGCTGATCTGTTTCCGTACTTTAAGAAGGTATGGTTTACTCTTGCCTTGTGAGCCGTATGTTGATGAAGAGAAGAGTGAGACGTTTACAGCACCGGACGCGGATTATGCAGCGAGCCACAATATTACTTGGGATGTTTCCGTACATGGCTTTGAGGGCCCAGTACAAGCCAGACATGCTCCATATGATTACCCAGGTAGTGGTAAGTCCTCTTCAGTTCAGTTGCCGTATTCAGAAGCTTACCATCAGCATAGCCGATATGTACAACGGAGCCCTGAAGCTAGGTATCCAGCCAGCCCTGGACCCCAACAATGGCCACGCTCAAGGCATATTCCGTCTCCTTCGCTCCGTTGATCCTAAAACCCAGACGCGTTCTTCAGCTCGAGTCAATCGATATGATAGGGATGCTGCGAGACCAAATTACCACATCCTCGCGAGTACAGCAGTATCGCGCGTTCTCTTCGAGGATAGCACCGCTGTAGGCGTGGAGTATACTGGCACGTCGGGTGGCGAGAAACACATTGTCCACGCGAGCAAAGAAGTCATCATAGCAGCTGGAAGCGTACACACGCCGCAGATCCTACAACTTTCTGGGATTGGCGACACTGCTCATTTGGAGGGTTTGGGTATTGAGACTGTTTCAGGTCTCCCAGGTGTCGGTCGAAATCTGCAGGATCATCTGGTTCTGAAAGTGAATTACAACTGTACGCGACTGAGCTCCATGCTTGCCATTTATGGGTTGGCTGATTGATACAGATACATCGAACCACTTTCCGAATGGCGGTTCCTTGCAGTCTAACACCACATATGCCACAGAACAACGCGCTCTCTTCAAAGCTGGAAAAGCAAGCGCATTCGACCTCACTAGTACAACTGGCAATCTCATGATTCAGCTGCCGCTTTCCAATTGGACGAACGACTCCGCATCTATCATGGCCCGAGCATCCTCACTCTCACCAACCGATGTACTTGGTAGCGATATCGACCCATCAATCCTCGCTGGCTACGAAAGGCAGCGTGCCATCATCATCAAGGACATCAATATAGAGGCTGTGGGTGGTCTATCATGGAACACCGGCCCTGAAACAAGTATCTACATGACACGCCCTCTCAGCCGTGGCTCCATCACCATAAATTCAACTAGCATTTTCGACGCTCCACTTATCGATTACGGTGCGTTGACAGACCCAACCGACCTTGATATCCTCTACGCAATCTACATGAAGAACCGCGAATTGATGGCTACACCCGATATTTCTATCCTTGGTCCTATCGAGACAGGGCCCGCACCGGGTATCAGCAATGAGCAAGATATCAAGGAGAAGATCAAAGCAATTTTGCAGCCAAGTAACGCGCACCAATGTTGTACTGCTGCTATGATGCCAAGAGAAGATGGCGGAGTTGTTGACCCGCAGAATAGAGTCTATGGCACTTTTAAATTGAGCGTGGTGGATGCGAGTACGTGGCCGCTTGTTGCTGGTGGTGGACCACAGGCTAGCGTTTATGCTGGAGCTGAGAAGGTGAGTCTATGATCGAGAAAAGCATGTAGTTATGTATGCTGATGATATCCAGGCTGCAGAGATGATCAAGAAGCGTCATGGATTGCTTTGAGATCCATCTCTTGATGTCCTTGGCGTTCGTAAGCCGCGGAGTGGACATTGGGGAAGCTGTCGGGGTTTGCGGAGTTATCGCTGTTGGCTACCTGTCGGGCGTTGATCTTATCTCACGTGTAGTTCACATTCAATGCACAGTATTCTTACGCAGCAACGAGGTGCCTATGCGTGGTTACTGAGTGGGTTATCGTAGGTAGGACTATATATACTTGAACTCAGAGGAGGAACTCTTTCGCTCTACAACTGACCGAGTCGCATTCAAGATGGACACTTCAAAGCTTTTCAGTGTCGAAGGCATGATCGCAGTAGTAACAGGAGGAGGCACAGGTACCTTATCTCCCCAATTATGCCATCCCGTCTCGATACCAACACCACTCCTGACACTGTTTCCCAGGAATCGGCCTCATGATAGCTCACTCCCTCGCCTCCGCCGGCGCAACAAAAGTCTACATACTCGGCCGCCGCAAAGACAAACTCTCCGCCGCAGCCTCTCAACATGAGAACATCATCCCATTCCAATGCGACATCACATCCAAAGCATCCCTCCAAGCCGCCGTGGACTTCATCACCCACGACACCGGCTACGTCAACCTCCTCGTAGCAAACTCCGGCATCTACGGCCCACCATCAAGTTTCGTGCCCGGTTCAAGCGTCCAGGAGCTGCGAAAATTCATGTTCGAAAACACGTCCATGGAAGACTTCACGCAGACCTTCCACGTCAACACCACCGCCACGTACTTTACCATGCTGGCTTTCATCGAACTACTAGATGCAGGAAATAAGAACGCCGTAGCTGGTGGCTTCGGCAAGCCGTTGAAAGAAGGTAGCAAAGTACCGAGCATCCAGTCGCAAGTCATCGTTACATCCAGCGTAGGTGCGTTCCTGCGTGAATGGCAGTGTGCGCCGGCGTATGCGGGGAGTAAAGGAGCGGTTATGCATTTGGTTAAGCATGCTAGTACGGGGCTTGCGCCGCATGGGATAAGGGTTAATGCTCTGGCGCCTGGATGTGTGTTTATCTCTGGCCCAAAACCTCTCGTCGCGTGGCTAATAGTGCGGCAGTCTTCCCATCTGAGATGGCCAATGCAGTTATCGAAGGCAGAGACCCTAGTATGGAGAGCGTCGATGATCCAAACTTCATCCCTGCACGAAGGTTTGGCGGAGAGGAGGAGATGGGCGGGACAGTTTTGTATCTTGCGAGTCGGGCGGGGAGTTTTTGTAATGGGTTGGTTCTTGTAAATGATGGAGGGAGGTTGGGTGTTACGACTAGCACTTATTGAAGATGGTAGGGTAAGGGTCATGTATGGGTTGCACTAGCAGACAATTAGGGTCACAAATACTAGCCTGCGATGAAGAGGTGGTCAGAGATCTTCTGCTCCATCGGTATGAAGACAAACCGTATCTTCTTCTGTTCTCACCAGCTCTGAACGTGGATGTCACAAGTAGTCGCGATGCCGTTGCATGCCTAAGTGCGTACTGTGACAACGACATCACAGCCGCCGAACATCCACCGCCTGATGCAAATCGTTTGCAATACCTCGCTGACCATGCCGACCAGCACAACCTCTTTTCCTTGTTTAACGATGTATCATGCCCGACCGGCAAGCAGCAGCTGTGAGACGAAGGAAGACAAGGCTGAGCGAGAGCCTTCACCCAACACACTAGCGTCCCTCAGCGGCAAGCGCTCTAATAGGTGGACCACGGCCCACCATCTACTGCCCATCCCCATCCCCAACCTCCAAACCAGCCTTTCACAGAATCCTTCGATACCACAAGCTACCGTTTTAGCTCCCAACCCATCACCTCTGTGTCCCCCACCCCACCCGGCACCACTCTCCCATCCACCACCACCCTCATACAGGACACATGCAACGCTCTTGGGATAATCCCAGCAGACGCACGGTACAGATGTGGAGCCTCATAGTACGCATCAGTCCTGCATGTCTGTAGTGCGACACCTGCTGACCGGCTTTGTGCGTGTGTGACTGCTGTCCTGTGTAACGCGAGTGGGATGGATATGCCTGCACCTGCCCTGCGGCAGGGTCCAGATGCAGCCGAAGCCCGTGTTCTGAAACGCGTTTGTTTACTGCGTTTGGTTGCGTATGATGGGGGCGGTGTGTAGCCTGCGATGTATGTGGGGAGACGGAGGTGGATGCGGTATGTGGAAGAGAGATTGGTGGTTTGGGGATTTCGTTACGAGGTGGTGTGGGTCCTCTTTCGGAATTTTGCAGCAAGCTTTTGGGGAGAAGTGACACACGATCAGGCGTGAGCTGAGGTAGCTGCAAGTCAGGCATGGGTATACTGTTGAATTGTGGTTGCGCAGCTCAAGGTAAACTCTTTTGGAGAAGCGAGAACGTGCATGTCTTTTTTGGGACGACGTGAGAGTAGTGAAGAAAGCGCGACAGGTGGTGATAGTACCTTGCTTCACTCTGCAGGTGGAACCGTGGGTTGAACTTCGTTACGATTATCATTATTCGCTCATGACACTTTTTATGCTAATCAGTACAAAGTATCCAGTACATGACCTCCTATGTTTCCGTGGTATCGCATGCGCAACAACCTTATACACACTAAGCTTGCGACATGTGCTTTTCCCAATTTGAGCGAGTGTGAACGTGATAAGAATGCGGGGTGTGTTTAGGGAGCGGCCCTGGCGTTTTGTCTTGATGAGAAGACATGGTAGTGATACTGATGTACAAGTATAGACAGACATTAACCGCCCAAGCAGAAAACAATCGTAACGTTTCGTAGCGTAGTAATGATGCTGAAGGCAATACAGTGTAAAACATCGAGACGAATACATAGCGTTACAACACAGTGTTGAATAAGTAGAAAAGAAAGATGATCTGATGAATGCCACTCGGAAATGGCTCACCGGTTGCTGAGGCCAGTGCGAAAGCGTAACGTGAACCGGGCCGAGAGCCATGCTCGTGATGATGGCGGGGTGCTTGAAGAGTCGATTGCCGGGACTAAGATGCAGAAAGGGAACAGCGTACTGACTGAAGCTCCCTGTCCAGGGATGCAGCGATGTGAGATGTTGTACATTGGTATAAATTCAGGCCATTAAGTACGCCACGGTGGTGAAGAAAGGAGCAGACTACGCAATAGTGACGAGACGAGAAGAGTGGCGCAGGCAAGCCGATTCGCTGTGATGCTGAAAGGGGTAGCTCAGTAAGTGCTGTTGAGGTTTCCCATAGAAGTGCGGTGGAGCTGCACAGGCTGCATATTCCGATCCTGGCACGTCTCGCGATGCAAACTGCGATTTCCTAGGGAGCTCCGTGTTTGGCTGTGGCTGAGAGGTGTGTAGCGATGACCACTGACGAGTGTGCAATCGCTCGATGACTCGCCACTTATCGAGTTCCGCTTTGACGACGAGACAGGGCTGTAGCTGTATAGATTTGTCTGTGAGGCTGGGCGTGTCATTGGGCGTGTCTCACGGACATAGGAGTAGTTTGTCGCTGGGGCCGGCGCACTCATCCCTTCGAGAAAACCAGATGTACTGAAGTTTAGCTCTAGCTGAGATGCAGTGGTGGTTGCAGTCGCATCGTCCGCGGTCGACGATGTATTTGGCATGTAGCTCATCCTGCTCTCCGCGTTGTCTGGCATGACCGGGGATATCAGCTGCGTAAAGGCATCTGCAGATGTCGCCCCGGATGCGTTGGCGTGACTCTCGCTGTCAGTGGTCCACGGTAGTAACGATTTCGCAAACGAGCCTCTACCGTCCATACCCGAAGTACCAATAGCCTGAGCCGAGCGGAGACGAGCATCTTGCATCTGGTCTACAACATGACTGCTCTGAGCTGGGCTCGGTTGTGGCATTGGCAGTTGTCTCCTAGGCACACTGGGGTCCAGAGGGAGAGGTTGTCGTGGATGGGGCCTCTCAGGGATAGCCAATTGCAGAGAAGACATGCCGGTATTGAGAGGGGATACGTCTGAAGGTGTGGCTAGTCGAGCGTTTGTATGAGCGAATTGCAAGTCCTGGTCAAAGTATGTGCTTCCCTGCTGCAAAGACTTCGAAGTCGGCTGAGCCCAGCGATAAGCAGGCGTGTACATGTTTGCGTTTGCGATTGCTGTAGACTGAGTTAGGTATGCCGGCGAGGGGTCGAGAGAGTAACTGTCGACCGGTGATGTGTCTTCGGAATAAGGTAGAGTCCAGGTTGGTTGATAGGCCGGCTTCGAGTCAAGTTGCGAGTACTGCTGAGTCGGCATCGCGCGTGCGTAAAGAGCGCCGTTGCCTTCCGTAGAGTACATGGACATTATGTTATGCCCAGTGGCCATACCACTGAGACTGAAAGCCATGTCCCTGTCGTCCATAACTTTGTGTACGGTGTCGGATCCCACCTAAGCGAATGAGTGATAGTACAAAACGCGAGCGGCTAACATACTCTGTGAAATTGACACTTTGTTGGATCTACTGCAGCTTGTCGACAGTTGAGGCATCCAATGCCGTTTCCAGGATCGCCGCTGCACCGAATTTTCCTCTTCCGACAACGCGCACACTAGAGATGATGTTAGCCAAGATAGGAACTACGTTTTTTCAAACCTCTATGGACAGGCGGCGAGGAATCGTATTTCGTGAATACTTCCGGAGTTCTTGAAGCACATGCTGACCTACCGCTACTGCAATGCGACGTCTCGCTGGCCCGTTTCCCATCATGGGTTCTTCCATGCTGGCTCGGTTATGCATACCGCCCACTGGGCCGCCCATGGGATAACCTCGTGGATTTTCTCGCGTGTTATGGGCTAACGATAGCGGAGCATTGCGATCGTTGTAGATGTAGTTCGGATACGATAAGTTGTGAGGCAAACAGCGTCGCGGACTGCCGTACTCCTTGACTGACATACTGACGAATCAACTAAACGTTAGCTATGTCAGTCATCATGACTTAAAGTTGACTTACATCTCACAAGGATACCAACAAGATCAACTATTGGCGAATCACCCTCAGGTATGATTCGGATAGCGTTCGCGGGATGCAAAGCCCGAGTCAAGAGTGAGCAGGAGGCAGTGACTGGACCGTAGGTGCTCCTCCAGGGAGAAAGTGTAATAGACCGGTGAGCAGGTCAAGCGATGATCGGTTCGCAGGAGTGTGTTTATAGCCTAAAGGAGTTCCTTGCGTCGGCAAGGACTGTTATACTGGATAAGAGAATGATGCAAGGCGAACGTGGCTCCAGAGATTGATTTCGAGTGTAAGTGTTGATCAAGAATTTGTTTGTAACTTTCTGTCCCCCATGGGAGCTATGTCATTAGTGCCCCGGACACCTGCATGCATGGACGCGGTACAGTCACCGCCGATGTACAAGAACCTGGGCCTGCGCTTCCAAGAGAGCACTGGCCAAGCGCCGCGGAGAGAAAGACAGGTGAAACATTGTACGGCCTAGGTGCTGTAAATACTACTTCACGACAAGCGCCAGAGCCGAATGAAGACCAATGAAGTATGTGCTGTGGCCCCCGCCTCTTCCTTGATGGGGCTATCTCACAGTCGTGAGGCTTTAGCAGATGCCCCATCGGACAAACACTGATGACTTTTCCCATTACAAAGAAGCCACGTTATCAGCTAGGCTTGACCTTTCGCAAACATTCGATGGATGTTTGTAACTGACATGGTGTTACCGCGGATCCGGGATGTGAGGCACAGATTTGACACTTTTGCTCGACTCGCCCTAGCCCAAGACGAGTGCCCCAGGCTCGCAGGGGTGTCGAAAGCGTTGGTGCGCTACACTTGCGAGGAGTGAACTTTCTGAGAGGAAAATCAGGCTGGCTACCAGCAGAGAGACCTACTGAGGGCTCCCGGGTCCCATAGTATCGCTTATAGCATGTATTCGCACATTTGATCCCACGAAAAGTCTGTTGTCAGATCAACTAATCGTTTCGAGCGTACATGGCTTGCGCTGAAACGTACCTGCAGATGATAGCTAGACCTCCTTTAAGACTCCCTGATTGGCTGAATGGTGAGCCAATACCGCTGGTAGTATCTACGATCACGTCATTTGCTAGCAATCTGCCCAACCCTACAAGTTTGGTCGCTGAGAATGCTTCAGGGGTTGGACAAAGGATTGTCTGATTAGCGATCCAACAGCCCTACACTGAACATGTATGCTACCGGTGGCAAATTTATCCCAAAGCCCCACGGCAAACGGATACACGGGGAAAGCTGGGGTAAGGTTCCGGTGGGTCCTAAGCCTATTATGGATTGCGTCGAACGAAAAGAATTGTCCCCAATGATGGCCCGGCTTCCAGATGGTTACATCTAAGGTCGATTTGAGAATGATGCTACGTAGCGCATTCAGAAAGATGTTCCGTGTTCACTATGAGTGAGTTATCCGAACGCGCTCGAAGTTTGAGCATACCATGGGTTGAAACAAACCCGGCCTGCACCTCGAGGGCCCTAGTAGCGCTATGAGTATTAAGACAGAACGGGTTTACACGCAGATGGTGAGGACTGAGATTGCTCGATCTGTCGATGTAACAAGCCAATGGGCGCAGCACAGGCCAGCGCCAAGCTGCAAGCAAACTTCGATGCGCATCCCATGCAAATGACCCATCATCGTAAGGCGATCTTTCTGAACTTAAAGCTTCATACCCCGGTTCAATGCATTGATTTGTATTAGCTTGTGCATCAAGTCGCACAGCTGTGTTGGTTCAGGCTATACCCGCATACGGTCTGAGGCCTGTGGGGTTGGGATGACAGGCAGATTACAAGGCTCGTGGATCCATCGTTGCTGTGCATCTGTGGACAAGTAGATTGTGAGTACGCATGAGAGAATTGCTGAAGCTCCGTCTTCGCAGTGATAGTGTCACCACACTTGTAATTATCAGTCATGCTGTGTCGCCTCCCTGGAGCAGAAGACCTCCTGGAATCCCGAAGACAGCAGCGATAACAGAGATTCCTCCACTTCTAGCAAGATAATCCCGTGGTCCTCGAAAAAGGATGGACTTGTCGCTCTGGTCTGGGCTGGCTGTCAGGCTTCGGCTGGTAGCAAGTGGAAGCGAGAAGCAGAGGTCCGCTCCAGGATTTTGACAGCCGGTGGTGGGGAGACGTGCCCAATATACAGAACGATGGCCTTTGGTCCAATGCCCCTGACGGACGGGGCCGGGGATTTCGGATCGATGTGCAGCAGGCAATGCAGTGGCTGCCCGAATCTGTGTGCAGGGATTGCCGTCAGACGCCGGGTAGCACTCAACGGTCCGCCTCTCAAAATTGCTTAGAGCTCTTTCTTGGTACTCTCACTATTTCTGGACAATGGCTTGACAAGCGTGGAAGCCTGCATCTTTAGTTCGATCTGTCAACGCCAATAGTGTATGCATCAGGATGCTGCTCTTGCATATAGACAAGGTGAACAAACGACGGCCTGGAGCGCGAACTGGTGTGAAGGCTGCTGAGGCACGTTGCCCAGGGAGTATTGGCTCAGCAGCTTGCGAGACGTGAAGGTGGAGAAACGCGACATGTACCTGGAGCTAAGCCGCATCGGGTGTTGCGTCATGATGACTAAGCGTCGAGGCTACGCGGTCTCGGATGCTGTCGCGCGCGTTAACGAACATTTGCGACAAACACTCGTTCTCGGCACAACATAGCCCAAACCATGTCTGTGCTGCTGGAAACGTCACTTGGAGATATCACCATCGACCTGTTGGTCGACGATGCGCCCAAATGCTGTGAAAAGTAAGTCAACCAATCCCTAACGCGCGCCTTGGGTTTTCGCACCTGCATGCTGCATGCTCCATCCCGCTGTCTTCCCAAGCTGAGCATAAACAGACACTGACAATTTGTCGCCTTAGCTTTCTCAAGCTGTGCAAAGTCAAGTACTACAACTTTGCCCCCGTTCATAGCGTCCAACCAAACTTCTCCTTCCAGACTGGCGACCCCATCGGCCCTGGTTCCAAAGACAGCGACGGCGGCCGCTCGATATGGGGCTTGCTCGACCCCGCACAGCCCGCGAAGAAGACGTTCGTACCCGAGTTCAAGCCTAAGCTCAAGCATGCCGAAATGGGGACCGTCAGCATGGCGACCGCGCCGAATCCCGAAGATCCAGACGAGCGGTTCGCCGGCAGCCAGTTCATCATAACGCTGGGGCAAAACATCGACTATCTTGACGGCAAAGCTGCTATATTCGGAACAGTGGTAGAGGGTTTTGACACGTTGGAGAAGATAAACACGGCATATATCGATGACCAGGGCCAGCCACTCAAAGACATCCGCATACTACACACAGTTGTCCTCGACGACCCATACGACGACCCCGCCGGCCTCGTGGAGCCACCTGAGAGCCCTATACCTTCGGCCGCGCAGCTCGCCACCGTCCGCGTCGCATACGATGAGAACCTCGAGGAAGACAACGACCCGGAAGCGTTGGAAAAGGTCCGCAGAGAACGTGAGGCGCGCGCACAGGCACTCACGCTCGAGATGGTAGGTGATCTGCCATTCGCCGAAGTCGCACCGCCCGAGAACGTGCTGTTCGTGTGCAAGCTCAACCCAGTGACGCAAGACGAGGATCTGGAGCTTATCTTTTCGCGATTCGGCAAGATTCTCAGCTGCGAGGTCATCAGGGATAAGCGCACAGGTGACAGCCTGCAGTACGCCTTCATCGAATACACCAATCAGAAAGACTGCGAGCAGGCCTACTTCAAGATGGATGGTGTTCTCATCGACGATCACCGCATACACGTCGACTTCTCCCAGTCCGTCTCGAAGATAGCCGACGATTGGCGGGACGTTACGAACAAGAAGCGGAGACGGGCTGCCGGCGGTTTCGGTGGTATCGACAATCTCGAGAAGAAGAAGCAGTATCGCGATGGCTCCGGGCGCCAGATCATGTCCGACTCCGTCGTCAACAACCTGGTGGCCGATCGAGATGTTTCAAAGGATACTGCGCCACGGCTAAGAGACACTAGTAGGGATGAACGAAGAGACGACACACGTAGACGTGAACGAAGGACGGAATACCACGACGACCGCTTCAAGCGGAATCGGAGTCGAAGTCCCAAGCGCGAGCCTCGTGATGGTGATGATGGAAGGTATAATCAGAGGAGAGAACGAAGCCGTAGCCCAAATCGCCATCGTGACAGCCGCCGGGAGAGGAGTCGGGATCGCTATCGCCGGGATGATCGGGACCGCCGACGATGAGAGCACTATTCTGTAGATCGAGGCGAATTTTATGTTTGAAGATAGGGCCAAGATTGTACTGTCAGTATTGCGACGTCTGGCTGGTGGTTCTAAGTAGTTAATGCAAATCCTCAAAGATTATCAACGCGAAACACGAATCCTGTCGCGAAGAAACACCAATCTGGTCACATCTCATCACAAGTTACGGTATTGTGTATGATAGATTTGCTTCTGAATTTGGTCTATAGCTGTTTCTGTCATCTTTAGGAGATGACCGACTTAGACGTATTTTGGCTACTGTCAGATAACAGAATCGAAAACGAACTTTCCGCCTTGACTACCGTGAACTTTCAAGCATACATCCCGCCGAAGTAGAGGATGCTGCTTATCGAGCGCCTGTCACGTTGCGCCAGCCATTCACTTCGGGGTGCCATCGTGTAGACAAAACACTTCTGAAGAGCCAGGCGCCGTATCGTATGATGATGCGACAGTATTACGGTCTCTTTCCTTAATATTTGCGATCTTTGCCAACCGATGAGGTTTGAGATAGTGGGGTGTTTAGTCGAAAAACATGGCTATCGTCGGTTTCCGGTAGTGAGGCGTAGTGTATTGTTTGAGGTGTGGACGCGCTTTCCGTTCAACCTGAGACAGCCATAGTATCATGCGGTGGTTCTTATGCACCATCGTCCTCCTCATCGCCCTTCACCCCCTTCTCAACCTCATAAAAGTCGATAAGCTCGTCACAGCACGACCACCAAGTAGTCTGTATCTCCAGCTCTTTATCCAGCGCCTCAAGAAGACCCTCAGGCGGCATCGCCGGCTCAAAGATCCGCGCAAGGTGCGTTTCGAGCAAGCTCTGCGCAGATACCCAACCACCCTGACCCAGCCCCCTAATGAACTCCCAATAATTCACACGACAATGAGGTATCTCGCGGAGTAACTTGGATATGAGGTTATCTGCGTCCCCACCTTGAGTTACTGCAGCGACAGCGGCTTGGTAGAGACCAGATTTGATCGTGAACTCCGCGTTTTCAGCATCGCTGGCTTCAGCTATAGCGGCAGCATAGATCTCGCGGTAGTGTTCGTAGTTCCATGCCATGCACGGCGGGATCCCGAGACCAAATGTGTATTCTGGGAACCAATCGCTGCGGAGAAACATGGGGACAGCTGTGGCGCCGATGCAGCGTGGTGCTGCGATCGCATTGTCCCAGTCGATGATTCCAGTTACGTTGCCCTCGTCGTCGCAAAGAATGTTTTGTAGATCGAGATCATTGTGATGGAGGGTGAAAGTCTCGCCAGGTGACCCGCGGAACGCCGGCTGACGATGGAGAATTAAGCTGAGGATAGTTCGAACACCACTATCTTCAAGCCCATCGTCTTCTTCCCACTCGTCTTTGTTTAGGAGATCGATAAATCGAATACCCATCTGTTTCATCTTGGCTCTGAAGCGAGCCCGAAAATACTCCTCGGTTGTAGCAGCCGGTGGACGCTTGAAAGCTTCATCGCCATCTTTGTGTGTCCAGTGGCACGTGGGTCCAATACCGGTGAGGTTGCCGTCATCGTCGAAGTTAGGTGCTCCAATGGCATCGAATTTAAGAGTCTGAATCTGAATCATTACCTGTGCCAATGAGCGTAGCAACGTAAGACGCTTCTTTTCAATATGGGGAGGCGGCACATCCGCATGTTGGAAGATAAGATGGGAATCGACGGAGGGATAATCTTCTGGAAACCAGATATTGTTAGCAGGCGTGCCGGGCAACATCGTCATCAAGATGTATGGGAAACCAAGCGCGTTGTCATGACCAGTGGAGTAGTGAATGACTTGTGCGACAGGCGCGGTTGTGTTCTTGCGGATGTACTCAATTAGCTGAGCTTCGTTCTTCAGCACGTAGGTGTCTTCCTTTTGCCAGTGTGCGAGCGTACCGTGGCCAGGGACGCGGACAACGTACTTGCGAGTCTGTTCGCCTTCAGAAACAGTGACGAAAGTCGCTGCGTTGTACGTGCCCTTCGTACGGCGCACTACATCTACGGTGGTGGTGGGCGAGGACGAAAGATCGCAGGCCTTGATCAGTTCGCGGTACTTTGCATCGGGAACTGCCTCAATCGTCTTGAAGTCGCAACGCGGGCCGCCATCGTCATCCGAATCTTCTTTGTTGGAGTTCGCGCGTTCGCAATGCTTGTCCTTATCAGCATCAGGAAGTGTACCTGAGCCAATAGCGGAGTCATTACGGCCTGGCTTATCTGATTTAGACTTGGAGAATCGGAGATTCATGAAGCGCGGGAGAGCGAGTTTCTTATAGGCAGCCTTCGCATAGCGGCGAAGACGATGTTTCTTTTCCTTTTCCCCAGCAGGCTGCTCTGGCAACGCAGAGATCTCCCCTTCGGCTTGATCCACAGATTCAGTGGGGATCTGGTAGGCGATATGTCCCAACAAGCGCACGGAAAAGCCGTCTTGCTCCTGGACCGATGGTTGCTCTGGGCCCGGATGCGATTCGGGAGAAGGAGATATACCCGGTACGAAGAATGTCTCACCATATTCAAGATACGGGAGAGAATGGTCGGTTGGGGCAGTCGATTTTGAAGATGATCGTGAGGGTGGATCATTGTTGCAGACTTCTGATGTATGATGCGACAAAGTCGTTGCTGTAGGCGTGTTGCTTGGTAGACGAATCGGTGAGTTCGACTGATCAATCGAGGACGGCTCCTCAGAAGTTTTGCGGCCTAGGGTAGTGGAGAATGAATGGCAGATGTCTTTACCGATGTTAACCACCTTTTCGAATGGATTACATGAAGTAGCATGAGATGACGTGGGGGTCTTCGGGGTGGAGAACAAAGTCGCAGTCGCAGCGCGTACACCCTTTTTGTTCTTGAAGCCAAACATCGTTGCGCAGGTGTTCTGAACTTCTTCAGAATGTTTCGCTGGGAAAATTGGCGCTGTTGGGGTCAGGTCTCACCAACTCAAGTGTAGAGTGTTGCGGTCTGCTTTGAGGGTTAAGTTGCCGACTCCAGACAAAGAGTCAGTAACAACAAGGGCACGAGGCGGGAGACTGTTATACGAATAGGGATCTGGACTTACCGAGTGAATCTATCTCAGCACGGCCATACCTTCTGTGAATACAGCGCTGATAGTAGTGAATTACCCTAGACGATAACGGAAGATCATGAGCAAGAAGCGTTGGCTTTAAGGGCCGAGACCACTATCCGAGCGTTGTCGTTCGTCAACAAACCTCTACCATATGATGAGACGAAAGCAAGCGGTTCTAGACCATGTAAGACATATCGTAGTTCCATGTTGGAATTGAAGCATACCGTGTAAGCACACCATGAGGGAAGCAGGGGAAGGGATCAAGACATCGCTGGATTACGCTGTTGATGGTGTCTTTGATCTTCGGTAATTTCGGTAACCTGGTAATGAGCCGTCGTCATTTCTGATGGTAGAGACCGAATATAAGCATCAAGACAAGCATTTCTGCTATTGACGAGGAGCTATCCGAGTCTTTCTGAATAAAGACCTTCAGATGCAACGATATCTCAGCTGCATGGTGCACCAAAGGTAAGTGTGAAATAAGTTAGGGTCAGCACAAGGTTTTCTGTGTCTCGACAGCTTGGTGAAAGGTATTCAGTACTCGAGAGCGCAGACAGCTTGCGAAGAACGACTGTCGCGGGCCGACTGCAGCTATTGCATTTCGCCTCTTTTGCCTGGCAGTAAGTCAAGAGGTACCCTCTCTGCCATGGTCATACGCGCACAAATTACTCCACAACCTGCTCTCAAGTGAAGCTTTCTCAACCACACGCAAGAACATACTCGCCCCTACCCAATCCTCCATTCTTTACCTTTTGAGCTCCTCCAATATCAAGAATCGATACCCTCCTTCACTTTCTCAGCCGTGACATTTAGTCATTGTACAGCTCTTGCAACTGCTCAGGCCCGTGCAGAGTAAATAATTCGGAGACTGAGAAGTAGTCCAAGATGCCTTTCTTCAAGGGAATCAAGAGTAAGCTCGGTGCTACAGCAGCCAACACAGATAAAAAGGCCAAGCCACTTCCTCTTAGACTTACCTTTACGGAGCAAACACAGCCCGATGATCATGTCATCAGAAGTTTTGACGACCTCTTTTCCAAGACAGTTAGAGTTTGGAGAGGTGGCCACTGGCACAATGATGTAAAGAATGGTGCCACAGGCGTGCTGTTTGACTCATCCCACCACGTACCTGGTGAAGGCGCCAAGGATCGTTCGGCTTTCAAGGATGGCAAGTTTGGATTTTGCCTGGAGTGGATCGACTTTCCGTACGACGGAGAAGTCTATCGTGTCCGCTGCATGAATGAGTTCTGTATAAAGTCCCAGCAGTGTACGGACCACCCAAAGACGGTCTACAAGGACGGTCCGAACCGTATATACGATCTCATGAATCGGGGCGGGACGGTCACATATGGTATGATCAAAGATACCGACGCCCCAGAGGTCCCTTTGACGGATGATCAGCGAAAGTCGAAGGCCCTGGAGCATCTCAAAGAGGTCGAAACCAGGCTGGATGAGGCGTACGCCACCGGTCTGAATGTCGTAGAGATGCGAAAACAGTATGACATCGTGCAGAGAGCGATGAAAGACAAGAGTTACTTGCTTGAGGACAGGTCCGATGCCGCACCGCAACCGGGCTTATCTGCTCCCATTCTTAGCGCCCGGAGATCTGCGAATAACTCAGCTCCAGGTAACGCAGCCCTCGACGCCAAAGCTAGACGTAATCCGAATGGTAAGAAGAAGGGCAAGACGAATTACACCAACGACCTGGAGTCGATCCAGGAGTAGACGGCACTCGAGCGAGTGGTAGAGATGGAGACGAGTATGTCTTGACCTTCCACGGGCTCGTTGTCCGGCGACAACGTAGTGAAACCGGTGCGCGTTGTCTAACATAGCGTGATTTCGAAGTATCACATAAATAATCCCAAAACCACCTCTTTTTGATCGATGATGTATGAACGTTTCCCCATGTGAACTGAGAGAAGATAGGCGTGGACTGCTGCATGCGACGTTGATGAAGCGCAGCGAGGCGTGTTCAAGAGATGGATTTGTAACTGGAAATAGGCCGTCGACAGTCTCATGCCACCGCTCGATCGTCCAAGCGTGGGCAGTGACGCGCATTGTACCATGTGCATCGTATCATGGCGGAGTGAAGCAATTGTGATGCACCTGCTGACATGACAACCTGGAGGTAAGTACCTGCCACCGCGCTGACGCGAACGGCAACCGCGGACAGCTGTACAGCAAGAGCGGCGCCTTTACCTTGGCATCATTTCGCGAACGAGCTTCATTCGCGTCGCTCGCAAAGACAGGGCGCGATAAAATGTAGCGTTCAGCAACCAGAAGGGAGAGGATGCACTGAGGTGGAAGAGTGAGGAAGGGACACCTAACGGGAAAGCAAGGCCATCAGCAAGACACGTGATGGCGCGGCTGCCGAGACCAAAACCACAACACCACGGCGAACATAACAAATGACAATTATCATCGTCATATTTCTTCTTGATTATCTACTCCGACTCAGCTAACGCGCAGCAACAACGTGACTCTATATTCCCTCTCATGCGTCTCATTTTCCTCCATCGCTTCCCTCCCAGCAAGTAAAGGAGCCCCACCGAACGCAATTTGTATCGGGCTAGCAAGTCCGTCTGATCTTTCTAAACATGCAAAAACATGCGCAAGCATCCATCTCTCAAAAAGAAAGCCCCCGATTATGTTATGAGGGCGCGCAAAGCAAAAGCTCAAAAACAACGCTCCGCTTCCAAACGCCCAATGCGCAATTTTCTTCCAAAGTATGATTAAACGCCCGTAAAACAACCCTTGACGTAAGATGAAGGACGAAGGGTGTTTGTATGCAATCTTGATCCGCGTGCGTGACAAGCCGAACAGTAAGAGAAACGCGTAAAAAGCAGGTTTTTGGTGCCACCGTGCAGCTTCGGATGATAGTGGTACAAACGTGTGAAAAGAGGGAAGAAGCCTCATCACTCGTTGCGCGGATTCCATGTTGTATGGTAGTAGTAAGGGGGAATGCCATGAGCCTAGTTAAAGGAACAGCGTACCACCCACATGCACAAACATGTCATCAATCCACGGCAAAGAGAGAGAGGAGGAAAAGAACATTTTCATACACAAAAACTAGAAGAAGAGATCGAGAGAAAAAGAGGGCTCCGATACCTACATCGCCGTCAACCCAGTTATTGCTTTGGAGATCTGGAATGGAAGTTAGCATGTGCGAGATAAACGGAGGTTGTCTACAACTATGACCAAAAGGGTACTTACGTAGGAGAGTACGCTCCGCCCGGAGAGGTAGGGCTGTAGCGTGGGGAGGTAGGTGAGAAGGAGCCTGCTGGACTCGTGGGCGAGTAGCGTGGCGACGTCGGGCTGTATTGCGGCGACGTGGGTGAAGTCGGAGACTGCCTGTTGCTGCTCGCCTGGTATTGAGGGCTTGTGGGACTGTACTGCGGCGATGTGGGGCTGTATTGTGGCGAAGTCGGGCTGTACGCGGGAGAAGTCGCGCCACCCATGAACGTTGGGGACGTTGGGCTGTAGTTGGGAGAAGTCGGAGAGTATTGAGGTGACGTCGGTGAATAACCAGCGGGAGATGTAGGCGAGTACGACGGTGATGTGGGTGAGCCGTATCGAGGCGATGTTGGTGAGTAGTGCGGGGATGTAGGCGAAGCCATGTATCCTGGCGATGTTGCTGCGAAACGAGGGCTGGCAGTGCCAGGCGAGGTAGGCGAGTAACCAGGCGAAGTTGGTGAGAAGCCTGGAGACACTGGGCTGGTAAAGCCAGGGGACATGCCAGTAAAGCCTGAGCCACCTGGGCTTCTGCCTCCGTCGTATGGGCTGAAGCCACCACCTCCGTAGCTACCTCCATAGGCAGTGAAGCCACCGGCATCGTCGCCTCCACCAGCTGCAGCCATAGGAGAGAACGAAACCTGATCGTAAGAGCCGACACCCATGCCACCCTCGTACGTAGGAGAGCCCAAGTCGTAGGGCGTATTAGCACCGTCACTGAGGTAGTTGCCAGCACCAGCAGCGCCACCCATCATCTTTGAGTTGTCCTCCACCATGGTAAGGAGCATGGCATTGTCCATGACCACGTCAAACTCTCCAGTACCCATAGGCGCCAACTGACCGAGCATGATGTTCTCAGATACACCACGGCAGTCGTCCAGCTCACCAAATCCGGCAGCTTCCAGGAGGATCTCCACTGTCTCTTCGAAAGAACAACGCATGAGAGCACCAGTGTCGTTACGGTTGATGCCGTGACGAGTGATGGCCATGAGAAGACCACGCTGGCACATGATGTCGACGAGCAAGGCCATGTGACGATGGTTGACGTAAGAACCGTCGAATGACAAAACCATACCAAGCTCCTTGAGTAGACCTGCACGAGCCGCCTCGATTCCAAGAACAGCGAGGATCTCGATGAAAGAGTTGGAGTAGGTCTTGGTGGCATCAACGCCCTCAATGGCAAGAACCTCGGCCAGTGCGGTACCTGTGGTATCGAGCACCCACTCCTTACATTCATCCTTGTTCTTTGAGTGTACAAGAGACTTGTCCGGCATCTCAACGGTAGTGATGTGGTCTCGGATGAAAGCACGCTCGATACCACGAACACCACGTAGCGTAACGTCATCGAGGAGATGCTTCTCGAGCTTGCGCATCCATCGCTCGTCACGCTCATCCTCATCCTCGTCATCCTTCTGAAGGTTCTGGTCCCAGATGAAACGAACACGCATGACCTGCTCGTCGGCGTTCTCGTCACTGAAGATGACTGCCAGATTAGGCTTGAACTCTTCCTTGATCTTACCAGCAACTTCGCCAATGGTGATACTCTTGTCCAACAGCTTCTTGCGGTCGAGGATAATGCGGAGCAACCACTTGGACTGGGACTCAATGACTTCGTCCTCTTCGGGAAGAATGAAGTAAGACTCAACCATGTCCTGGTCCTCCTCAACTAGCGTCGACTGAATGTCGGGGTCGTAGTAGAGTTCAACAGCTTGTGTCAACGAGCGGAGAGTTGTGAGTTCGATGGTGCTTCGCAGGCGCTTGGCATCCTGTTGGCTGGCCTTTGAGTCTGTTTGACGGACCAACATAGACGGAGTCTTGATGTTGGCAGCGACGTTCAGAATTTCCTTGAGACGGGGCACACCGAGAGTGACGTTCTTGGAAGACACACCAGCAAAATGGAAAGTGTTAAGCGTCATTTGCGTGGCGGGTTCACCGATAGACTGCGCAGCCAGAACACCTACCATCTCACCTGGAGCGACAGCAGCCTTGAGGAAACGGTCTTCGAGTTCACCAAGAACATAGTTCAAGGCCTCCTTGTTCAGACGATGCTGAACGACAAGCTTCTTGAATGCGAGACGAGCGCGCAGATGAGCCTTGAACAGATACGTCGCACTGCTCTGGGCTTCTCTTGACAGTTCGTCGGTGCCACGAATGACGACCAATCGCTCCAGAGTTTCCTGCACCTGTCTGATGGTCTCGATCGGGTGTAGGTTGCTGACAGCCTTCTCGGGGTTGATGTTGAACCGCGCCTGAGCGGACCGGATCATACGCTGGATGTTGAGAGGCAACTGGAAGGACTCTAGGTTCTCGTCGGTCACATTCTTGCGGAGAGTCTCACGATCAAGCTTGATCATCTCGAACTCTTCGTCCAGAGCTCGTTGAACATCAACGTCACCCTGGAATGTAGTAGCACCCTCCAGCTTCGACACTGGAATCTCCGGGTAGTCCGTCGTGAGGACATCAAGCTTGTATCCATCCTCAAAGTCAGCCTCGGAAGCCATGAGGATGTCCATGGACTGATTCTCAATGTGCGCACCATCCAAACCATCTTCACCGTAGATGAACTCGACGATATCTCCCATGGAGTTACGCACAGTTCCATCGTACTTAACCATAACATCTTCGAGGGCCTTGACGAGACGACGTTGAATGTAACCAGTCTCAGCTGTCTTGACTGCTGTATCGATCAAACCTTCACGACCAGCCATGGCGTGGAAGAAGAACTCCGACGGCGTAAGACCGCGCAGATACGAGTTTTCGACGAATCCACGAGACTCTGGCGAGTAGTCGTCCTTTGAGAAATGCGGCAGCGTCCTGTACTTGAAGCCATAGGGAATACGCTGTCCTTCCACAGCTTGTTGACCGACGAGGGCAACCATCTGAGAGATGTTGACAGTGGAACCCTTGGAACCGGAGACGACAGTCTGCACGACGTTGTTGAAATCCTTCAAACTGGTCTGAGCGGCGGTACCTCCACCCTCACGACCTTCGTTGAGGAACTTCTGGACCTTGGATTCGAATGTACCACGAATCGTCATACCAGGCATAGGCTCAAGCGCATCCTTAGTGGCTGTCGCAATAATTTCTTCAACCTTGGCCTTCGACTTGGAAATTTCCGAGGCAATCTTGTCTGAGGTGGCAGGATCCGGAATAGTGTCACCCACACCGAAACTGAAACCGTAGTGAAGAAGCCACCAGTTGCAGATGCGCTGGCAGGCATTGAAGAACTTGACTGCTGCATCTGGTCCGAGCTCGTTGAAGATGATATGAATAACACCACCTGCAGAGGCACCGACAATCTTCTTTGTGACCTGACCGTAAAGCAGCTGACCACCTTTGATAGCGAACGACTTGTCAACGATGTCGTTGTATGCACTGGGTTTGGAGTCGGCCTCCTTCTTCTCAATGTTGACCTCACGTGGGAAAGCCATGCTGATAATCTGCTTACCAGTCCAGAGAGGCCGGGGCTTCAGAATGGCTGGCTCTGGAACAATACCATCCCAATCAGGCACCCACATGAGGATGGGCATGACCTGCTCGATGGGGATGAAGTTG